CTACTTCTTCATTCTCACTCATGGTCTCGCTCATGGTATGCAAAACGACTGAAGATGATCTTGGAAAGCACCGGAAAGGCGGAGCTCAAAAACTTGCATCCGCACAGTTTCCAAAACTTTAAGCTAAGGGAAATAGCAGCGAGATAGTTCCTAGCTAGAACAAGAGAAGCATCGTAGTACTTCGGGTAGCCAAAGACAATCCGAACAGCACGGTTAGATATACGAGTAATGCGGTCCATTTGCGAGACTTGGAGGCTGTGCGCAAATGCATTAGAGCCGTATTCAAGTTGGGCCTGAATGAAGGAACAGTAGAAGACTCGTTTGGCAGCATGTGTTAGATTGTGTTTGATTTTCCTGAACACAGCAAGTTTAGTGCCTATCTTGCGTTCCAGGAGCGTGATGTGATCTCGGTACGTAAGATGCTCGTCGAACAGGAGGCCGAGGTATTTGATCGTGGCTGAAGGCGGTATGCTAGTGCTATCAATTGACAATTGGAGATTAGCTGGGACAGCCTTGGACTTTGGGCGGAATATGATGAACTGTGTCTTTTCCGCGTTGAGTTTTAGGCCGTGGTCCCGGAGGAAGTTGCGGATTGACAGAACGTCTCTGGCCAAGTCTGCAGTGAGCTTCTGTGGATCCCTTCCGGATTTGTAGACAGAAACATCGTCAGCAAACTGACGGACCTTGGTACTAGCAACACACTCTGGCAGTTTGCGGACAGCAAGATTGAACAAGACGGGTCCAAGGATAGATCCTTGAGGTACACCTCTGGAGGCAGAATAACAGGCACCTCTGCTAGACTTGGTGACAACTCTCTGCTGGCGGTCAGTAAGGTATGATGCAAACCAACGCAGTGCAACCCCTCCGACACCAATCTCGAACAGTTCTTGGAGGAGCAAACTGTGGTTGACAGTGTCGAAGGCTTTGGACATGTCGAGGAAAGCCGCAGCCACATACTCGTTCTGGTCTAGACTTTGACTTCAATCATTTGCCACCAGAGCGAGAAGATCGTCGCAGGAGTGGTTTTTGCGGTACGCAAACTGAACTGCAGGGAGGGATTCCATGTGACTGGCGCTATCCGTGTATTGCGTAAGTTGCTCTAGCGCACACCTCTCGAGAAGTTTGGACATGAGAGGAAGGAGGGAGATGGGTCTGTAGTTGCGAGGGTCGGAAACGTCCCCACGTTTGTGGATCGGACGGACGTGTGCTAGCTTGTAGGGCGTTGGGAATTCACCAGTTTCAAGGGATGTCGACAAGAGAGAGGCTAGCGTTGGTGCAATTTGGTCAGACACAAGTTTGTAGACGAGCGGGGGGATGGCGTCAGGACCGCTTGCTTTGCGACTGTCCATAGCACGGAGATGGAACTTAACGTCCCCCGCTGTAATTCGGGTAAAAGAAACTAGAGTGCCGTCTGACTGGGGGCCACACGGCAGAGCAGGCGGAATGTTGGATGGATGATCAGGCACGGATGCCAGCGTCAGGGCGTCAGAAGTCTCTGTTGGAGGCAAAGGCCCAACTATTTCTGAGAATACAGATGTAATGTCTGCAATACTAGCTCCAGGCTCACGGCTGACTTTCGTTCTGCCAAGTAGGCTGTTCATAGCGCTCCACTGACGTCTAGGGTTCCGTCTGTTGTTAATAAACTCGGCCTGAAAGTAATTGGCTTTCTTTCGGCGCATGGTGATTTTGCACTCTCGCCGAAGCGCTCGGAACGACTGGATTCGTTGCTGGTCACCTGGCTGTTTCAGCAGGAGTCTATGAGCTCGTTTTCTGCGGTACAGCAGTTTACGTAGCTCGTCGTCGACCCATGGTGCGGGTTTATACTTGGTGGAAAAGGTAACTATCCTCACGGGGCAATGATGATCAAGTGCTTCGGTGATGGAGCCCTGAAAAAGTTCAATATTTGCATTGAGGTCAGTTGGTTGGTTCTCGACGATTGACATCTTCGAAGTGATCTCTGTCTGGAATGTTTGTGCATTTATGGTTCTTATTGGAGGTTTCCGGGTTCTGACCGGTGGATTCTGCGGCGCAGAGTGCAATGTAGCCAACAGCTCTAAAACTACTAGTTGGTGATCGGAAGCGTCGCATGGCTTAACGGAGCAGCCGTGGTAGATGATGCTCTGTCTCCCTGAGGAAAAGGAGACATGTGCTGGTGGATAAATTGTACGGGGTAGTAAGATTAAGTCTAGCATCGATTGGCTTGGAAATCTGGTTGGGGACGTAACTATGTTCTGTAAGTTGGTAGCGTGGCAGAAGCTTAGGAAGTGCCTGTACTGCTGGTGTTGGTGGTCTGCGATGTTGACGTTGAGGTCGCCTAGCACAATGGTATGAGCTTCTCTCGTGTGTGATTCGATGTCATCAACGGTGTTGAGCAACTCCTCCCAATATGTGACGGGGGATGAAGAGGGTCTGTACGTGCATACTATGTTCAGGGGATTGTGCGGCAATAATAACTGGATGGAAACGGCTTCGATATCTTGGAGGATATGTAATTGTTTGTGCTTAAGTTTGTCATTGATGTAGATACATACACCGCCTCCTGTCTTTAGCTTGCGGTCTCTTCTGTGTACTTCATAGCCAGGCAGTTTGATTGAGCCGTATCACTGCGGTGTTTCTTATTGCGTGTGATGGAGGGACTGCCCGGGCTGATTCCTATTGATTGAGCAGATCCTCAATGTCTGCGTCAGTCAAAGGCTTGCCATTCATGACGATGACATCCTTAGGCAGGTGGCATGGGTTTCCCTTAGCTCTCAGGGCCTTGAACTTCGCCACCAGCGGGCGTCTCCTCTGCTGCTGCTGGCGCGTCAGATCGTGATTAACGTAGACCGGCTGCCCGTTAATAATAGCGCGAGTTTTGTTGCGCATCAGGTGCGATTTCCCACTTGCCGTGAGGACAGCTCGTACAGGGCGTGGTGGGTCTGCTGGCTGAGTGCTAGCGCTAGCACTGGCGGAAGCAGAGGAATCTGCCACATGCTGCTTTCTCCCTTCGAGTCGCGAAACTTGGATAATGTCGTCCCGTTTGAAGTCGGGAACAAGTGCTGCAATAAGTGCGGGCAGGTCTTCGCGCGAGTCTTCCTTTAGGCCGCGAAGTATCACATTGTTGTCGCGGGTGTGCTGATTCGCGATGTCGTCGACCATGTCACGGATGTCATTGCCATTTATGGGCGCAGTGCTGCATGAACCGAAACCAGTCCATGACCCACGGGGTCCCGATTTGGACGCACGGTCGGCTCCAGCGGACATGATGGCGCCAAGCTTCTTCTCCATGTCTCCCATGGCGGAAATTACAGTCACGTCTGTTTTTGCGGCAATCTGCTCCACCGTCTTGCGTAGCTTCTTGTTTTCCACGCTGATGCGGCTGATGTCTTCACGCTGGTGCTGGGCGTGGCTCTCGAGATCACTGATGCATGATGCAATAGGCGCAAGCAGACTGTCCGCGAGTGTTTGCATTTCGCGTTTCACGACATGTTTCAATTCTTGTTTGAGGTCTCCCAGCACTGACTGTAGTAGGGTAGATACGTGCTGTTGGGATTCGCACGCGCACGTACAGTGGTCACTACTAGTACTAGGTCCTGGGTCTTGGGTAGCAGCATCTCTGCCTGGCTTGCAGGCTGCTTTACGTGTCCCTGACACGGGCCGGTCATCACTTTCAGTGCTCGGGCACAGGCTCTCGCTCGGGCTCTCGGGCTTCCTTTTTGTGGCTTTTGCCCTAGGTGTGGAGTCAGTGCTACGTATACATGTACTTTGTAACAAGTCTGGGGACTGTCTCCCACCATGACCAGCATGGACGGGAGAAGTAATGCGACGGACAAAACTCTTAACTGTCTTCGACATGTTCAAATTTCTAAAATCCACCAATACACCATGCGAAATAGCATCCATAGTTAGCAACTAGTATGTGGTAGGAGCTTCTGTCACAATCTGTGCATGTGCAGCTAGATTGCGCACAAAAAATGCCGTCCTTGCATCATGTGTCGCACAGGCCAGGCCACATTATGTACATGTGCATGAGTGTGCTAGTCCCCACATGCACAGTCAGTGCAGCACAGTTTTTTTCTTTTTTTTCTTCCAGACTCCTGAATCATATGCGCGTGGGTGACAAGAAACATAGAAATAAAAACGTGTGGCCTTACATACTTTCATTGCCTTTTTATGAGGTGGAGTACAGGCGAAAAGAAACTGACCAAGTACTGCACAATGGGTGTTAGCGGCCGTCGTGAGTTCCCTTCGGGAACGGACACGATAATTTACTTACTTACTTTACTGCACAATGTCAAGTACTGTACAATGTACTTTAACCAGTAATGATGTGATAAAAAAATTAAAAAAATTCGACGGGTTTGTGTACCGGGGAGGTCAAGAACAAGTAGTCGTACAACTCCCTGGTCAAGAACCACCTTTCCGCTTCAACAGCGCTTCAACAGCGCAAAGAAGAGTAGCCAATAACAACACGGCAAGGGCATAACCTATACATAAAAGAGTGAGCAAAGATGCAGGTGTCAAGAAACCAAACAAACGTGCGATGTACTGCTATTTTGTCACATGCACATGTGCTAAACTATTGAATGCTTTAGACACTGTCTCACATTAGGAAGCTTACCGCTGTGAGCAAAACAAATTACTTAGGCTGTTTGGTAGCTTGTCAAATTGTCAATAACTTGTTAGTTTTGTCCCTCGACTGTCTATGATTGTTGCCGTACATTGCACGCTTGTTTGGTTTCTTCACAATTGCACCTTTTGACATTCCTTGATGTGTTGGAGGTTATGCATTTTACCGTGTTGTTTTTGGCTAGTCGTCTTTTTGCTGTTGTTATCACATCACTACTGTTTAAAATACATTGTGCAGTACTTGGTCAGCTTCTTGTTGCCTGTACTCCACCTGATAAAAAGGCATTCATTAAAAGTACTAGTTGATGAGCTTTGAGAATGTTGAATGTGAAGAGCCTGAAGCTTGTTTATTTCTTGGGTTCTATTCACGGTCTTGTTTTTTGTGTTTCTAGTTGGAAACGGAAGATCTGACGGTACGTCTCCAAAATGAAGTATCTAACCAGCAAGAAGTACAACACAAGTGAGTTGCATTTCGTAAACTATTTCTTGAAGTACTTCTGTGCAAGGTGATTGCGCATCCTCAAACGTTTGTGTATGTCTGGGATACAGGGGAACACACTGCCTCGTCATAATCTCATCAACAACCGGGCATTTTACTGCGATTAGAATATCGAATTATCGAGAAGTCATTATTTCTATATGTCGAACTTGCTGCTATTGTTGCTTTCACCCTCCTCCCCCCCCCCCCCCCCCCCAACCACAGATGCACATACACACACACTCACGTAACCACACATGCATGCACGCACGCGCGCTCGCACACACACACTGTGTTGCTTTCCAATTCCACTTGGTTTTACAGCAGAGGTATGAAGAAGATCACAGCTGTCTAGTGCAGCACAATGCGCGATGACTCAGTGTAGTGTCATTCGATCAAGAGAAAGGTCCGACTTGCTGTACTACGTAATCACATTTCCCTTCGCTCTGCTGAAAGCTTGTACTGGAGTTAGCTTACATTGAGAAAAGTTTGCCGATCACGTCTACACAAATAGTACTACTCAGGGCCGCCGTCGCTACCACCACCACCACCACCACCACCACCACCACCACCACCACCACCACCACCACCACCACCACCACCACCACCACCACCACCACCACCACCACCACCACCACCACCACCACCACCACCACCACCACCACCACCACCATCATCACCACCACCACCACCACCACCATCACCACCACCACCACCACCACCACCACCATCACCACCATCACCACCATCACCATCTAGCATCATTAGGTTATGTTGTGTTTCTTTTTCTGCAGGATTGAAACCACTAGAGATATGTGTACAGCTTTGAAAGACCATGCAACCAAAGTTGATACGAATGTCCAGCAAGGTAGGGTATGATGATTATAACCAAGAGTACATAACCCCCCAGAGTGTGCAACTCCACTATGGGTGCTGTCCCGACAGAATTTCAAGTTGACGTCATTTTGATGATGCAATGCGCACTGTACACGGATTATCAGACGAATCCAGAACCTGTGGTTGACCGAAGCCGATCGATCCTGTACAAATTATTGCAAAGAAAAACGTGTGATGCGTTGACACCCGTACACATGTTGTAAATCACTGCTGCAAGGAGCATTGCGTCATAAATAATGACGTCAACTTGAAATTCTGTCGGGACAACAGGGTATGTGGGAGTTGCACACTCTGGGGGGTTATGTACTCTTGTTATAACGAGGGATGTAACACATATTCGATTATTATTTTTTTTAATCTATCAGTCCTTCAAGGGAAATCAATTAGGAAATTTAAAATTTGAAAGTTCTGAATGGCACTAGACCTGGTTAATGAACGTGCTGCGACATGCTCAAGTGATGAAAATGATACAATATCAGTGCTGCTGCGTTGGTAATCCCACCTGTATCAGCAGTGTTGGGCCAATGGAAAGGGGAGCTAGGACGCCTTCGAGAATACGGACAGTTTAACAGGATACAAAATAAGGTGGTTGTAGAGAATTAGTTAGTTCTCCTAAGAAATTTTCCAGGGTGTCAGTGTTTTGCTGGACCTAGGCTATAGAGGCATTTTTACTGAGGATACGTCAGTTTTTTTGGAGAATTTCATAGTATCGGATTTGAGTGTTCTGCATGAGTGTTGTGATGGCTGCAGATGATGATAGAATTGGCAGGGAAAGTAATATGAAACAAAAAGTGCTTTATACAGAAGAAGTACAACGAGACTGAACATAATCTGTCTGTGATTGTGGAAGAGGGCTACGGCAGGTTAGCTACAGTAGCACGACGGAAATTACGCTCAGAAAATTGGCTGACCGCCTAGAAATTCCTGTGTGGAAAGCACCTTATAAAACTCATTTCAGAAATCTACGTTGGAGGAATTGCTGAGTGTGATTTGCAACAATGCATAGGGCTATGGGTCTGTCACACGCTCGCTATGGATGAGGAACTTGCATGTGTACCAGAACCCCCCCCCCCCCCCCGTACTTCTGGGTATTGGCTTCTACTGGGTGCATGTCTTTGCTTGAGTGAGTATATCTGTACACATCACTGTAAAGTAAGGGACGACAGGCGAGTATATTTGCAAGTGTAATCAAGAACGACATGAGCAAGAAGAACAAACTGAAAGAGCAAACACCAGATAGCAGGTGCAAAGGTCTAGCATAATAGGTACCGTATGCAGCAAGCATAGTACGGAGGCAATGAACATCACATTCCTCCATCCTAAGATAGTATCATACACAGGCAGAGAGTTCGAAGCAAAACTATCAATGTAGGTGAACAGGAGACTGGCGTTCACGCACAGAACGGCGTACAGCACCAGCAGCTACACTAGGCAGGGACGCAGGCGCTAGTGAAGTAGGTGCAGCGGAAGTAGAAGCAGAGGCAGAACCACCAGTATCAGAATAGGGCAATGCATGAGCAGCAGAGAGAGCAGCAAAAGCAGGCACCGATGATTCCGAAGCTGATGTGAGCCGGACAGAACTAGAAGAATGAGGCGAGGGGTGCTCGGTCGTGACAGAGTCCGGCTGCACTGCATCTTGATCGTATGTGATCTACATGACGTTTCCAGAGCTGGTCATCTGCCAAACGAACAGTGAAGGTAAGCGGACCCAGCTGTTCTTCGAGTGTACCAGGTTGCCATTTCTCAATTGATGTGAAATTACTGTTCCACACCGAATCTCCACAGTAGAATGATGTGGCATTATCGGAACCACCACGATCCTGAAAAGTGAACTGCTTACTGAGAATCTTCCTCTCTGTATCTGGGAAGACGAGATCCAGGTGTGTACGCGGACGATGCGCAGATCACAGCAGTTCATCTGGTGTGCGACCGGTAGTTGACTGAGCGTTTTGACGGTAGTTGAACAGAAAGCGTGACACCCGGGATTCCAAATCTGAACCAGGCATCTTTGCAATGCCATCTTTCACTATCTGGACAGCAGGCTCGGCAACACCATTGCACCTCCCCTTTCTGGTTGTGTCTTCTCCCTTTTTATAACACTCGAAACTCCAAACCAATTTTTGCCAACGGATGGCAACCTGAGATGGCAGGCCAGAGGTATCAAAGGACGGGAGACAATCCTTATCTCCCTCCATTTAAGTACAAGATAACAGACTGGTATATTCAAGAGTAAATAAGCTCCCAAGAGTGTGTAACTCTGCATATGGGGTCTCCGACGGCGGAAACTCACATCGCGTGTCTCAGGTACGTTTTGTACTGCATACAACTAAGGATAGCGTCACGGCGCGCAATCCGAGTATCTGCCGTGATCTTGCTGGCAAGTTGCATACGCGCACTGAGTTTCTGTTAGAGAGTCTTTTTTTATTACTGCGCTGCTCGCTAAAAAGTAAAAACGGGCTGGAAACGTACAACTGGGACAATACACCACGTGATGTGAGTTTTCGCCTTTGGCGAACCCCATAGAAAGGGTATCAGGAGTTGCACACTTTTGGGGGGCTGATATACTCTTGGTATATTTACAAGTGTACTAGTAATTAAGAACGACATGAAGAAGAACAACAACCTGATATAGAGCAAACGCCTGACAACAGGTGCAAAAGGTCAAACATAACAGATACCATGTGCGACCAACATAATGTGTACGGAGGCCATAAACATCACAATCACTAATGCAAACATGTACTAATATATGTTTGACCCTAGTGGCGGCCATGTTTATGTGTACAGGTGAAACAGACCGCTCAGAACTGAAATCTCGTCACCAGGCACAGGTTGATAAGATGCAAGTAAGTGAATGCAGGTGGCTGTTTTGATGATAATGTAATACTTATGAGACCTTTGTAACGGAAATGTTTGAACCTTGCTGATGCAAAGATGAGTAATGGCAGAGCAACGTGGTGTGTGAACTGATGGTGGTGGTGGTGAGAAGGAGAGCTCTGTGCCAGAACTTTGCAGCCTAGAGAGCGTGTGTGGGCAGGCGTGTATTTACTCTTTACCACCATATTGCCAGGTGTGCCTCTACTAGTGTTGAAACGATCTCACCGGATACTCGTTAGCTCGCTCGCCAGAAACTCGGCTCGTTTGTGCGGCCAGCTCGTTTGCACTAACGAACACCATACACCGTACTCCGTACACATGGCAGTACATGTCGACCGGGGAGTCGTAAAATATTTTACGACTCCCTGGTCGATCGAGAGTCCAGTCCCGCGCAAAGTGAAAATCACTCGCAGTTACAGGTGACTGTATGCCTGCACGACACTTGAGTTGTTTCAGTTGTCGTTGCAGCTTTGGTGGACTCTACTGACGTCTTGTTCCGCATCTGCTGACCTGTCGCAGGATATGCTTCGGTCACCTCTCCATTCGAGTGAAAGTAAAATAGTTACGGTCAGTTCGTTTGGAAGTTTTCTCCCGCGATGCAGCGAAGACCAGGGCTACTTGCAATCTTTGCAAAACGGTCTATTCTTACAACGGCTGCTCGACGACGGCGCTGAAAGGACATCTCGACACCAAACAGCAGTCCGAAGTGAAGCAGCAGCAACCCCAAATGCCGGCGGTGATGATTTGAACCAGCTGAAAAAAATCGAACTTAGAAAAAAAAGTATTCAAAAAATCATATTTGCCACATCATTGAAACTCGTTAGCTCGCTCGATAGCTTGCTCGTTAGTGGAACAGATCGCTCGGTTGTTATAGATACGCTCGTTTCAACACTAGTCTCTACCACCATATTTATCAACCATAAGTACAGCTGCAGTGGTGTCTTTCAACTTCATTCTCAATCATTTCATTCTGTATTCTTGTCATTATTTTTACAGGATCTGGTAACACAATTCCATCAGCTTGAGCTGCAATGTACCGTCGAACATGAGAACACAATAAAACAACGTAAGCTAACTGTTATTAGTGCAATTTGCGGGTAGATGTTCTAACCCTGTGGTCACCACTACACACCTCATAAATACGCGGGCACTGCAGAACTCACAGCAACAAAGACAGTGCTGCATGACTTCAACGTAGACTAATGGTCAACAGTAATCAGCCAGAAGCACCTGACTTGTGTCATTGCAAAGACAAAAGCATGTTTTTTTCTCCATGGTTGTTTAGCTGCGACCCTCGCAGCGATTTCAACTGGTGAATTGCGAATTTACGCTTCACACACTTGATTTGTAAACTCGATATGGTTTCATGTAGATCTGTGTAGATTAAGAGGAATCAAGTGAGCTCCGTGGGTAAATTAACGCATGCTCCGTACGCGGAGGCATACACGACCCACACACAGACACAGCAGTAGTTGGTTGGCACCACAGGGTACTGGGCGAAGGAGCTGGCAGTGTGTAACCATGGAGGCGGCCGACCCGACAGAGGCGGGGACCGAGAGTGAGACCGAAATGGCGGCTGACCTGCCAAGGGCAGTAACCGAATAGAGTGATTCGGGAGAGTAGAGAGAATGCTGCCAGCTACTGAGAGTTCAGTGCCCGAGCTAGTTACCCTGGTGGGCCAACCAAATAAGTCAGTGCTCAGAAATAACGTGAGCATTGAACGAGGAGTATAGCAGGAGCTGCTAGCAGTCAAGAAATCTAGGTACCGATAGCGGTACTGAGAGTTGGTATGTATACCGGAGGAGACATTCGTCAAGGTGCAGCGCTACTGGTCAGTCACTCACTGTGGCTAGCTTCTCTGATACTAGCCGCACCTCGGATGGCTCAACACGGATATAGCGCAGCACGGCGTCGCTGCGCCATTGCCCCATATGGCGGATCACGTGCTCTGGTACGCCTGCGATAGCTGCAGACGTGGCTGCTCCGATCCGGAATGAGTGGCTGGCATAGCTGGACGGATCTGTAATCCCGCAAAGCGGTAGGAGGGTCCGCACCTCCCTCGTGACGTCCGCTCGTGTCAGAGGCTGGCCATTGTGGTAGACGAGCAGCTGATCTCTAGGAGATTGGGATTCCGCCGACACTGCCGTCAGGTACCGCACCATCGCCGTAACAGGACAGCTGATGACATCGGTACAGCCGCCCACGTGGACTACCACGCCTCTACCGTCCGGGTCCATCTTTGATTGCAGCAGCGTGATGGTGATACGAAATGATTGTTGGTCCAGGGCCACGTTGCCAAACGTCAACGAGGTGAGCTCACCACAGCGCAGGAAGCCATAAAAGGCCAGGGTGAAGGCGCACTGCAGCATTGCCTGGTCAACTGGGTGCCGCATGGAGGAAACTTGGAGGCATTGGCAGAGTTGCCGGAGGATGGGTGTTGTGATAGGCAAACGAGGGCGGCCAGGTCCCGACGAACGGGCTGTGCCTCTTAACACTCGTGACAGCAGGGACGTTGGCTGATTCGGGTACTCGAGGCCCATTTCGACGTGTAAGTTCCGGATGGCTGACATATATGTGCGAACCGAGGCCGGCTGCAGTGTGCGCATGAGGAGGGCTGCGTAGTAGCACAGCGTAACGTCGCTTCCAGGCAGGGCCACGACGCCATGCTGCTGACAGAAATCCAGGTACCGCCGCTCTGAAGCTGAGTATGTCCTCCTGGATGACGGTGCTATTGCCAGGGACGCCAGCCTGGCCACGTCTTCGGTCAGTCCGGTGTGGGCAAGATCGGCATGTCCGGATGGAGCTGTGCCGTGGGTGCCAGGCAGCGGAATTCCTGCAACAGATTCCGGGAAAGAGCATCGGCAATGGTATTAGTAACACCAGGGATGTGCACTGCTGATATCAGGCAATCGTGAGCAACGCAAAGGTGATACAGACACCTAACTAGAGACATCATGGGTGGCGATCTGCTGGTGCCGGATTTGATGCAGTCTACAACAGCTGAGTTGTCGCACTGAAACTCAATACGGAGGGACTTCCACTCTGACGCCCATGTACTGGTTGCGATGACAATAGCGTACAGTTCTTTATACTGTATGGACTCTGAACGCTGGTGGGGCAACCATGCTCCACGGATCCATCGTCCCTGGAAGTACGCTCCATAGCCCTGGTTACCGCTGGCATCAGTCTGCAATTGCAAGTTGGGCGCCTTTGTCCATTTGTCCAGGAGGAAGAACGACTTCCCTGGCCAGACTGATAGGGTACGCTGCCACCATTTGAGGTCGTTCACTGCTCCGGCTGACAGGGTGAGAACCTTGTGCTTTGGAAGGTTGCTTGTTGCACGGTCAAGGTCGTACAGGCGCCTCAGGAAGGTACGACCGGCAGGAATAGCCCGGGCCGCGAACGAGAGATTGCCCAACACGGAGGCGAGTTCGCGCCGGGACGCCATGCCTGATTGAAGGAGGCCGTTGACTTTGCCGAGATACGCCCCATGTTTGGCGGACGGTAACCGGATCTCAAACGTCAGCGAATCCAGCTCCAGGCCGAGGAAGGTGAGACATGTGGATGGGCCTTCGACTTTCTCAGAGGCCACCGGTATCTGCAAATAGCGGAGCATGTCTAAGATAAGTGAGCGATGATGTTCCGCAACGGGCAGGTGGGGCGGACTAACGTTCAGAAAGTCGTCCAGGTAGTGGAGTAATTGGCTTAGGTGGCATGCATCCTCGAGAATAAACTGGACTGCTGTGGCGAATTTATCGAATATGTATGGTGCAGAACGCAATCCAAATGGTAGCACTTTGTCATGATAGAATTGTCCCTGCCAGAAGATGCCCAGATAGGGCCAGTCACAGGGGGCAACAGGACAGAGACGGAATGCATTCCTGATGTCGACCTTCGTCAAAAGAGCGCCACGCCCTGCCTGCATGATCAGAGAGATAGCTGTATCGACAGTTTCGTACTGCAGGCTGAATTCATCCCGAGATATACCGTCATTCACACTCAAGCCGGCAGGGGACGAGAGGTCGTGGATGATACGCAGTTTGCCATTAGACTTCGGGATAGCACCCAAACCAGAAATATGCATGTGAGGGAATGGCGGAGATGCAAATGGGCCCGCAGTTTCTCCGCGGTCACAACAGGTAAGCAGATGAGTAGTAACCTCAGCAGGGCAAGCACAAGCCGAAGGGTGATTAGGAGACATAACAGAAGATGCAATGGGGCGAGAGCTGCCAATACGAAAGCCATACTGCATGCCTTGTGAAACATAAGAGCGAAATACTGCATTTGGATGAGGAGAGAGAAGATTGATAAAGCGCTGAACATGAACAGGCGTGCTAGTGGGCACCTGTAAAGCAGCGTCACCACTGGGGTGAGAGTTATTTCTTGGTCGAGTCACCAGACTTGGAGCATTGGCGTGCGGGGTGACGGCCGCGGCACTGCATGCAGACGTGTGCTCTGGAGCAGGGGGATAGCAAGCAGCTGCCGAAGTTGAAATTACGACAGATGGCTTTGCCGTCAAAGCGAGGCTGGTGCGAGAACTGGCTCCCAGTAGGCGCTGTTGGGGCTGGGAGCCCCCCCCCCCCCCCCACGAAAGGGGCAGCTGCTGGGCTGACTTGGATGGACCATGGAGCAACGCTGGCACGGAGGCCGCTCACGGCCCGTGAGACAAGACTGCCACAGGTTTGGGTCAATGACGGACCAGGAATAGCGGTGAGGGAGGGACGCCTTGGCCATACGGAATTTGCGGTCGTAGGACAGCCAGGCATCATTGTGGAACCGGACGTTGGCATCGACAATGATGGCCTGATACGCCCAGAGATCACCTGCCAGCTGTGGTGAGGCGTCGGCCAGCACCCTCGAGTATGTGGTGAACGCTTCCACCTATGTGGCAAGATCATAGATGTGTCGTTTGGCGGGTTGCCGGTGGGAAGATTTGGGGACGAGCTGCACAGATCGGCCTCCGCCCACGTCGAGTTGCATCACATCATGATCCCCTCGAAACCCAGGGATTCAGGCAGCAAATCGCTTAATTCTGTGAACTCACCTCGCACAATCCGGTCTCGAAGGCGAGGCGGCACCACCGGGAGGTCTCCAGATGACGGCCACTGTTGTGGCGGGTGGCCGGCAGCCGGTACTGATACTGGTAAAACCGGCGCTGCAGTGGCGATTGATCCGGCAGCACAAAGCGAGGCCCCGCTGAACGTCGGAACATGAGCGAGTCCCGAGTTTACGCCAGTTCCTGGGCCGGCGAGTTGGGCCACGCCAACCTGCTCCAGCAGGGTAACCTTGTCGGCCAGAGGCTGAATAGCAACAGCCACGGCGGCGGAGATCTGGCTCGCCAGCGTGGGCTGGGGTGGTTGGCCGGCCGGCATTGACTGAGACGGAGGCACTTGGCCAGGTAGAGCCGGAGCACGAGGAGCACGAGGCGGCGCGAGGTTCTGGGCCGGGGCTCCGGCCTGGGTGGTTCCAGGAGCAGAGGAGGATGTTGCTCTAGCGTAGGGGCTAGAAGATGACCTGGCGGACCTGCGCGACATCTCTTGCCTCAGTGTGGGAAAATTTGAGAAAATTTGAGTAAACCACTCCGCGGATACGGCACTCAGAATTCCAGCCCGCCCAGGGACTGGACACCACAACTAGGCAACAAGAGACCGAAACGACGATGTCACCTTGTACCAGGAAGTCTGAACAGAACTGAAGAACTCCGGAGTTTGAAAACACGGAGCAAGAGTCATGCGAGCCAATGCAACTAACAAAGAGAGCCAGGCACGAAGGCTGCTGAAGGGTGTACGTATGCAAAGCGAGCTGCTGAGAGAGTTTGCGCATGCGCACAACGGCGCATCCGTGACCTGGCGCGAACACGCGCGTGATAGACATCAGCATACAGTGAAAACATTACGTCACCGCGTTAACATACTTTAGCTACGCAAAACTTGCATTAAAGTTCAGGAGTCCCAAGCTAGTGTGACGGAAAGGTTGATCAAAACAAAATAATAATAGCAGGGCGAGAGCGGAGGAGGAGGAGTTGAAAGAAGAGTCACTGACACTGGACTATGCACCAGGGAAAGTGTACTCGTACGTAACCTCAAGAGTATGCAACTCTGGCGCCAAGCGCTGCCCGCATCACGTAGCCACAAACTTCGAGCCACTGCATCATTACTGATTTGCTACGGTCTCCTGCTTCCAAGCCCGCTTTTCTAGGAGACTCCGGATGGCTTTGTACATGATGCGTGAAGCACAGGCACTGCTTTTGAACTTACCGTATTGTGCATGAAGTCGTTGCGGCTAAACCGTAGAAAAACTCAAATCCAGGCAGCTTGATCGTCATTTCACCCCGTAATGAAGGTAGCGCACCGCACAGAGCACCCATAGCTCAGAGATCAGAGTTGCACACGCTTGGGTTATGTACATTGTACTCTTGACCAGGACCAAGCTTACTGGGCGAAATAGAAAAACTGTTCAAGTTTTTAAACCAGTTTAGTCATTGTGTTGGTTGCCGTTCAGCTCCATGCCTTCGCTGCAGTGCCAGAGTAATCTGGAGCTGGGTAGAGTTCTTGGTAGGTGCTATACGTTCATTGCCTTTAGCTGTTTCAGAGGCACTGCTTCTGTAGAGTGTTGTATTCGGCATGTGTACTCTCTGAGCGCTGAGCGCCTAGCAAGCCAAGTCTTGTATTGTATTGTTGCATTTGATGATGGAGTGGGTTTCTCGTTGATGTTTCCGTTGCTGTTGTCTTCGTATCCCGGTGAACAGATGAGGAAGAGAAGGCAAATCTCACAGCAGCCAAGAACACCTTGCAGGCTCAGATAGAGACATTGAGGAAAGAGGTATGTAGTAACAGCTGCAGTTGGAGGGCAAATCCCTCGCATCCTGTAAGAAGCTTACTGCAGAAATGCCATGTGCATAATAGATGATGCTGAGCTATGCGTATGAATCCAAACTTTGCGGCACGGGTTGCACAAAGAGCTCTTGGTTGTGTTCCCTTCCTTACTATGTTCAACAGTACACGTAAACAGGCAGATAGACAGATAGACAGACAGACAGCTGGATCTGGTTAAAGCGTATAGTGTTATGGCATGGGAAGGGCAAAACGAGAGATATCAGTCTAGTAGCATCATGTGCAGATGGATGCTTGAATTTGCACTTGTGTGTGCGTGTGTGCATGCGTGCACCTGCGTTTAACTGCTTGACAGCAAGGTGCACTTCAAATTTCTGCTGGTCAATCGTCAGAGAAGATAACTTTGCTTAGTCAGCAGCTGGAAGAGATGGAAAGAGCAAAGCAGGCACTCGAGGATGAGAAAGGTAAACATGTGTCCTCATTGTCATGATTTTCTTTTTTACCTTTATATTTTATTAGAAGACTGATATCAAAAACAGCTTATATTACATGGGTACAATGTACTTCGATTGCTGTTCATCTTTTTCAGTCGCATCCAAAGTATTTTGCTTGAAATGCGTTGACTGATCACTGGCGTACATTGCAATCAGCGCACAACAACAGTAAAGCCTGTCATTCCTGGGCGCCCTTGGTGCAGCGGAAACTTTCCTCACACGACAGGATTATTCCTCTCAATGCCGGCAGGGACGTGCAGCCCACATGCGTATTAGATCAGTTTGATGTCATCATCAAACATGTGCGATCATCCGTGGAATATTATGGAACTAAGGATCACCTGCAAGTGAAACTAGGGTTAAGTAATAACTACAACAATAAGATAGTGCTACAAGCCTACAAATGACATGTACATGTTGCTACAAGTGCACTGCAACTACAGGAAAGGTAGCGCATATGGTGACAATTGTACATAACCAATTGAGTGCAACAGCGTGGTCTTTCTGCTTACACAAACCGACTCATGCATACGTATACAGACAGCCTCACGGACTTTCAACTGCTGGACATAACGGGCACGACACACTATAGAGAAATAAGAATCATCATACACACTAAGACTGTTATAACGAGATAACAAAAGCAGATAATGTGTGCTCTGTGTTTGCATGTATATGTCCACATGTGTGCATGCATCTGTGTTTTAGGTGCAATATGTGACAAGTTACGTCACTCTGAGAGTGTATCAGAATCTCAATCAGTGCAGATTGAATCCCTGGCGGCACGACTTGAAGCTTCTCAGGTACCAGTGTGTTATGGGTGCCTTGAAATCCCCTTTTCAGGAGCTTATGGATATTGCTAATCGCTGCGTGACCTAAAGGTTGTCTGACTAGGTGCATGTATACGTGCATGTATACAACTGGTTAAGCAAAGGGTTAGATATGCTCAACTATATCCCACTGAATTTTTGACAGGGTCGACATAAATGACTGTGCTTACAGTATATCATTACCTGAGGTTATTGCTGTTGTTTGTGTTCTTGGCAGAATATGATCCAGCAACTTACGGACCGTACACACTTACTCCAGAGTAACATAGCAGAGTTGGAAAAAGAGCAAAAGTTACAACTGGAGCAGTCCTCCAGTGAGACACAGCGGCTTACGAATGACTTGGAGAGTGCCCGCAATGAGCTGTGTGAAATCAAATCTGAGCTGGAGAAAGAAGAGAAGAGGTGGGTTGTTGATCCGAGTAAGCTGTTGCAATTTATGTACATGTAGCACCCCGTGACAAAGTAGTGGCGAAGGTGGCTGAATTGCCCAGTTGCATACCGGTATGTGTAGATTTTCATAAGCAACATGTACTGTATGAGTCTGTTGTTTGACAGGCAAGTGTGCAAATATGCAGTTCGGTCATCATGAGGATCAAGAAGGTGCCATCATAGTCATGCTTGAGACAGCTTTGTACTTCTGATGTTTGTTAATTTTGCACTTGTCTGTTCAATTTTAGGGCACTCCTTCTCCTTGGTGATTTAGAGGCTGAGCAAAGAAAAGTCGACGGCTTACTGAGCGAAAAAGGTATGTACCGTATTTGCCGGAGTATAGTGCGCACTTTTTTTTTTTGATGCGCTACTTCAGGCCCTAACTCACAGGTGCGTGTCATTAGCTATGAGGTTTACTTGTTCTCACCATTAGAAGTTCCTTCTATCCGGTGGCGTTGAATGTGTTATGCCTAGATTCTATTGAGAAGATGAATTCCTCTTTGCGAGAAGAGCTTTGCCAAGCTGCGGAGGAAAAGGTAGGGGTCAATCGCTTTATTTTCTTTTTTCCTTTTTCTTTTTGTACCCAGGTTAGAGAGGTTCCGCACTACGTAAAGTTGTGCAACTTTACGTTAGTGGGCGGGAGAAGCCCGTTGTAGTGTTCACGTGTTCCTACGCGCTGTGGCATTCCTTGGCCACTCCAGACATTCATGATGCATGTAGTAGTAGTAGTACATCGTGATGTTATGCATGTAGCATGTGCCGTTTCCCGCGCGCGCGCATGAAACGGACTTCGCGGCTTTTAGTTGCTGTGCATGGTTTGACTCTGGACTCTTGTTGTTTTTGGACTGAAGAAGAAACAATACTACATTGGCGCTGCGAGCTATTTCGTTCCTCCGCGGCGAGCATGGGTGACCGACCACCCGCCATTCCGCCCCCTGGACCTTTTCCTATTTATGTCTCCCTCTACGATGCCGCCACGCGTTGGCCCGCCTGGACACGGAGTTTCAAACTTTATCTTGCTGCGTCCAAAATTGGCGATGACGACCAACAGCGTGGGCTACTCCAGTACCTGGGAGGAGACGACATCCAGCAACTCGTGCCCACTCTCAGCAACACAGGGGCAACATTCGACGACCTCGCCAAAGCATTGCAGGACGAGTTCGATAAACACCAAAACAAAACGCTCCTCAGGTTCAATTTCCGTCAGCTTCGTCAACAGCCGAACGAGACTATGGAGGGTTTCTGTTGTCGTTTGGGCGACCACGTGAAACGCAGCGGCTTCCCGGATACAGCCGCGGAGAAATTGGCTGTCTTGGACCAGCTGATCATCGGCTGCAAGTCCGACGCCCTTCGGCGAAAATTGCTGGAGATCGATGGCCTCGACTCCGACGAAGCTCTGAAAGCAGCCCGCGCGTATGAGGCCAGCATCACCCATGTACTCGCCATCAAGGACGCCTCTCTGGGCTCTTCAGTGGCTTCACAGCAGGACGCCCACGTCGCTTCCCTGGCGTCAGCAGCACCCCAGCCTGCCCATGTGGATGCCCTCTCAGGGTCACAGCGCCACAGCTACGCAGCTGCACGCCAGCCCCAAGCCCAGTGTCCACAGTCTACCTCATCCGGTCTGACCTGCTACCGGTGTGGAAAGCCAGGCCATGCCACATGTGACGCTGCCAAGGGCCAGTTCTGTAGCCGCTGTGGCAAGCCAAACCATTTCGCTGCGGCATGCCGCGCCTCGGACTCCGCCATCCAGGCCCGCACGTTCAGGGAACGCCGTCCCCACCAACACTCTGACCAGCACGCTGTCAACAGCGGCCACCATGCCATTCATTCTTTAGAGATTGGCGCAGAGCTGTTTTCTACCGACTCTCCGCCTCGCCCATCTACGGCACCCTGCCGTGAGGATGCTCGGCGCACCGTGCACGTCAACGGCATACCCCTGACTGTCTTGGTTGATAGTGGTGCCAGTCACAATATCATCAATACTGATGACCTGGCAAAGGTTGCCCCTGGTGCAGCACTTCAGCAAACGGATGTGCAAATCTTTGCTTACGGCTCAACTTCACCTCTTCCTCTTCTGGGTAGCATCACCCTCTGTGTTTCCTCCGCTACCATGAGTTCGATGGCAACATTCCTCGTTGTCGCACACGCGCCACGTACCGCTGCTATCGTTGGCCGCGAGACCGCCATGCATTTTGGCCTCATCCAGCTGGTCCACAGCATCGAAAGTCCGCAACTGCCAGACGACCTTGCTGAGTACCACGACCGCTTCCAGGGCCTCGGCTGCATCAACGACGTAGAAGCCCATATCTACGTAGATGGCAACGCCCGCCCTGTCGCTCACGCACCATCCAAAGTGGCTGTCCACCTCCAGGAGGACGCACTCGCTGAGCTCCATGAGCAGCTCGCATTGGATGTCATCGAGCCTGCCACTGGCCCCACCCCATGGGTTGCCCGAATGGTGGTCGTGCCGAAGCGCAAGGGCAAAGTGCGCCTCACGCAGGATTTCCGTGATGTCAATGCCGTTGCGGCACGGGAACGCCATCCCATCCCCACGCTCGAGGAGATTACTTCCGACATGCCAGGGGCCACCGTGTTCACCGAGTTGGATATGAACAAGGCCTTCCACCAGATCTCACTGGCCGAGTCATCCCGTCTTTTCACCGTGTTCCACACGCCCCTCGGCCTAATGCGGTGCAAGCGACTCGCCATGGGGTTGGCTTCAGCGTCTGAGATCCTCCAGCGGACCATGGACCGTGTCCTCGCGGGTCTCCCAGGTGTTCGCAGCGTGCACGACAATATATTCATCTACGGCGAGACGGCCCAAGTCCACGATGAGCGCCTGCACGCCTGCCTGCAACGCCTACGTGCCCACAATGTTACCCTCAACCTGGCGAAGTGCCAGTTTCGCCAAACCCGCCTGGCCTTCATGTCGACTATCTACAGTCGCCGGGGCACTCAGGCTGCACCACACCACAAAGAGAGCATTGCTGTTTTCGCCACACCCAAGTCAGCTTCCGATATCAAGAGTTTCCTGGGTTTGGCGACATTCATGCGCCATTACATCCCCGACATGGCCACCAAGACGGCACCCCTGCGGAAACTCCTTGGCAAGGGTCAGCAGTGGGATTGGTCACCCGAGGCTCAGGCAGCATTCGATGCCATCAAAGCCGACATAGCAGCTGATCGGGCCCTCGCCTACTTCGACCGTACCAAACACACTCACCTTTACGTCGATGCCTCACCCGTTGGCCTTGGCGCCATCCTCTGCCAGTCTCCTGAAGCAGTCGTCCAGGATCACTCCGAGCTGAAACCAGTCGCATTCGCAAGCCGCAGCCTGACCCCCACTGAGCAGCGTTATTCGCAAACGGAACGCGAAGCCCTCGGTGTGAAGTACGGCTGCTTGCGCTTCTCCCATTTCCTCAGCGGCGACCCCGGCTTCACGGTCCACACCGACCACAAGCCCCTTCTACAGCTGCTTCACCCGTCTTCACGACCTCCACCCCGCATTGAACGGATGGCTCTCAAGGTCCAAGACCTCCACTTCAAGCTGGTGTATGAACCTGGCCCTTCCAACCCAGCAGACGTCTTGAGTCGTCACCCTCAGCCACATCCTCCCCTGCCGAATGTTGGTGAGGAGGAGGACACCGCCTATATCAATGCCATCGCGCAGTCCTCTGTTCCCAACGCCCTCCTCTTGTCCGACATCCAAGGCGCAACTCGAGCAGACTCAACGCTCCAGGCCGTGCTGCTGTCACTGCAGACGGGCATGTGGGACGACAAGGCAGTGGACATCCGCCCTTTCTACACGCAAAGGCATGAACTCTCCGCCGCCGACGGTCTCCTGCTCAAGGACCATCGTCTGGTGATTCCACTGTCTCTCCGAGAGCGGACACTTCAACTGGCCCACTCCGGCCACCAAGGCATGACACGGACCAAGCAACGACTGTACACGAAAGTCTGGTGGCCTGGCATGACGTCCGCTGCGGAATCCCTCTGCCGCCAATGCCTCTCCTGTCAGGCAAACACGCCAACAGGCCCATACAGGCCGGAATCCACACCGACCCCACCATCGACGGCGCCATGGCAACGGGTGTTTGTCGACCTGTATGGCCCCTTGCCAGGCGGAAGCACACTCTTGGTTGCGGTGGACCAACTGAGTCGCTACCCAGTCACTCACGTGTTCAACTCCACTCCCGCTACAGCTGGCGTACTTGCAGTGCTCCGCAGTGCGTTCGCAGCATTCGGCCTGCCAGAAGAAGTGGTCTCTGACAACGGCCCCCAGTTCCGCTCGGCGGAGTTCAACCGTTTCCTGGCCCAGATGGGCATCGCTCACCGTTGCACGCCTCCTCTCTGGCCCCAAGCCAATGGTGCAGTGGAGCGGATGAACCGCACGATCGGCAAGGTCCTCCGTGCTGCCCAACTGGATGGCCGAGATTTGCGTGCTGCACTTGACGAGTGGCTACTCGCATACCGCACCACTCCCCACCCCGCCACAGGCCTGCCGCCAGCTACCATCATGTTCGGCCGCAGCATCCGGGACACTCTCCCCAGCCTGTGCACGGCCCCAGCACCAGATGCGACCGTCACGGCGAACAAGGAGCATGCGTTCCGCGCCCGCCAATGCGAGGCGGCGAACCACCATCGCAGTGCGCAACCGGCTTCGACCATCACCCTCAAGCCGGGTCAACAAGTTCTGCGCAAGAACGAACGGCAGCACAACAAGCTCGACTCAATCTGGGATCCAAACCCATGGACTGTGGACGAGATGACGGGCTCCACCGTGGTCATCACCCATCCAGTCACAGGCCAGCGGGTCTCTAGGCATGTGTCATTTACGAAGCCGGCTCCCGCTATCGTGGTTCATCCTCCGTCGCCCGAGCCTCCACTACCTACCCCGCCGCCACCACCGACAACACCACCCCTGCCCCACCGACAACACCACCCCTGCCCCACCGGCGGCGTCAGCAGCCACCGCGCTCGGCCAAGGCGGTCCACAAATATGTCCAAACAGCACGCGCCACCTGATGTATGTGTGCATCAAGTCCACCCTGAATCTCAGACTGGCTTCAGTTTTTTTCCCTTTTTATCCTTTGTGTGACTGTTTACCTGCTCCGCCTTTTCTATCTGTAGCATAGGGAGAGGGACAGCCTGACATCAAGTCATTTATCCATGCCTCGTGTTTTCAGTTTTCAGTTTTCCACTTTTCACCCTACGTTTTTTCATCTGTGCTTGGGAGAGATGTAGTGTTCACGTGTTCCTACGCGCTGTGGCATTCCTTGGCCACTCCAGACATTCATGATGCATGTAGTAGTAGTAGTACATCGTGATGTTATGCATGTAGCATGTGCCGTTTCCCGCGCGCGCGCATGAAACGGACTTCGCGGCTTTTAGTTGCTGTGCATGGTTTGACTCTGGACTCTTGTTGTTTTGGACTGAAGAAGAAACAATACTACACCCGTGAATTCGCGTGTTTGCGCTCCACTTATGGAAAGTTGTCCACGTAGAGTACGTAGATAGGGCTATGATAACGTAGGTGCTCCGTAAGTGGATTGTGGTACACATTCATGACTCTCTCCCCAGGTCGATCCGGTTGTACACTGTCACGTTCGGAGTTGCCAAGGGCAGCTACGTGATTTTGAAAACTCCGTATGGCGGAACACAGATCTGCATGCAGTTTACGTCAGCCTTTCCGTAGATCGACTACGTTTTTTTACTGATGTAGTTACGTTACGCTGAACCTCTCTATTATGCAAGTTTGTTGTGTTTCCCACCCTCGCAACTGCATTCCAAGTTGAAGTATACGCTAAAATCAAATGTTCACCAGTTGTAGTCTTCGGGGTGCTGAGTTTACAACAGGGAGTAGTACTACTCCCTGATTTACAACCTGCTTGGGCCCGTTCCTGTCACTCGAGTTGAACATTTGAACCAGGGAGTCGTAAAAGCCTCTTACGACTCCCTAGTTTGAACCTTTGAGTTGAACCTTGGTGTGAAAATTGTAGCCTGCAGGCACGGTGACCAGGCGACTGGTGTACGTATGAGCACGTGATCGCTTACTCAACCGTGTTCGATTGGGAATAAGAGCCGAACGCTGCATTGCAGCCTTTTCGGACCAAAACCAGTCGGCTCAGCGGCCAAAAGACTGCAACATTTGGACCAATCACGGTCATCCGTGCTTTTATAAGAACGAAACGGCGTTTTTAGTGACTTTTTCCATACAAATCCCAATCTAGTAGGGCGCAGTCACCCAGTTTCGATGGAAGTGCGCGAGTTCGATTGGGAATAAAGGAGGAAGGGAGCGTCTCAGCTTCCTCGGACCAAGACCATTGGACTCAGCACCCCGAAGACTAGGCCCAGATTTCTTCCGTCCGTATGAAAACTTAGGAGAAAGGTAGATGGTAGCTATAGTCCTAATGTTTTGGCGGCGTTTACATGAATATGTTGAAATGTACAGCCAGCAAATTCCTTCTACCAAAATGTTTGTAATGATCCAGCATTATGGACCACCAGTATTAGCAGACCCGTTTCCGACCTGTCTCCGAAGACATCAGACATAAACAATTCTTTCCAGCACTAGATACAGCACAGTTTGAACTTGAAGTGCCCCCCCCCCCCCCCCCCACGCACACACCTGAAAATAAACGGTCCAATGGGTACTTCATGTTATGATCTGTCATAATGCCAGGAGTGATTCTTTGTGATGCTGTGTTTGCGCATCAGAGTCCCCTCCCCCTCCCCTCCCCATGCACAAACCAATAGGTCCAGTACAAGTGTGGGATTGTTATAGTGTACTGCTGGATTGTATGCTATTGCAGTCTTCATGTTATTCATGGTTGTAGCCTTTATAGGTGTCAACTACTACATCGGTGGATATCTTGCAAAGTTGTAATATTGACTTGTGTACTTGTGTTGAGCATATTGTGTGTGTACCAGTATGTGTGAGGTCTTCATTGACTGTTTGTTGTTTCACTGGACCTCCTCTGTTGCCTATAGGATACACTCGAGTCACAGTTGGAAAGCATGCAATCACAAAAATCAGCTCTGGAAGAGACACTTGCTGCTGCTCATAGCAACTATTTGAGCTTGAAAGACAGCCTGGAGGGAGTTGAGGTGAGCACCATGTTACAAATAATCAAGCCAAAATGGACTAAAATGGACTACTAGTATCTTCAGTATCATTTGTGTGGATTAGCTCTTCTCTCATGAGCATTGTGCACTCTCTCGAGCCGGAGGACTTCTCTCCTATTTGTGTTACCCTAAACTCAATCTGCGGACAGCATGCTGTTTCGTTCTTTTTGAACTCATCAGCGCAGCACAGAGGAAATGAGGCCGAACCTGATAGCAATGGAAATAAAAATTTCCAATCAGGCCCGAACGTACCTTGCCAGAGTGCTCAAACTGACAAGTCAGTGAGCTCTGCGTAACGCAAACAGCAAAGGCACTACCCCACGCAAGAGTGCTCAACTGCTACAAGAGCAGGAGCGAAATACTCAATCTGCGGACAGCATGCTGTTTCGTTCTTTTTGAACTCATCAGCGCAGCACAGAGGAAATGAGGCCGAACGTGATAGCAATGGAAATAAAAATTTCCAATCGGGCCCGAACGTACCTTGCCAGAGTGCTCAAACTGACAAGTCAGTGAGCTCTGCGTAACGCAAACAGCAAAGGCACTACCCCACGCAAGAGTGCTCAACTGCTACAAGAGCAGGAGCGAAATACTCAATCTGCGGACAGCATGCTGTTTCGTTCTTTTTGAACTCATCAGCGCAGCACAGAGGAAATGAGGCCGAACCTGATAGCAATGGAAATAAAAATTTCCAATCAGGCCCGAACGTACCTTGCCAGAGTGCTCAAACTGACAAGTCAGTGAGCTCTGCGTAACGCAAACAGCAAAGGCACTACCCCACGCAAGAGTGCTCAACTGCTACAAGAGCAGGAGCGAAATACTCAATCTGCGGACAGCATGCTGTTTCGTTCTTTTTGAACTCATCAGCGCAGCACAGAGGAAATGAGGCCGAACGTGATAGCAATGGAAATAAAAATTTCCAATCAGGCCCGAACGTACCTTGCCAGAGTGCTCAAACTGACAAGTCAGTGAGCTCTGCGTAACGCAAACAGCAAAGGCACTACCCCACGCAAGAGTGCTCAACTGCTACAAGAGCAGGAGCGAAATACTCAATCTGCGGACAGCATGCTGTTTCGTTCTTTTTGAACTCATCAGCGCAGCACAGAGGAAATGAGGCCGAACCTGATAGCAATGGAAATAAAAATTTCCAATCAGGCCCGAACGTACCTTGCCAGAGTGCTCAAACTGACAAGTCAGTGAGCTCTGTGTTACCCTAAATATAGAAATGTTGACGAACAACGTTCTAATCATCATGCATTGTTCCATTGTTTCTTGTGGTTTCTTCTGCATTTTTTCTTCTCTAAGACACACCTTGAAGCTGCTCATAAGGATCTTGCCACTTTGAAGGCGGACTGTGCTGCTCTGAGTGACAAGAACATTGGCCTTCAAGATGAATTGGCTATACAAAAGGTGAACTGGATGGTTGCATGTTGAAACTTTTTCCTCCACCTCCATGGCTGGTACTAGCTTTGTGTGGTTGCCCTATTCACTACATCATTGGGTGGACGGGGGCTGAATAATCCGTAGAAAAATTTGACAGCCAGTAACCCCGGACAGCCCCTTTAAAATGTTGTAGAAGAGCTCAATTCGAATAGTGATTCTGTGCAGAAACGGTTAGTTTTGATTAATTTTATCTGTGGGGCATTGTGTTGTCTGTGGTTATAGGGTGCACTTGCAAACATGCACAGTGATCTAGAGAAGGCTCGAACATCTCAACGAGACCTTGGCGATCAGCTGCACAGCACTGAAGGGGAACTGGAAACATTGAAGTGAGTTTGTTAACTCTACGCTGCTCTGTGGTTCTCATTCAAGTGCATTCACTGTACGTACATGTACATGTAGCGATGAGAACTTGGTTTCAACGTTTGTGTTCTAATTTATTGTTGATGAATTCTGCAGAACAAGCCATGCTCAACTTTCCATTGAAGTTGATTCCTTAAAGGTAAGATATTACGGCTGCAACACTCATTTCATCTGACAATCGACCCTTGCTGTAGTATGTTATCATCAACCAATGACACCCGCTATGCTTTGATATACCAGTACCGGCAAGAGTAGATAAACAAGAGTGTGCAACTCCGGATCTCTCCTGCACAATCTGCAGATACCCCCGCCCACGGCGGAATTTTTTGTTGACGTCACCTTTTTTCAGAAGAACGCGCATTTCGCCGCAGAGCAGTGTGAGAGCACGTGCTGGGCACCGACCTTGTAGTGTAAAGCCGGCCAAGAGCACGAGGGAAAACTTTCCGAAAGACTCGCAGCTCGTGCGTCGTCGAAAAGATTACGTCAACAAAAAATTCCGCCGTGGGCCTACCCATCCGCGAGTTGCACACTCTTGTTTATCTACTCTTGGTACCGGTAATAGCAGTATAGTGCATGAACGTTATCCATTTATAGTTGGAGTTATTTGGAGGCAGTGAAAAGGTAATTGACCTTTTGCAATTCACTGCTTCCATCACATCGTGCTGTTCTCTCTACCTGTTCTCCACAAAATGTGGGTCCCTCGAGTGCAGCGCCATGGGCCATCCATGTGCAAGGGGTCTATGGTCTAAAGATAAAATTGTCACCACCCGGACTCTGCAAGACTGTCATAATTTCTTTTTTTCTCAATGGCAACCATGACATGGCATAGTCCACCTACAGTTGTCATACGCATGTGTTTTTTGAGATGTTTAGCTTTGATTTGCTAAGACTTAGGCTCACTCACACGTTTCGTCTCGCGTTCTTTCACAGGAGTGCAAAGAAACTTTGGAGAAGGAACACCAGAGCATTTCCTCTGCATTGGATAGTGCAAAGTCTGAGATAAAAGTGAGTGTCCTCCATTGTGTCTGTGGTGTGCATATGATACAAAGCTAGTGTGACAACTCCACTAGCAAACTCACAACCAGCACACCAGGCAGTATTCCTGGCCCAGCATCTCTGCTTTGGCAGAGGCAAGACTGGCGGCGTCGACGGCGGCTGCGTCGGTTGCGGCCGTCAGGCGTTCCCTTTCCGCCTTGGCGGCGTCCCGGGCAGCGGCAACTGCAGGAGTTACTAGAGAGGTTCGGCTACGCGTTTTTGGGCCAAACTCTACGTGTAGATCTATCAACTGGGTTTGAGGATGAAAAGGACGCGGTCTGGAGCTCACGACTTGACGTGAATCTGGCGATCTACACGGATCGCGCTCCGCGAAGATTTTTCAAGAACCTTCGATGTCGCCATTTTGGTTGTCCCGGAGATCCGGCTTGGCTTGCCACAACGCGAAGCCGAATCAAACTCTGCGCCCGCGTAGCTTTGCAACGTGTGGCCAACACTTTCGTCGCGTACGCGTTACTTGTAGCCGAACCTCTCTACTATGGGTGTTGACCTCAGTGGTGCAACACCGGATTGTCGTGGTCTTTTGGGCGGAGGCCCTTCTTCGATTGCCAAAGCGAACTTCTTCAGCGAGTTCAGGACAGATGTCAACCCGCGTGACAGAGCCCGGAGTTTCTGAGCTTGTGCTGGTCGGTTCAGCGCTTCGAGTGCGGATGTGCCGGCCTGCAAGGCCACCAACAAGTTCTGCTGGTGACTTGCGTGCCTTGGCAGTGATCTTGTCAAGGTGGTACTTCGATTGTCCGTCATTCTGTTCAAGAAGAGGACACACATTAAAAAACTCGGATGTTGAGCGAATAATAAATGTAGAAAGGAAAAGGACATATGGAAACGAGTTAAGAGTAACTCTCCATCACTGTAACCAGTACTATATACAGTCAGAAAGTGCAACAACTAGGCACAAAACTGACAGAGTACTGAGACATTCGACGTCCTGACACCTGTCAGTTTTGTGCCTAGTTGTTGCACTTTCTGACTGTATTATAGTATCTGATTACAGTGATGGAGAGTTACTCTTAACTCGTTTCCATAGTTATGTCCTTTTCCTTTCTACATTAAAAAACGTTTAGCATTATCGCTTGATCCTGGTCACAGCACCACATGTCATGGCCAGTGATCTATCTAGTGGCACCAGGCAGTCAACCAATATAGTTGACTTCAAGTAGATAAGTAGCTCACCTGTTCTACGGCTCACACAAGTGTAGTCGAGGGTTCAAGGGAGCGATTGGAGATGTTTATTGTTAGAAAGGCTGGCTATTTATGTGATTGCTAGGAAAGTTTTACATGATATAATTAGTTATTGGTACAATTGGATACAGTGTTACGGGGAGCTCACTCACCTAAGAGGAATATTATTACCACAGTAAGTTACGGGATTTCGCTGCCACTTCGTATATCGTGCCGCCTTGGTGTATTTACTGCCATTTTTTCCACGTGTGTCTTCACTGCCATGTGAGTCAAGCAAATAGATATAGATCATGTAATACGAATAATTCATGATCTCAGTTGTGAGATTTGCGACACCTTGCTATCGGGACAGTCTCAACCAGATATGCTACAGCAAGAGCTACTGCTGTAAGTGGGTGTGGTTTGCAAACTGGACACGGAGGGATTGCTTTACTGATTGTCCCCGCACAACATACATTAGTACATGTAGATACAGTTGGAATACCTTTCACCTGAGACTGATAAAGTGTGCTCATGGAACTGCATGCAGCAAAAACCTCAGTGTTTGTTAGGGCCAGGTTCCACTGCGGCTCCGCTGCTCCGCTGCATGTCATCCGCGGCATGAAACGTCATCATTACCATTTACCATAATGACCGCGGCTCGGACTGGTGCAGCGAGGCCGCGGCTCACCACGAACTTTCGCTACGCTGCTTGATCAAAAACTGCAAGCCGCGGTCGTGGCTCGGCCACTTTTCCAGTACTTTCCATTGTTTTATACGCGAGAATTTTAAAATTCAAATTGTAATTCGTTGCACAGGCCAGAACACGAGGATTTTTCGATTTCGCGCTTGCACACGCGCAGGCAGGCAAATAAAACACAATCAAAAAAACCTCGAGCATGACCGCGGTACCGCAAATGGCGAGTGTCGGTGGAACTGCGCTGCTCCGCTGCATGCAGCCAAGTGCCGCGGAGCAGAGGAGTCGCAGAGCCACAGTGGAACCCGGCCCTTAGTATTAATTTGTCTTGTTCCTTGTATCCTGTGCTGGATTCACAGAATCATGTTGAGACTGAAACAGAACAGAAGAAGATGATATCTGATATGGAAGAGGAATCCGCTCAGTTACGGTATGTAGTTGCGGTATCGGTCTCTACTGTCTAACACTATTGCAAAGAATATGCTGTCAGAAACTGATGTCACAAAGTAACGTTATAATCGAACAGTGTCTACTGAATACCACTGTGCTGGCTGAGTCTAGGTTTTATCCCTTTACTGGCCATACTTGCATTGAGTTGGTCGAATTCGACCAATTCAACTTGCATGCAAACCCATGCCTGTTCTGATGCGAAGCATCAACCAATGAGGAAATCATGTGGCCCACACACTGCTCATGCATGATGCTGAAGAGATCCATCTCATTGACTTTGCTGAGATCTGCGCGGTCGAAAAATGACGGAAATATGCGGGTGCCACCAGTGCCGTAACCTTCTGTCAAAAGCTAGTGAGCTGTGATTTGGCTTGAACTGAGAGGTCCTTTCGCTATCAGATCGCGTCTCTGGTGAGGATGAAGCCATCTTTTGCGCTGAGACAGACACCAGCTACATGAATACTTCATTCTAGCCACCACTGGATGCAAATTTGAATTTAGGGAGTGGAACTCTCGTCATTTAAGTTCTCCTACAAATAATTGAGGCTCTCACTGCGGAAGACGATATCATTACTTGTACAATGTACTTTGGTGAATTTGTTGATGGTAGTAGTGGGGAAGACATGGAGAGTAACAGTCCCTCAGAAAAAGGATGTTTAGGACACCGACACCCTGTACGCCTGGGTGATGGCAGTGCCATGTAGCATACCCAACGGCGGATCCAGGGGGGGGGGGGGGGGGGGGTCAGATGAACCCCCCTGATTTTTTCCGACCATAGTTCAGGTGTGACCACTAACACATGCTATGGCCCAGTCAGCCCAGGCCGGAGCGGTCCGCTAGCTATGCAGCTTGGTAGTAGTACTACTACTAGTAGTACATTGTTGTCTTGTACGTAGATCTACTACTACTGTAGTAGATGTGCAAAGTAAAGTAGATCCGCACTGAATATACAGCTACATAGACCTACCGGTACGCGTTCGCTTTGGAGAAAGAGGTGCACTTGTTGAGCTGCTACGGAAACTTCGAAAGTAAGTTTCAAATACACTACTATTACTAGTTTCTGAATGGCGCGGTGCCGTCGCGGCTCGTGCTTTTTGAGCTGTCTTAGAGTTCGTCCAGGTGTCTAAAAGAGGCAGGCTCAAGACCAGCTGCCCTTGAATTTTGGTGACACTCCAAAGAAAAGTGTAGCCACTAGTGTCGAAGGTGAAACAAAGAGCGAAACTTTGGAAATCACGTTCAAGTTCAACCTCCCATCATCCAATAATAAAAATTTCCCCAACTGCGGACGTCACTGACTAAGACACGGAAGATGCAGGAAGCCTACCTTATGGAACCTACTCTACATACCAGTATATTGGAATCAACATTGGGTGGCTCGGAGTACAATATGATGGACAATTATTATAGACGAGCTGCTGGAGAAAAGTACCAATCAGCTATTCTGCGGCAAAGACATTGAATGAAAATTTTTCCTTGTGGCGCGTGTCTTCAATAATGTCACGCAAACGTGCACTTTTATACATGTACATGTAAATTGTATGTCATCATTTCGTCAGTGTGACTACTAAGTGTAGTATTATTCTCAATATGGACAAGGAGACATGGACGAGTAAACTAATGAGGAGCAAGAAATGCACAACCAGTAGGTAAGTGAAAAACAAGAGAAGTCCCGAGCCAGTGAAGCACATCAAAGTTCTGGCCTACGGGACCGGGAAACGGCCTGTGTGACGTACATACAGCATGCAACGCATACAGTCATAAGTGTACAGTAGTGTACGCGTAATAGAGTCCAGATATTACGACATCTCCCCTTTCAGGGCGCGCAGCAAGAGAGCGATAAGTTAGCAAAACAGGAAAAATGCTGAAGACGAAAGAGTAACGCTAAATGATTAACGGAATCTGATGGGAGTATGAACGGCACGTCCGGAACGGGTAACTCTACCGGAACGCTCAGGGACGGGAGTACCTGGAGATGGACGTTGGGCGGGTGACGCTGGCTCACCGGTGTCCACAGCGTTAACAGGACCTGCAGGCGGATCGACGATGAGGTCACTGCAGTTGCGGCGGAGAACCGAACCGGACGGCGTCTCCACGATAAGCGACCTGGTGGAATGCTCGGCAGTGACAATACCAGGCTCTTTCCTATCCGGAACAAAGACAGCGGTACCCGGGACCAGTGGCGGAGCATCGAGAGCGCGATGGCGGGAATTGAAATCCGACGCTTGCCGGGACTTCAGAGAGGCATCTTTGGCGGCAAACGCTGTGCGATCTACGAGATATGGCCGTCGAACGTCTGCCGACATGGGTAAACGCGTCTGGATGTGGCGGCCCATGAGGAGCTCCGCAGGACTGAAGCCATGTGCTAGTGGACTGGCACGATAGCTCTGCAGAGCAACATACGGATCACCTCCCCTCACCAGCAAATGCTTTAGGGTCTGCACTCCGCGTTCCACTAAGCCGTTGCCTTGCGGATGAAGAGGGCTGCTCATGCGCTGGGTGGTTCCTTGCTCTTGAAGCCATGCTGAAACCTCTGCACTTGTGAATGGGGGACCATTGTCCGAAACAAACACATCTGGATTGCTGTGACGCGCAAACATGGACTTCAGTTGCGTGATGAGAGAAGCTGCAGAAGTACGGGACATCTGAGCAAGCTCGATCCATCGGGAGTAGTAGTCGACGACAACTAGGTACTGAGAGCCTTGGAACTGCATGAAATCGGCAGCGACTTCCTGCCTCGGGAAGACGTGAGGACAGCAGGGGCTCCATTGGCGTTGGCTTGTCACGAGCGCAGGCTTGGCAATTGGACACGATATCAGCCAACTGGGCGCTTAGACCTGGCCACCAAACTGACTGGCGAGCCCTTTCGCGGGTCTTCGTGATGCCGAGGTGACCAGCATGGAGCTGCTGGAGGACTTCTGGACGGAGCTGGTCCGGGATGACGATTCTGGAACCGTACAGGAGCAGGCCATCTGTGATACAGAATGACTGCCGGGATGCGTAGTAGGGCTTAACGGACACTGGAGCAGACTGTAAACTTGGCCAACCGGACAGAGTGTACTGCACAAGATGTTGACACACTGGGTCTTGAGCCTGCTGGTGTTGAATCTCACTCAGTCTTGCATCAGACGCAGGGAGATGAGAAACCACACTGTCGAGAAAAGCTTCTGCGTCGTCGAGGAGGCGGACGTCATCAGCGGACAGAGGACGCGACGCAGGTGACCTAGATAAGGCATCAGCAACGATTAGATCTTTGCCAGGGATGTGTACGATGTCGAAATCAAATCGCATCAGGTTGAGCCGGAACCGAAGTACACGTGGAGGGATAGAGTCGAGAGCACTAGTGCTGAAATGGGGCACCAGAGGCTTGTGATCGGTTTCCAGCGTGAATCTCTTACCAATGAGGTAATCAGAGAATCGGTTGCAAGCCCAGGTGAGGCCAAGAGCTTCTTTTTCTATTTGAGCATAGCGACGCTCTGCCGGCAGTAGCGCACGAGACTGGAACGATACGGGTTTCCAATCGCCGGACGGCTGTTGCTGCTTGATAACGGCACCGAGACCATAGCTCGAGGCGTCTGCAGAGACAATAGTTGGGTACTCGGGGGAGTACAGAGCAAGAACAGGCATACACGACAGAAGAGCCTTGATCTCTTCAAATGCCGATTGCTGAGGGGGTCCCCAGGACCAAGCATTGCCTTTCTTGAGAAGGTCGCGGATCGGCTGTGAGACGGAAGCAAGTGAGGGAGAGAACTTGCCAAGCTGGTTGACGAGGCCGAGAAAGCTTCTCACATCCGAGACATCCTGGCATGGCGTGAAGTCTTGAATGCCCTGCACCTTCTGGGGATCAGAGTGGATGCCGTCTTGGTCGATGATATGACCCAAGAACTTGGCAGAAGTGACTTTGAAGAGACACTTGTCCGGGTTGAGTGTGACGCCGTTGTCGCTGAGCCGTTGTAGCACCTGGTGCAGCCGGTTATCATGTTCCTCTTCAGTGCTACCGAAAGAGCCTCGTCCATCTGACATGCGGTACCAACCACACCGTTCAAGATCCGAGCCATTCGTTTCTGAAAACGTTCGGGAGCCGAACAAATAACGAATGGTAGACGTGTGAACATGAAACGCCCGAACGGGGTGATAAACGTGGTCAACTTCTGGGATTCCTTGGCCAAGGGCACTTGGTAAAACCCAGAGTTGGCGTCAAGCTTTGTGAAATACTTGGCAAGAAATGCACAACCAGTAGGTAAGTGAAAAACAAGAGAAGTCCCGAGCCAGTGAAGCACATCAAAGTTCTGGCCTACGGGACCGGGAAACGGCCTGTGTGACGTACATACAGCATGCAACGCATACAGTCATAAGTGTACAGTAGTGTACGCATAATAGAGTCCAGATATTACGACACTAAGTAGGGTGGGAAAAAATTGAACCCCCCTTGGAAAAATCCTGGATCCGCCCCTGATACTCACGCATTTACGAAGGCATCCGGCAGCGCCTGTGAGAGCAATGCTGCCTTAGGTCCTGGGCGGAGCATGGCCAATGGGTCCGTGAGGTCTATGGCCTTTGTTTTCACCTCAATGTCTATTATTCTGAGAGTTGTAGCTGGTCGAGTCCCTGACGATCTGCATGTATCAAATTTCCATGTTTGGACATAGAGGGGTGCATATGAGTGTCAATTCAGTAGTGTACACATAATTATGGTATGTCAATAATATTTTCCATGGTCAAGATATGTTGCCAGGCTTCAGAAAACCCAAACTTGTACATACACCATGTGATACTGGTGCTCTTCGGTCAATTTGCTAACGTTGTGCCTAATGCAGGGAAAAGATTGAACAAACCCAGGAGAATGCATCTTCCGCCAGTGGAAAAGCTGGAGAAGCTCTTGAAAAGAAGCAGCAGCAGGTTTGTAAATGTTTGACAAAGTGTGTTTGTAAAGAGAGAAGGACCTATAAGTTACTAGTTATGACTAACAGCCCACCAAGGTAACGAGATAATATACAGTCAGATAGGGCGACAACAAGGCACAAAACTGACAAGGATATTGATACACCCGAGTTTTTATAAAGTGTGTTTGGCAAGCTATTGGCAATTTGCCCACCCTACAAATTCGAGTAGCGACTAATATACTTGAATGCAAACTGTGAATGACAAATACATTAAGATGACCAATAGTCTAAATATGTTGAGCAATCTCTACTGATATGACGAGTACACCCCAGTTAAAACTTAAAAGTTGTAGAGCGTGGTTGGCCTGTCATGAAGGTCCCTGTTTTGAGTGCTGTTCCTGAAATTCAGTTCTTTTTCAGGTTTCTTTCCATTCACAACTCTTTTCTCCTCAGTGGGGGTAGGTAACGAATGAGTGTATTTATAGGGTAAGAGAGGCGCAATTGCGCACTTTCAAGTTTCTACATAGAAAGTTGCATACCCAAAGACGTTGACGGTGATAACAGTTCTAAAGGTGATAACGAAACGCACAGTGCTGCTGGGACATACATGCAGATGGTGCTAGAATTTAGACAAGCGTGTGAAGCAGACAATCTATTGTAAGTTCGCACTAACGTAGCCACACATACATTATCCATATAAAAATCGCTCTGTGAGCGGTTCTGAAAAACCTTTACTGGTACTGCCCCGTCGTAAAAGTAAGAAATTAGAACTGGCCCATTGTCCCCCCAAATGCGAACTGATCCACCTAAATCGCGAATGACGGGACCCGAACGCACCAGTAGCACGAGGTCGGGAGGGCACAGGATCACGGCAATTATCATAGGGTAACACCAGTAGTAGCAGTAGAATTTATTATTTTGATAGGGAAGCCTACCGCTAGTACAGTACATGGCCTATGGTCCGGACCAACGTCCCCATCTGCATCCACAGGTAGGAACCTCGTGCTACTGGTGCGTTCGGGTCCCGTCATTCGCGATTTAGGTGGATCAGTTCGCATTTGGGGGGACAATGGGCCAGTTCTAATTTCTTACTTTTACGACGGGGCAGTACCAGTAAAGGTTTTTCTGAACCGCTCACAGAGCGATTTTTATATGGATAATTTCAGCTCTTTTTCCGTTCCCTCCCCACCCCAACCCCGAAGGTAAACATGATGACCACGCGCGCGATGTACTGTATGTAGCCATGCGACTGCAATAACACACTGATACATACCAGCCCTCCCCGCCTCGCTACCCCGCACACAGATACACAAACATGTGTATGCACACGGCACACACACGTGGCCACGCACACATACGCACATGCACACGACACAAACAGGAAATTCTTCATGTATAATGCCATGCAAAGCAGTGGCCAGCGTACTTGAGGAAGTCAGTTGTGAAACAAAAATAATTCAACTACAGCGTGTAGACAAGCTGACGGCCAAAGCACAACATAGCAAACATGACATTTGCCCAAGGATTGCAGTTTGCAGACCATGCCATGGAAGCAGCGAATACAGAATGTAATATCATACAAAGTGACAAGCAAGGACGTGGCCATCATACACCAGAAACTTGCAGAAAGTCACATATCCAACAGATAGAGAAGTGAACAGCAATCTGATACAGCCCACACAGGACAAAGCGGACCTGATACTCGTCCCAGGATCGCAAGTGGCAAACCCTTTTCAAAGCATAACATGCAGGTGTACGTTAGACGCATGAACATCTGACCGTGTCGCCAGCATACAATGTCATCACATGTTTACCCCACAAGTTACACACATGCACAGTAGAAGCACAATGAAAGCAATGGAAAAGTACGATGTGGTTGCTGAAGCATCTTCACACTTCAAATTCAGACTTCAATGTGGTCGTCACGGGATGATATACCTGCAAGATACAAGTGATGAAGAAAGAAAGCAGAAGGTCGTGAGGTAGGCTATGAGACACCACAAACGGTTCACCTACATGTCTGTTCAGGGCTAGTGCACTCACACGGAGAATTGTCATAATCGAGCATTTCCCAAACTGAGAAGTGCAATGAAATCCACTTGCATGCACAGGAGCAATTTTGCAATATTATGATGCGCAATTCGACACGATCTGCGATGCTGCGTGCAATGTGCCCTGCTGTCATGATAGTGACAGTCACCGCGGTATGTTTTGTCAACGTCGCCCGTGCACTCTTCTGTCAAGTCCAAAGTGCTCACATACTTGGCAATGTTTTTGCAGTGATTAACTTTTATCCTAGTTATGTCACGGGTAACTTTAATGAAGTACCCGCAGGCCGTGTCGATCTGCACATCGTCCACTCTCTCATGTACTTGGCCTGCTTTGTCTGTGTATCCATTTCATGTGCGATCCACAAAATCGACTAGACAGTGGGTGCAATACGCTCTCTACCTGAAGACGTTCTTCTGGCGACATCTCGCCATGTACTTGACCTGGCTTTGTCTGTGTATCCATTTCATGTTCGATCAACAAAATCTCAATGCACTACAGAGACTAGACGGTGCAATACGCTCTCTATCTGAAGACGTGAACCATTAAATTTTTTGGAAAAGTTATACGTACACCTGAAACGTAATGAAGTACAGGAATAGAGAGAGTGACTACAATACGCTCTCGACCTGATATAGTGATAACGTGAGTACAAGACACTCTCCACCTGATAACGTGTTAGAAGGTAACATGTCTACAGTCCCACCGTACCCTTCCGACACGACTGTAGACCATTACATTTTTTTGAGAAGTTATACGTACACCTTAAACGTAATGAAGTACAGGAATAGAGAGAGTGACTACAATACGCTCTCGACCTGATAACGTGAGTACAAGTCCCACCGTACCCTTCATCATTTCTCATTCATCATCGCGCGATACCCTGGCACACACTGGCAACATATCAATGGGGTGCCTTACCGTCGTCTAGAGGAGACGTCTTCGCAGCAATATTTTCCCTCCTGCGCATTCAGTCGCCGACGCGACAGCGTTCACGGGGCCGTTCCAGTTGCGGAAGACATTCGATTCATCGGGCCAATTCAGCAACAGGGCCGTGGACACACAGGGGGCAGAGGAGAGACATTGTTAGTGGACAAGAAATATGCAGTGGCAAGTGGCGAGTGCCGCATGGATGTCAAGTTGTCATGCACAATTCAGCTATTACTTACGGTCCAGCTAGTCCTGCCATTGCTCGCTCGTCCTGGTTCCTCCTCGTTCGTCTTTCTGCACGTCTGCACTTCTCCTTCCCCACCGTTGGCTTTGCGGTATGGGGGTGCCGGAAGGAATTCCCACCATGTATCCATGTACATGAAGTCCCACCATGACTCTCCATGTACATGTCCACGGCCACGTCAGCAGTTTGTATAGTACCGGAAGGAGTTCCCACGATGTCTCCAAAGGCCTAGAGCGGACGTCTTTGCAGCAATTCTTTTCGCCCTGCGCATTCAGTTCGCCGACGATGTCTCCAAAGGCAAAGGCCTAGAGCCTAGTAGAGGGGACGTCTTTGCAGCAATTCTTTTCACCCTAGTACCCTGCACATTCACTCCGCCGACACGACAGCGTTTACGGGGCCGTTCCAGGTGCAAAAGGTCCACGTCAGCAGTTCTCAACTATTTCGCGTACGGGATAGTCGCCGCGACAGCGTTTAAGGGGTCGTTCCAGGTGCAAAAGGTATCCATCAATGGCTGTACTTTGCAGTATGGGTACGGAAAAGGGGCTGCCGTCAGGTCCACGTCATGCAATTCTCAACTATTTCGCGTACGGGATAGTCGTCTTTGTCGTACGCGACATCGGCGTTTACCGAGTGGCATTGGCACAAAGCAGACCGTTGACGGGGTCACGTGTCAAAAAAATATCAACAACGTGTCGACTACGTGTCGACCACGTGTATAGCGGTACACTCAGCGGTACACTAATTCTCGTGCCAATCTCGTGTCACAAAACTGAAACATCGAGTACCAGTATGGAAAGGCTTCAGACAGGAAGCCTTTCCAATGCATAATGATAGATTGAAATTAATGGTCCCATAGTGATGTGTGGCAACGTTAGTGTGAAATTATAATAGATTGTCTGCTTCACGCGCTAGTCTAAATTCTAGCGCCATCTGTATGCATGTCCCAGCAGCACTGTGCGTTTTGTTACCACCTTTAGAACTTTTGTCACCGTCAACTTCTTTGTGGCCACTTTTCTATGTAGAAAGTGCGCAAATGCGCCACTTTTAGGGGCCTTCCATAAATACCGATATTTATTTAGAAACGAAAACTAGTCGTTTCTCTTCAACCCCCCCCCCCCCCCCCTCCATGAGAAACGAACACATACAAATGGTACATAGTATCGATATTTTTGATCTTTTTCCTGGACTTGCTCACGCATGCAAAATGTACATCGATATTTTTCGAGAAACGAACAGGCGCTCAACCCCCTCCCCCCTAAACGACTAGTTTTCGTTTCTAAATATATATCTATATTTACGGATGGCCCCTTACCCTATAAATATACTCATTCCTTTGTCTGCTATTCATTCGTTATCTACCTCCACTGAGGAGCTCTCAATGAGCCAAACAGCTGTCTGGAGGATATGAAGCATCTATCCAAGAACGAACTTCCTCGCTATGGAGTATGGTGTTGTGAATGTGGGCCAAGAGCGCAGTGTGGAGAGGTAGACAGTTCGAATTATTTTAGAATGGTGGAGTTCGTCGCTACTTCTGAGGTATTAGTAATTTGTCACTTCATTGTTTGATGTTGTCTTCAATAGCACTTCATCGGATTACCCTCTTCTTTTCCTGCTTGCAGATAAAGACCTTGAAGAAAGACCTCGCTGAAGAAGTGAAGAAAGTCAGAGCTTCTGAGAAGCAGGTCAGTTAGTTACTTTGACTTACTCTTTCATGTGGAGAGTGAACAAGGGTGATGAGCAGAAGTAGTGTGTAATACGGAGAAAACTCCAGTGTTAATGTGTTATGCTGTAACTTATACACTGTATTTGTGACTCGGTTCTTGAACTATTGTCTTTAGGTGCGTGTACTGGAGACGCGAAAAGCTGACCTGGAACAGGAGACGATTGAAAGAGATGCCAAGGTAGGTGTGCAAGGGCGCTTGTGTACATGCACATCCTGCACTGCCTTTACTTACACCGTGGGCTACTGCAAAAGCCTTAGACTCATATATTACGAAGTGTTAAATCTAACGAGTTAACGAGGAGGAATGTCGTTAAAATAGAAAACGTTATACAGAAATCGATACTTATACTGTTGCTGGTGAGCATTGAGACAGCGAGAATCGTTACATTTGGTACACGTAAACTGGTCAATTTAGGAAGTCATTATATTTGCGGCTCGTTAGAATAATGGCATACACAGTATACAGTCGTCCCTCTCTAATCCGGCACCTTTTGCTACGGCGTTTTCTGCTGGATTAACGAGGGTGCTGGATTAAGAAATCCTGCCCTCTGACCCGGCCCTACCCAATTGCATGCATGTGTCATACGTCAAAACGCAGGGTTTTTCCGTGTCGATCCAAGTATTTGGTGCACAACTTTATATTCTCAACTGTTCTCCAGGAATATACACAGTGATAAAGTGATAAAGTAAAACAGAGAACATGTTCACATGTACTTGCACACACACGCACACACACACAGAGACCTGAAAATTGGCAGGACACTACTCCTTGCTAAAATAAGAAAGTATGGTTGACTGCTTAGCAGTTATCTCCTGGACAACATTGACCCTCTTGAGAAGGCCACGCAAGCAGTCGACATCATGCAGGTCGAACGACGGATGTCCTTCGAAGCAAACAATTGCATCAGCAAGTGCACGGGATGCTTGTGCCAGAGACACCGTCCGTGGTGGCTCCTCCTCCTCGTCACTGCTGCTGTCGCTCTCAACACTTTGCTCACTTGGCTTGATTAGCTCGACAATTTCATCATCAGTGAGCTCCTTGCCGGTAAGAACATGGTCATCAAGGCCAACAAACTCCTCAGCTGTCAGTGGAGACTCAAGTGGCAAGGAGTTGATCAGTGTCTGGAGCTCACCAGTCTGCTGTTCAGTGGCCACGGGAAGAATACCTGTGTGGCGGAAGCAGTTGGCAATGGTGACTGGCTTTACATCTCGCCAAGCATCTCGGGCAAAGTACAAGGCTTGCTTGATATCGAGTCGCTTCAGCTCGTTGCCATCATCAATAGTGGCAATGTACGACCTGAGGCATGTACAAATGAAATAGGAATAAGATAGAGCTGGTAGTGGTAAGACTCAAGCACGCATACATAGCAAGTGCACACTCAGCAGGCCATCATCATTTTTACTGAACACTACGTGGTGTAAAGCATAATGTTACATGCATGCGCCAATACATCTGCAGAGACTTTCACATTGCAATCACAATCTTACTTGATAAGCTGCTTCTTGTACAGGACCTTGAAGTTCTGGATGATACCAGCGTCCATAGGTTGCAGTTTGGACGTGGTATTGGGGGGCAAGAACTCCAAAGTCGTGTTTGACAAGTCGAAGTCACACTTGTGACTGGACGCATTGTCCAACAACAGCAGCACATGTCGATCCTGCGCATGCATACCACTGTCGAACGATCGCAGGAAATCACCGAACAGCTCAGCTGTCATCCACGCTTTGGTGTTGTTTCGATATGTCACTAGCTGCTGAACATCCCAGTTCCGGGGGAAACAGCGGGGGCGAGCAGATTTTCCTATCACAAACGGCTTGATCTTGTCACTGCCGTCTGCGTTAGCACAAACGCCAAGCGTAATGCGTTCCTTGCATATTTTGGAGCCGCTCACGGGGCCTGTCGCCAGGGTCCGGTTGGGCTCTAGTCCAAAGAACAGCCCAGTCTCGTCAAAATTGTAAATGTCGGCTAGGGCGTACTCCGACAGCGTCGCCCTCAGTTTTTCTCGCCCAGAAACGACAACTGCAGCATCCACGCTCGCCGCCTCTCCGTGCCGAACGTACTGCTTGATTCCGTGTCGCTTCTTGAAACTCGCGAGCCAGCCTTTCGAGTATGCGAACTCAGTAACGCCGAGTTTCTCTCCGAATTCTTTCGCCTTCGTTTGCAGCATCTCGTCAGAATGCGCAACACGGCGGGCCGACAGCTCCGTATGCCAGAGAAACAAGGCACGTTCCAAGTCCCTGTGCTTGGCGGGGCGGATTCTCTTCGCAGCTGGCCCTGGATCTAGGTCAAGCTCCAGCCACTTCTCGCTGCAGCGCAATACATCACCAATGGTGGAGCGGCCAATGCGAATGCCATGGTTCGTCCCAACCTCGCCGGCGATCAGGTCTTGCGAGGCTTTAGGGCGGCTCTTGCGATAAGCACAGATGTCTTTTTTTATCTCAGCAGTCAGTTCAGTCCGTGGACGCTTCGGCATTTTTGACAGAACTAAAAACCACACACCTAGCTCGGAAGTTAGGAATGGACTCAGATGGAGAGCCAAGGTTTAATTTATACAAAGAGAAAGACCAAGGAACTACAAGTTACGCTATACTGTCCACTAACACCACCAGTTACTAAACAATCAGCTCATGCGATAACATTGCACGACACTGACCGACGGTACTGACGTTCTACAACTAACTGGCTAAAAGCTCTAACAGCTTCCCCTCCGTATGTTATTTCTATAACTTAGAACCTTCCAAGTTGGAAGGCTGTTGGAGTGCGCATCCAAGATGTGCTAGAGCTGTTAGCCAGTTAGTTGTAGAACGTCAGTACCGTCGGTCAGTGTCGTGCATCGTCGCTGATTGTTTAGTAACTGGTGGTGTTAGTGGACAGTATAGCGTAACTTGTAGTTCCTTGGTCTTTCTCTTTGTATAAATTGAGTTCGGGTTCGGAAAAGTCCTAACAACCAACCGAACTGAACTCTCCCGCGCGAGGTCGAGTACAGTTGTCAACTGAATTCGATCGATAACTGAACTCTGAAGTGGCCCCGCGCGCGCGGCACTGACCAGACTGGCCTGGCAAGGAGTGCACCTGTACGGTACGCGATTTACGACTGCCAGATTATGAAATCAAACTACGTGCAGTTTGAGCGATTCGTTTCAAAAAGTCACTGCCGGAGGCGGAATTCAAGTGCCGGATTACGATGTAGGAATTGAACGAAAAAAATCGGTTTCATCAGAAAGTGCGCCGGTTGGCAAGGGTTCCGGATTAACAAGTGCCGGATTAGAGAGGGACGACTGTACTACATGGTCTATAGCACATGAAGTGTTGAAGTGTCAGGCTCAAAACTACAGTCCATTTCAAAACTATAGACGCGTACCTAGGCAAAAACCGTTATGCCAGCATCTATACCACATAAAATCTGTGATCACTTTGTGCACAATTTTTTCCAAATTGGGCGTCTGTTATCCAATCGTTTAGAAACTATATGAGAGTAATTGTGGAGCGGACCTGAGCAATATTCCGAAAACTATTCTCAAAAAGCTCCAGCCAAATTTGAAATATTTCAAAAACCCTACGCGTCTATAGTTTTGAAATGGACTGTAGGGGTGAAAGGGGTGATCCGGGTACCCGTTTGTTTAGCTGCTGACCCGTTAGCAAACGAGTACCCGTTAGTCATGTATGGCGGTACAGTACGGTAATATTATCTGGTGTGCACAGGCGCACAACTCGATGTACAGCTTTAATGTGTTGTTGCTTGTTCGATCCTGCTACATATGACAATTTTGACTGTTTTGCATGTAGCGCGGTAAGTGCGCATGCTGCGCTTGTCGCGATGTAGTGTACTTGCTGTGAATTGCATGACTTCGCATGTCCTCACACGAAATGTATAGTACGTTTTAGTAACTGTTACTATTGGCTGCTAAAGGGTACCCGTTAAGCCAGGTACCCGTTTGTAGCCTTAAAGGGTAACCGTTTCACCCCTACTCAAAACCCTGATGGGAACAAGGGATGGGTTATGAAATTCAATAAAAATGGTATTGTTCTTGGGAGTAGTGGTTCCCTCATTTCAACTCATTTTTAGGAAGGGGGCCAATTCAAACTACCGTAAAGTACCGCCAGAGCGCCCCGTCTCGCGAGAGCGCCCCACCTTGATTTTACAGCCAAGGGAAGAAAATCGTATGGCAGAATGCTACTAAGTTTGTACGATTTGAGAACCTTCGTGTACTAAGGTCACACTTGGTATACTTTTATGTGGAGCTCGAAGGTAAACTGGGTACGGATTGACTGCACAATGTGCAATGTTTGTACAAGGTCCGTGTTGTATGACCTACAGACAGGAATCCACCTCCACAAGGCGGCCACGAAAGGACGAGATGGTGGGGCGCTCTGGCGGTACTTTACGGTACTTGCATACTAGTACATGGATTCTCCAATATACCAGATCATGGGTATGTGTTCTCATCGCACTGTAATGGGATTGAGCATGCGTGCTGCTGGTCCACACCTATTTTATAAATTGGTGTTCAATGTAAACTTTTACAAGTAAATTGAGTATAATGCAAAAATGTTGCAAAAATATTGTCTTCCAGATCGATGAGCTAAGTGAAACACTGAAAGGAAAGGATGAAGTGCTGAATGTTCTCAACAACAAGGTATGGTTGCATTGTTAATTCATGTCTAGGCATACACTGGTTTGCGAGGGCTGCGGTGTGGGGTGGCATGATAATTATTTCAATTGGTAAGTTGAAACACGCCATGCCCTACGAACTGTATGCCACTTTGGGGGCATCCGGGGTTCTTGTTGTACATTAGCAATGCCTTATGTTCATACGCCACACTGGAATGCATTTCAGGAAATACAGTCAGACCTCGCTCATGGACTAATGCAATCAACAGATTTCTCGAGCTAGCTCCAGTAACTAGTTAGTTGGGGAATGAAAGCGATCTACTAACACTCTTTGTGTTGAATTTGGATGAATACGTACCATGGCTGTTGGTACATGGGATGGTCTGCACCGACTCTAATGTCTGTAGCAGTTATGTAGTGGAACAACAAATAGACCCTGAGCAATCTGCTGGCCTAAAAGTGTTCCAGTGCCTTTTCCATCTGTGCTTGTTTCTGATGGTATAATTTACACATACACTGCTCAGATTACACAACTGGAGGAGCTTCAACAGCAAGCACAGGCAGCTGTGGAGAGTGAACGAGAAGCTCAGATGCAATATGAACTGAAGAGCCAAGAACTGTGTGCAACTCTGGAAAAGTACCAGGTAATGTCTCCTCTCATAAAGTATGTTTAGAACGAGGTCGATCTTGCCTTACTCACACATATTAGGGAGGTTCTGCTCTACGTGAAACGTAGAGAAATCCCATAGAAAACAGGTGTCTGGGTTATAGTCTACGGCTTCGCGTGCTTTGGGTCCAGATTTCTACGCAGAGATGAGGTTCTCTACGTTGTGGCACATGAAAAAAAATGCGTACGGATCTGCTGAAATTTTAGATTTTCTTCTCCGGTAGAATTTCCCGGCTTGCGTAGATAACTGCTTCGAAGGGCTGTCCTCAAGCACACGGACATCATGTACAGACCCTGGCCACCCACAAAGTACATCAGCGAACAAAAGGTTCATATCACAGACTTTTTGTAGGTTGATGGAGTAAAGCTTCTGCTTATTATTAAAAGAATGCGTGGGCTGCTTCAGTGGGTCTCTTGATCATTATAATTATGGCATCCATCGATAGCTTCCATCACACCATGAATGTGTTGTTGCCTGCGGAAGTCCGCCCGAACGTCCCTGGCACCTTGTTCTCCAGGTCAGCAGCTGATACATGGTGCCATATCTTGGACTGCGAAGCTAACACGGCTTACGCTTCACCACACTGTGAATATGGACATACCCTACTTGTCAGCCACTTCTCTGATAGTGCTTCTTGACTCAAACTACTAGTAACCATCACAGAGTAGTGAGGAACTGCTTTCTTATCGGAAGGGGATCTTGACCACCTTGACCACCAACTTGCAAGTGTTCAAAATGCTGTAACTTTTGCGACAACAGCATCCACTCTGGCAGGGGTAAGCCAAAAGTGATGCCGGAAATCCAGTTCAGTTTGTAGACCGGGTCTTCGTAGTAACCAACTTGTTGTGGCACAAAAGCTTGCTGATCAAGTGGTACCAGCTGTTTGCGGAACTCGTTCTCTTTCATCTTTTGTTCCATGACATCCATCGTCAATGAAAGCCAAAGGATCAAGCGGAGAAGAAAGAAATCTCTGTTAGTACACTCAACATAGTACTGTGGAATAACGAAACCGTTTAAAGGTAATGTTCATTAGCGGTTGTTCGAAAGACAGAGCGGGAGGCCGGCGAGTTTGAAATGGTGGTACTCTGTTATACCACATTCGTCGGAAGGCATCACTGCGCCCTCGATCACATTCATCAGGGATCATGGCTTCTTCGAGTTGGCTCAACGGAGTGACGACTGAACGACATCCTCATCGGTTACTAGTGTGTCAAAGTCTCTGAACTTGGACTGGTCAATCCGGGCCACAATCCTTTCATCGATAGGCCTGAGAGCGACGACCTCGTCCGTGAACTCCTGATTGAAGTTGCTAGTATCTGAGTCAAACAGTGGGATGAATGGCGGATTTATATCACCCAATTTTAGCGGCTCCCACCGTATTGAAGCGGAAATGGATTGTTTTGTATTGCAACCTGTGCGTCTCCAGACGCTGTTGAACATGTTTTTGGAGGAAACTCAGTAAGATTCTTTGGCCCAGCTTGCTGCAGGTGGTGTCTGGGAATTGCAGGGGCTGGACTTTGATGTTCCGCAAGAGCACGCTTCCGTTGCGCCTCGCACAATGCTCTCAAGCAACTGCTGAGAAAAGACACCGTCATATTTTTTTGGGAGAGTCAACGACTCCAAAGGTCCTGTCCTACGACTGCCGTTGGCAACCAAAGATTTAGGCGTGCCATTCTTGTTTGCCATGCCAATCCCATCCTTGTGTGAAACCACATGGGTGTGAAATCAGTTTGAAATGTTCAATTAGATCCGCTCGATTGAACTGATCGGCTCGGAGGGGATCCAAATCCGGGTACCAAAATCTACTGCAGCCATAGTTAGCGTATGGCAGTTTGGGCTTAATGGCTTGTTAGTGCCCTCTATGTTAACCTTTTGCAAAGGCTTACCTGTCAGGCAGTAATAAGTCATAATCCGCTCGTATTGAATATCAAAAGTGCATTATTATTAGTCTGTGCTTCTGCATCTGCGGCTTAATCCTTGTGGGCGTTGGTGTTCATAATGGGTGTGGAAAAGTCAGTCTGCTTGACTCACACCAACCATTACATTTTTTAAACAATTGACGACATAACTGCTTCGCAGATAGTGAATGCTGCGTGCAATGATCATACACCATAGTTAAGCCCTCGCTAGAATGGCTTCCTGAAGAATGTGCTCACATCAGCCACATGCCGCTACAAGGCGCAACCCTAGTCGCCGAGCACAAATTAGTCAAGTTTTGGTGGGCAGGTGGCCAGTACAAGTTATCCAGGGACACGGGTTAGAGACACGGGTTTGATTCCAGTGAGGGGTATCATGTGCCCGTTGTATGCTGGTACCTGACACCATACACTGGTGTAAACCCTGCACTGCACAAGTAGGGCGATCTGGACCGAAGCGCTTTCGAGGTTGCGTGGCAACATATCTGTATATCTATTCTAGGCACATTGTATGCAGGGCAGGTGTCCATGCACATAGCTGCACGTTTTTAGGAACGTTTCAAAACTCAAGCTGGTTTCCAACAAACTAGGAAGCAAACCAAGCCATCTAATGCCCCCACTGGCCACTGGTACCTCTTTGAAATCGGAATTATTCCGAATTGAAATCAGCAGGGGACATGGGAACATGGAGCATGGAGAATTATCATGGCCGAGAGACTCATTTCAAGGTTGAGAAAACCTCTTGCTCCCTGTATGTGTACAGATTGAGAATCAGAAGATAGTGGAAAGGAAGGATAAGGAAGTGGAGGATTTGAAGTTGCATGTTCGCTCGGTGGAGAGCAAGCACAAAGAAGAACAAGTGAGTACTTACTGTCCAGTGCATTCTGTTTGACGATTGGTGAACTGGTGGAGCAAGATAGGTGGTGAAAGGTGTTTTGCTTTTAGCAAGGCGGCCAGAGACCAATGTTCCTGCCTTATGAATGACTTGTGGATGACTTTGCTGCTCTTCAATTTGGTTCCCTGTTCTCAACTGCAGCTCTTAGCGGCAAGGAAGGATGACGAAATCCAGCAACTTCAACAACAGCTCAAAGAACAGAAACTTGACCTGGCAAGTGGCACCGTACTCACACTTTATTGTTTATGTTTTTAGTGAGGATGTATCTGAGCTACTTTTACCAGCCGGATTTATCTACACTCATACCTCTGTTATCCGGACTCCGAAGGAGACAATAGCTGTAATGGTTGAGCGCAAGGCGGCAGATCACCATCAGGCGGCGTCAGCGGGTTGATACAAGAAGCAGCATCGACGGGCGGTGGGCAGTCAGGAGGATGGGAACCACTTTCAGGCAGACGAACAAACCTCCCACTGGCCGCATCGCACAAAGAAAAAAACCCAGTCAACTCAGGATCAGCAGACTGGGCAAGGAGACCCTGGGGCTGGAAGCTGTCAGGCAACGGACTAGAGGCAGAGGCACCAGGAGGACTTTCAAAAATGGCGGAGGACTTACAAAAACGGCCGGAGGAACTGGGATTTCAGCAGCAAGTGATGGCGGACTCGGCGGAGGAGACGGCACATCGGACACGATCCGCAACACGGCATCGGAATTCTTGTGGCAGGACTCAGGCCGGTGGATTGCATTAAAATCAAATGCCACCAAGGCCTCAATCCATTGAGCCTTACGCCCACGAGGCTCCTTGGTGGCCCACAAAGCAGTCAATTATCAGTCCGCGCAGTGAAAGTCCGGCCAAGCAGATAGTGCTGAAAGTGACTGGCGAAGAATACAAGTGCTAGTGCTTCACAGTCACTAGCATCGTAGCTACGCTCAGCCTTCATAAGTATCCGGCCACCAAACGCAATGGGCCGTTCCACATTATCCTCCAACTGGCTCAGAACACCACCGATGGAGACTTTGCTGACGTCTGTGTCCAGAATGAAGGGACCACCAGCTTCCACTTCAAAGTCTGGGAACGCCATGATTGGAACACTAGACAAGACAGGCTTCAGTGCACGGAAGGAAGCGTAGCAAGCTTTTGTCCACACGAAATGAGCATTCTTGCCTGTGAGGGCAATAAATGGGGCGGACCGCTGGGCAAGCCCACGAATATGCCTCCGGTAATAACCAGAAAACCCAAGAAGGATCGAACGGCCGTGACAAGACTTTACGTTCTCCACGCCAGGATCGCAGAAACCTTTTCTGGATCGGGAGCAATACCTTCCGACGACGACACTTGGTGCCCAAAGAAAGTGACGTGCGAATGGAAGAAAACATTTCTCTGGATTGAAACATAGACCAGAGGAACGCACGCGCTCACACTTGTTTCAGTATGGAAGCCTGGCCTGACAGCGTATCGCTTGCATTCAGCACATCATCAAAACATACACGACGAAATGGTTGAGTAGCTGCATTGCAGAGCCCACGTAGAACAGCCTCCATGACCCTCTCAACATGTGGCAGGACCATTCCTGCACGCCATTGGCAGCACTGAAAACTCATACAGATCCAATGGCGTCGTAAACGCAATATTGGCTTTGTCATTCTCATCCATGGCAATCTGCCGATATCCAGATGCGAGATCCAGAGACAAAAACCAACTGCATCCAGACAACGAATCCAGACAACGAATCCAGACAACGAATCCAGACAACGAATCCAGACAACGAATCCAGACAACGAATCCAGACAACGAATCCAGACAACTGCATCCAGACAACTGCATCCAGACAACTGCATCCAGACAACTGCATCCAGACAACTGCATCCAGACAACTGCATCCAGACAACTGCATCCAGACAACTGCATCCAGACAACTGCATCCAGACAACTGCATCCAGACAACTGCATCCAGACAACGAATCCAGACAACGAATCCAGACAACGAATCCAGACAACTGCATCCAGACAACTGCATCCAGACAACTGCATCCAGACAACTGCATCCAGACAACTGCATCCAGACAACTGCATCCAGACAACTGCATCCAGACAACGAATCCAGACAACGAATCCAGACAACGAATCCAGACAACGAATCCAGACAACGAATCCAGACAACGAATCCAGACAACTGCATCCAGACAACTGCATCCAGACAACTGCATCCAGACAACTGCATCCAGACAACTGCATCCAGACAACTGCATCCAGACAACTGCATCCAGACAACTGCATCCAGACAACTGCATCCAGACAACTGCATCCAGACAACTGCATCCAGACAACTGCATCCAGACAACTGCATCCAGACAACTGCATCCAGACAACTGCATCCAGACAACTGCATCCAGACAACGAATCCAGACAACGAATCCAGACAACTGCATCCAGACAACTGCATCCAGACAACTGCATCCAGACAACTGCATCCAGACAACTGCATCCAGACAACTGCATCCAGACAACTGCATCCAGACAACTGCATCCAGACAACTGCATCCAGACAACTGCATCCAGACAACTGCATCCAGACAACTGCATCCAGACAACTGCATCCAGACAACGAATCCAGACAACGAATCCAGACAACGAATCCAGACAACGAATCCAGACAACGAATCCAGACAACGAATCCAGACAACGAATCCAGACAACGAATCCAGACAACGACAACTGCATCCAGACAACGAATCCAGACAACGAATCCAGACAACGAATCCAGACAACTGCATCCAGACAACTGCATCCAGACAACTGCATCCAGACAACTGCATCCAGACAACTGCATCCAGACAACGAATCCAGACAACGAATCCAGACAACGAATCCAGACAACGAATCCAGACAACGAATCCAGCCAACGAATCCAGCCAACGAATCCAGCCAACGAATCCAGCCAACGAATCCAGACAACGAATCCAGCCAACGAATCCAGCCAACGAATCCAGACAACGAATCCAGACAACGAATCCAGACAACGAATCCAGACAACGAATCCAGACAACGAATCCAGACAACGAATCCAGACAACGAATCCAGACAACGAATCCAGACAACGAATCCAGACAACGAATCCAGACAACGAATCCAGACATCGAATCCAGACATCGAATCCAGACATCGAATCCAGACAACGAATCCAGACAACGAATCCAGACAACAGCATAATAAAAAAAATTAAAATTACCCCCGGAGGCGCAAAATCTTATTAGCTCTTAGAATTGACACGTTCAATAGAATCTTTGAAGTGAAGAAGTTTTGGCATTGAAGATTAGTTTGGGCATTTGGTTCAGATTTTGGCGTATCCTCCCAATTCTGGTCACTTTCAACATCACTCTCTCTTCACGATTCCTTTCTGATTTTGCAGGATACCAAAGTCAAGGAAATGAGTGACAAACTGGAGAAATTTGAAGGCATGGAAATGGATATCCAAGAGAAGGTATAGTTGAGAGCAACTTAGTGATAAGCTCTGCGCACTCACTAGAGTACAGTGCTATACCTCTTGTTGTAATATTGCCGGGTCCTATTGCCTTCGAGGTATTCAGCTTGGCGAAGAACAGCAAATAGCCAGAAATGGATGCAACCAATACCTTGGTGGCCCAGAGGCTGTGTTTCTGGCAGATTGTCTGGATGGATGTGAGCATCTGGGTAATACCTTGCAAAACCTTGGCTTGGCAAGGTGCATACTCTGTGCCGTCTGTCTCCTTCAGGAGAGATATCTTAGAGGCACGCTCCATCCCATCAGCTCTCTTCATGTTGGGCCACCATTGCTTGTCGTTTAAGGAGCTTGAGCCGAGCTTTCCCTTGACGCGAGCATCATTGGCTGATTGGACATCATTGGCTGATTGGACGCGCAGTAGAATAGCGGCCGTATGTATCCTAGGTCTATGAACAAAGCTCGCAAATGTCCATTATCCGGGCGCTGGCACCACTATTTCCATGCACGATAATTCGTAATAATTTTGTTGCGGTATTTTGATGAGGGATGAATTTCGAGCATAGCGGCAGCTATGAGGGAGGAGCATTGCTGTTTACACACGGTTGGAGAGTCGGAAATCGCACGGAAGCCGGATTTGCTGGATTTGACTAAACAGCTCTGCAGCTGCTGTGTCTGTGATGAGAAAATGCATCGGATGTGTAGTGTAGTGATAGTGACTGCGTTGTTCTTACACCACCTAGCTGTCATATGCTGCATTCTACACATCACTGCATGTGTCGTACTCACACCTGCATGATGTGCTACATTCACACTGCTGTATGTTATAGTCTCTTGTCATTCCAGTAATCATTACATTCTGGCCAGCTCACTACATGTAGGTTAGACATGCTTGCACAATGCATTGGATGTGTAGGTTAGACATGCTTGCACAATGCCACTGTACCACGTCCGGCAGGCTCTTATTGGCTTAGTACTGGGCTTTAGTCACTGATTGCATATACGACTACATGAAATGCCGCAATGCCAACGTTCTTGTCATTCTGTTTTGCAGTGTGCTGCCACGGGGAAGGAAAACACTCCTGCAACTAATGCATGCAAAGCAGGAGACCAAGAAATGGATGTGAGTACTGCTATGAATGCTGACTTTGGTGTTGAGTTAGAAACTGAATACTGGGTGGGAATGAGAATGTCCAGTGACATTGTGTCGTGGGTGACACTATTTAAGGTGCAGTACAGTCAAACCTCGTTAGGACAAACTTCAACGGACTGAACAAGTTTGTTTGTCTTATCCAGATCTGACAAAAAAATCGATGTGCATATCATATGGATTGCTGTAGCCGAGACGTGATATTATCAAACTGATTGGGAGAGCATAATGTCGGCTACAAGCATTCTGGCTAATCTGAACACTGCTATACATACTGTTGACTGTTGCAACTGCTAGTTGTGGACAGGCCAAACTGCATGTCGACCACCAAGAGGTCTAAGTGAAAGAATAACGAAAGGCGGCTGTGTACCACAGCTAAACCAAACCGTGCGCGTAGACCATGCCACCATAGAGATGAGACTTGGAGGGATGATGCTGTGACACCACACGATGGAAGATCTGCTGGGTTGTCTCGGACGTAGCCCACAGTGAGGTCGGGAACTGATTTGATAGAATCGACACGGTTAACGGACACGGATTGACAGAACTGGCCCAAGACTTGAGTGGCACTACTAGAAGTTGTGACAGTGCCGATCTCTTCAAGATTCCAAAACCGACTGATGTCAATATCGGGCTGTGCGTCACATGAGAGGACCAAAGGACTACTCGGCTGAGTGGTCTGGCAAGAGACTGGACCTGTGCGGATGAATCCGACAATAGACTGAATAAGGATCATACCGTCACCCAAGCGGAGGTGCTGATCGCTTACTATGTCATAATAATGATCAAGACCAATCAGAATATCGATAGGTAAGTGTGATGTGTCAGATAGAGGCTCTGCTAGTGTAAGGCTTTTCAAGGTGGGAAGGTGTTTGGAATCCACTGGCCACTGACGTACAGGAGCGGTGATCTGTGGGTGGGTGTTGGCAACCATTGTGAAGGATGACCCATCAGATGTGGAAAAAGTGACGCGGACAACATCGCTGTCAACCGATTTGCGTTTCTTACTACTGAAACTACCGATCAGTAGTTTCTCCTGTCCAAGTGCGGTAAACATGGCTTTCTCTTGAAAAGACTGTGACACAAAGGATTTGTTCGAACCCGTGTCGAGGAATAATCGGGCTTGTAGTGGTTGCTGCTCCTTACCATCACGTGTGTTGATGTTGATCAGTGTGACAAGTGCTGTTTGCATGATTGTGTTGGAGGTAGGTGTACACGCTGAAATTTCATCTTGCTGCTGGTCTTGTGCTGCGACCGATGTAATGGTGTGTAGTGTGTTAGTGGGTGAAGCAGCTACCCTAGAAGATTGTGGTAAACTGGCGTCACCGGCGGCTGAACCTAACTTGTCCGGGCAGAGACTACGATGGTGTTGATAACTTCGACAATGATAACAATAGCGAGTGCTTTTGCAAGAACCAGTACTATGGCCAGCGCCAAGACGGAGAAAGCAGTGGCCTTTGCTTGTTTTTTCCGTGATTCAACGTCAGGGTACTCTTGGCACTCATCAGAAAAATGCGATTTTTTGCAGAACACACATATTTTGACGATGGATGCAGTTGCCAAGACGTGGGCTGACGAAGTGATTGGGTCACTGACTCGGCTATTGGAGGCGAAGGGACCCGAGTTGGAGCGTTGCTGAGATGATTGTCGGTCGGCAGCTTCATGGGCTACAACATACTTTCGAAGGTGAGAGCATAAGCTGGTCACGGTCCAATCCGATGAGCCCTTCTTTAGCTCTAGCTGTGCCAATGTGGTACGTGGCAACTTGTTGGTGATAATGGATATATATATATATATATATATCGCCTGAGTGATGTTTTCACCAAGGGCCTCCAAACTCTGCATGTGGATATCCACCTGATCGATCAAGGCACGAAGTGATGTTGTCTGGTTCCTGGCTGGCTGCAGATCTCGCAATGCAGTATAATGTGCATTGATGCATGTTTGCTTTTTACCGAAACGATCAGATAACAGTGTTTCGGCCACCTTGTAATTGGCACTGGACAAGGGCAAGCCTGCAATTGTATCGAGTGCTGGACCTTCTAAAAGACTCTTTAAGTAGGAGAATTTCTCGACGTTAGACAGGTTACGAGAAGCAATCGACGCTTTGAACATGTCGCTGAATTCAAACCACTTAAGTATATCTCCAGAGAATTTTGGAATGTGCAACTTTGGCAGGTTTGTTGTATGCTGTTGAGGTGTGCTGGGGCCTGGCATGTTCTGTGTTAGAACTGTCAACTGGCTTTGCTGTATGTATTGCTGTTGTTGATTTGCCATGGCTGTTTGGGCAGCAATGAACAACTGTGTTTGCTGTTGTGTGGTTTTGCTAATTTGGATTAGCTGCTTGATTTGCTGTTCAATTGCATCAGATTGAGTGGCAGAACTGCCGTCAGCTCTAGGTTCAGACTTGACACGAGTGGATGGAGTACTCTGCGAGGACAGGTGAAGAGATCGTCTGAGTGTTTGAGCAGTTCTGCTCCATAGGATTGAGTTGTCTGAATATGACGAGATCTCACTCATTCTGTCCTCCTCAGAGTCCTCCAGATCCAATGATTCTAATGCACTAGCAGCATCTTCACAAACATCATCATATGCACATAATCGAGTTGCACAACTTCAAATTACTTACATGGCTCAGCATCCGAGTTTCATACTTCGCGAAATACTTACGAATCTCCTCACAGCTCACCTATACCACCGGCAGAGGGACAACATCGTTGTTGCAAAATCAACGGAATATAAGTCACATTCGCTAAGCGCGATCAATGACGCGGACAGTCTACGCTGAACCATAATGGCCCGGGAAAGGACGGCTGTAGTACGTCTACTGCGATTCACTACGTAGATCTACTGTAGATTTACGTGCAATGTATGGCCTCGACTATCGAACAAACAAAGAACAAAACACAGCCATCGCACATTCACGTGGACCAAAAGTCCGCACTACGCGCTGATTTTGTTCAAATATTATTTGAAAATAGTTCGTCTTCGCGAAAGTTCACCGCACAGGAATTCGTCGTAAATGAATAATTTTGACTTGATCTGATGCCTGGCCAACCATAGGATTGGCCCTAGTTTGTACTAATGGAAAGTTCGCCTTATCAGTGTTTGTCCAAACGAGGTTGGACTGTATACTACAGTTGCGCTCAGTGAAATCTGGCCCAAAGTGCAAAGCTGGCGCCCTGGACCAGTTCCGATTACATCATTGTACGTTCAGCAGCATTCGTGCCACTTCCAGGGTGTCGAGGGCCGTGCAAGTTGAGGGTGCCGAATATGCACTCTTGGTCGGATTTCACCGAGCGCAGCTGTAGTATCTTTGGTATATGTCTTCATTATGAGCATACGAGGTACGAGCATCTATAGTCCGTTTCAAAAAGATTAGCAATCCGGTTTTGGTCTTAAAAAGTATGAAGATAAGGGCTGCACCAAACGACTTGTTGTTGTTGGAGCTCGCGCTTCCTGCCGAACTGACTGACACTTGACTGGCTCACGCCATGTGAACACACCCACAGCACTGAAACCGTGTGAGTGAATACGGAAGCCATTGCGCTGTAGCTACGCGTTGAATACACCGGCACATCGATCGATCGATTTCTTTTTGAGAATTATTATAGTATTTCATGATCGCCAATTTATTTGAATTTAGGAGTCAACGCCATCTTCTATCAGCTGTCACAGGCGTCTGCTTTCCTCAAAATGTCGTCGAAGTCACACGGATAGCTTTGCCAAGTCATGGCCTTGGGAATGAGTCTGTGTCGATATCGTTTTCGCCACATGGTGAGAGTAAATTGCATCGCAGCTCAAAGAAACTATTTGGTCACGAAACGAATTGGGACCCATGGCGCTCGTCAACATTTACCACACTTTCGACATGTCCTTTCTGACTCCATATCGATAGGAGAAAGAACTCGTTTGTTGTAAACCAGATGTACCATGAACCGATGTGAGTGAGTTGCGAAATATTTCTTCGAATTCACAGTGAGTTTTTCCAGGCAGCGCTCAAGTGCTCATACGGTAACACGGCAAACTCCTCGGGCGTTCGCCAGGATTGCTAATCTTTTTGAAACTGACTGTAGACCTGCATGTACTGCCATGGGTGAATAAAACCGAAAAATATCTGAATTTCCTTTCGACTGCATGACACCTTTTAGGATGTTTCCGTGTAGAGTAATGATTGTGATGTCTACTCAAATCCCAATCACCATCTATTCAGTGCCAAGACGCATGCGTGAGCAGAAGCTTAATGATTAGTCTCAGGATTTATTATCAGTTGCCTGGTGATTGCCTTAGCATAAAACTGTAAGTTAGGACAAATTTCAATCGGACCTCTTCCTCTTTCTTTCTTTTGCGAAATTCCTTCATTTTGCTGCCAGATGTCACCTCCATACGACAGCCAGATATTCAAGAGTTTGCCGCGCACACCAAGGGCCAATGCATCCAAGAGCAAGACATCAAGCTCAGCTCAAACTCCACGTTCTGCCAAGCCATCTACACCTGCTGCCACATCAACACCTGGTATTCTCCGAACTGGTCCTTCATCGCAATACAATAAACGCAAAGTAATTTTTGCCGGTGACCAAGAAAGGAGTAAATCACCAGACACGAGTGAGGACACACTTCAGGTAATTCATGTACTATCTGAACAAGCATGGCATTGTCTTCGGCAACTTTTAGTAAAATTCTGTCTTGGTAATTCTTCACGTAAGGCAAGTGAACTGTATAATGGATGTTCTAGTAGCATTTTGATAGATTGCTGAAAGAGTGTAGATTACTGGACATAATATCTGTTGAGTGATGTGGCGCTGCTTTCTTACTTATTGCCAGAATGTCCATGTTGTGCCCACACAGCGTGTACCCATCATTGAGTTTAATCCTCAGTATCCGATTACTACTGTGTTGCTCAATGAAATCCAATCGTGTCACTGAAGTACGCGCCGGACGTAGCCCTAGACCTGCGAACATTGGGCTGCGAAATGATGCAAGACGCAAACTTGAGTGACACTTCTTTGAGCAGCACTGTAGTATATTGTAAATTATGCTGACCTTTCATACAAACTTCCAGTCAACTGCCCCATCATGCAGGTGGTTTATATTGGGCATATAAACCCTCATACCTCATACAAACCCCATATAGACCACCACCATACAAACTCCTTTTTAGAAACAGGAAGAAGTTGACTGTCAGTTTGTATGAAGGTCAGCATAAGCATAATACATCCCACTAGTACGCTTGTACGTGAAATATAAACCATCAAACAAACCTCGGCTTCGCCTCGGTTTGTATGTCGGTTCATATTTCACGTACAAGCGTACTGTTGGGTTGTATTATATACGTATAGTATGTTCAAGTAAATGCATTGTAATCACCATGCCATACGTATCTGTTATCTTCTACTTGTACTCGAAGCACTAATAGCACTAATAGCGCTGTATCTCTTTGCTACCTCTGTTCCTCAGGACACTGATGCCCTTTTTCAGGCTGTGTGCAAGACTCCGGTTATCCCTGCTAAATCACCCAAGCTGTCAACAGCCCCCACTACCCCACGCTCCAACATTAGACTTGCGCCGACAACTCCAACAAGACAGTCACCGGCAGCAAAGCAACCAAGACTAGTAAGTATTACGGCAAACAAATAGACCAGCTGGAACACCACGATCGTTCCAAACTAAAACAGTGATGTGTTACAGTAGTACAGGTTACAATCTAGGTGTCTTTGACATGTTAAAGAAATGTTTCTTTGTGTATTTTCTATTGCTGCAGGCTGCTGCCAGGGCAGCTGTTCGGACCGAAAAGGAGCAGTTTGTGGAGCTGTTTCCCGAAAAATCAATACCACCTGTTACTTCTCGCGTAAGCACATGCATATCTGCATCTTTGTGTTTGGCTGAAATTGTTCCTTTCCCTTCTTCGTCAATTTTACTTTATCTAGGCTGGGTAAAATATATCTTTGAATCTCTGTGTCATTTCAGTGAATACTTTCTATCGCCTGGTCCACACTAGCCCGATTTTTCGGCCGATGTTGAACCGTACGAAATAATCCTCAAGATCGGCACGGTGTTGTCGCACATGTTTCCGACAAATTTGTATAACGTTATGTAGAAGTAGTCCGAGTCTGTCCAACAAAGTCAGCTGATTTCAAGTCGGTGTCGGTGTTGGAGCATCGGCCTAATGTGAGCGTGGCATAAGTACAGTCATTCCCCGATACAGAGTCCATGGTTGCCGGGTGTTTGCATTGAACATGTTGTTAGTCCGGAGTGATCAGTCAGATGCTTAGCCACTACTGCAGAGAGCATTCTCCTGAAATATTCCTTAGGCCACACCAAGTTAATTCTATGTTTCGCGTCGGATATTTTCTGGAAAAGGCACGCGGGCGGGCGGGAAAAAAACAAAAACAGAAGAAAAAACAAAACTCCATTCTATGTGTAATGAGCCATGTTGCACACAGAATACCACTACTAAACTGTCACTTCTATCCAAAACGACAACAAGTCGTCACAGGACAGCTGGCAGACTGGGCTGGAGCCATACAGAGATTTCATGGATGGCTGCTCCTGCATTTTGACATGAGTCGAGTGGGATCCCGCTCCATCACAATTGTGGAAAATCTCGAAGTCCTTGACACCTGGAATCTCTGCTCACTTGGTGAGCAGGCCCTAGGCTTACCGCACGGCTTGGAAAAATAGAAATTTTCATCTCTCGCACCTTCTACGTACCATCGCCTGGAATGCAAGATTATCGAGAAACTGATAACCTCTGATCTGCCATACTGGCTAGAGAATGTTCGCCAGAACAGCCATCGATTGGCTCGTCTAGGTTCTTTTTTTTCTTGTCAGGGATTCGAAAAGGTACGCGGGCGGGTGACGCGAAACATAGAAATAACTTGGTGTGGCCTTATAAGAATTGAAGTCCATGTGTGCAGATCATTTTGTGTGCTTACCAGACCAGGGTGGGTGTGATCATTAGAGAAACATCAATGCCCATTCAAATAGATCATTCAATGCATGTTTTGAGGAGCGGAAAAAGGCATAAAGTACTAGGAAATTTTGTCTCCGTAGAAGGTAGCTAAGCTGCCAAGGTTGTTTTGTACACAGGCTTGGCTCTCTTTGGAGTAGATTCTTCAGCAAACTGCCTTCATACAATGAAAGAGAAGTCCACACCTCCTTTCTCTCTCTCTCTCTCTCTCTCTCTCTCTCTCTCTCTCTTTCTCTCTCTCTCTCTCTCTCTCTCTCTCTCTCTCTCTCTCTCTCTTCTGTGACCTGTGTTCAATGTACACTGTGCTGATGGGAATGGTGTTGTTGGATTCTTCTTTACCTTGAACTATTTGCGAAATATCAGCATAAAAAAATATATAAAAATTCACGGTCCGCGTGAGACTCGGCTGGAAGCCGAGTTTTCCGCATCCGCCGTGGGAACGCCACCACCCTCTAGGATCACAATATCAGCATAATTATCATGATTATCATCGTAGGATATGAAGGACATTAAATCAGCGAAAATCAATGTATTTGAAGGTGAGTCAACTACATGTATGATTATGTAGCTAAAGGAACTTGATAATTAAGCCAGGAATAATGATGATACTGTGTTTGGCTATGCTACTGGGTACAGGAGAAGAAGCGGGCAAATTCCATACAGTCGTCTCGTAGCATGAAGAAGCTGAAGATTAAGTCATCAGACGGAGCATCGAAAAAGCCCAAACCAGATGAAACTAACTGGTTTGACACGGATACTGTTTTCGGTTTCCGTCCTGAAGAATGAATAGTCCTGCTCTCAAACGTTCCTGTCCATTCTTCTTCCTGGTTTGCTGTTGCTTGCCCTTGCCAACCTAGAAAGATTACTTAGCCAGCAGAGCCTCATTCAATCCATCCCTTTTTCAGGAGCCTGCCACACTAACAAAGTTTTAACCAGAGTTTACCCACATATCATTTGGTGAGACATGTGATCTTTCAGTGTTTTATCAGTGCTTTATCTGGCAACTGTCCATTTAGAAAGGTTGCCAACATCAATGAAACTAATTCTATTTTAGATGGCAATCCTATTTGTAATGATCCAATAGTATAATAATTGATCGCTGGCAGTTTAGAGTGTGTCTTGGGCACCCACTGATAAGTAGCCCCTCTGCGTCCGGCTTCTTTTTCTTTCATGCCAGATCACACTCCTGGCTTGCAAGCATTTCTTGTGTTTTAGACAGCAAGCACCAGGATAGGATTATTCATTAAGTTCACCAGTAAAACTCACCCCTGAAAAGGTACAAAAGGTACACTTGTTCCTTGTTGGTCTACCTTACTTCTCCCTTCTCCATTCATTCATGATGGTTTGCCCGAAGGTCAAGAGTACATATACATACTGGTAACCATGCTAACCAAGAGTTTGCAGCTCGGCGATTTACAGCTGAACTTTTTTTATGACATCAGTCTTTCCCGGCCCTTAAGGCCTTTGGCTCGCTGATACGATCATGCATAGCCAGAAAGTGCAATGAAATTGTGCATCGCAACTAAAATACTAGTACAGTCGGACCTCGCATAACCGCACACATCCGTTTTCCACAAAATATCCGGATAGGCGAGGGAACCGGATAATCGAACACACATGCTGTGTGTATGCATGGCAAATGCTGTAAATCGGTAACCAACAATTTTCTTCCGGATGGCGAGGGATCCGGATAAAAGAGTACCGGATAAGCGAGGTCTGACTGTATTCAAAGCAGATCAAAGAACGGTGGACCCATGCATCTTGAACCTGGTGAAACTGACACCGTATTTGTGTGACAAGCATGGAAACATACGCACTTGATCATACTTCTGCCAAAAAATGGCGCAAGAAAAAATGCCACCATGGTTTAGCCCAGGGAGTCGTAAAATACCGGTACAGTCGTCCCTCTCTAATCCGGCACTTGTTTATCCGGAACCCTTGCCAACCGGCGCACTTTCTGACGAAACCGATTTTTTTCGTTCAATTCCTACATCTTAATCCGGCACTTGAATTCCGCCTCCGGCAGTGACTTTTTGAAACGAATCGCTCAAACTGCACGTAGTTTGATTTCATAATCCGGCAGTCGTAAATCGCGTACCGTACAGGTGCACTCCTTGCCAGGCCAGGCTAGGCAAGTCTGGTCAATGTTGTCCAGGAGACAACGGCAGTCAACCATACTTTCTTATTTTAGCAAGGAGTAGTGTCCTGCCAATTTTCAGGTGTGTGTGTGTGTGTGTGTGTGTGTGCGTGTGTGTGCAAGAGTACATGTGAACATGTTCTCTATTTTACTTTATCACTTTATCACTGTGTATATTCCCGGAGAACAATTGAGAATATAAAGCCGTGCACCAAATACTTGGGTCGACGCGGAAAAACCCTGTGTTTTGACGTACATATGATACATGCATACAATTGGGTAGGGCCGGGTCAGAGGGCAGGATTTCTTAATCCAGCACCCTCGTTAATCCAGCAGAAAACGCCGTAGCAAAAGGTGCCGGATTAGAGAGGGACGACTGTATTTTACAACTCCCTGGTTTAGCCCTTCGCTTTTTTAAGAGTAGCACCCTCTTGGTTATGTATGTACTCTTGCTATTATTATTATTACACGCATTCCCGTGTTGAAGTGTAGCAGCAGTATGCTGCGTCCACAGCTTCGCTTATGCAGAATGGCTTGGTACTCTTGCCAACGTGTTATAAATTGTACAATGTAGCTTACAGCTAGCTAAAAACGAGCAGTCCGCATGCTCTGCTTTCTGAAGAGTGCCCTGTGCCAGTGGTGGGCAGCTTAGCTTAGCCAACAATGCAAGGAGAGAGGAAAGGTCTGTTGCAACCCTATTCGTCTAAGCTTCACGTTTCATACTTGTAGCAAGGGTTGAGGTGGCTGTAAGATTGTATGAAACGCAGAAGTCCTACCGGTAGTTGCAATGAACCTGCCCTGATACAGTATGTAGCTCATACATTCAATAGGTCATCGCTACAATGACCGTATAGGCGATACGGTATAATTGCATGTACGTCATGTAGCAATGTGTGAAGTCACCAAGCACCGCCGATATGTATAGAGGGTGTTACTCATTTCTGGAATGTGCGTGACCTGAAAGAGAGGGAAAGCATTCCATCGTCCACTCAGTTGCTGACACAGTAAAGCATGAGCGATGACCGTGTTCCACCACCAAAGCACACACACACACACACTGCCGTGAACATATCTCAATTGAAGGTGACGAGAGGAATTGAATACAGGTGAAAGAAGAAGAGAATTACACCCATGTATCAATCACCATCTCTCTCTCTTTTTGTCTATTTCCAAGCCAGTGACTAAACCGAACACATCATGAGGAAGTAGTGGTTGCGACTTCGGCGATGATTTGTAAGAAAGGGTTGCTCCCCACACCGGAGCTCGCGTTATTCCGCCGACTTGACTTGACACTTGACTGACTCACGACTGCCATCCAGAGCACACGAGAAGTCCATCGAACCTTCGACTCGGCAAACCTGCAAGAAAGCACCACTCCCTGCTCAATACACAGTGTTTCGGGGAATTCACCCCTCATCAGTTGAGCTTGAACATCATGAGGAAGCAAACAGAAGGGGCCACTGTTATCGCAACTGAAAACAAGATGTAGGCGAAGGGAAGAGTTTGCTCGGAAGTCTTATCACCGTGGGCAACTATTACTGTAGTGTAAGATAACTGTCGTACATTGAAGGGTGGTTGACGAAAATGATAATTGAAAAGTGCTACAATAGGCTATAACATATCTATCCTTATCTGAACTACCAACCCTGATATCAAGAGTACATAACCCCCGGGTTCGCTGACTTCAATGGGTTTGAAGGTGCTGGCAACAAGAGAAAGATGAGAATGGAAAGAGAGAGAGAGAGAGAGAGAGAGAGAGAGAGGGGGGGGGGGGGGGGGGGGGTAGAAATCTCATAAAGGACTAATGCTAAACTAAGACTAGGTCGATTTGTGTCCAAATTCCAAACATAACACAAGAAGCACTACTAACAAGTTAGGAGCTGACATGACCTAAGAAACAGGAAGTTTGAGCACGGCCGAACCAATATGTACTTTCCAATTTGAAGCCAAGTTCTTGATAGATGATAGGTCAAAGTTATCCGAGTCAGCACCAGCAAAGGACAGTCGAATCAAATGACCCCGTGCAAACGTGTATGCTACAGGGATCATAGAGAGCTCGGCAAGCACAGCACCACATGGCTCCTGGAAATTGTCACTCGTGTAAGTGCGTGAAACACTATCCCAAGAGCCAACAGCAGGGTTCCGTTCAACAACATTATGCCCCAGCTTCAAAATAGCCTCGGTCACATAGTGGATACGTGCAGCCGATGGGTCAATATTCTCCAAGTAGGCAAACACAACCATATTGGACTGTTCCAATCCGTCATTGGCCTCTAGTGTTACTAGTATGTTGACCAATGCGGATCCAGCAACACGCAAATCACTGGCCAATGGTTGAGTGGTAAATGTCAGCATACTGTCAGTCTGTTCCAAGCGATCAGGATACGTGATTCGGTAGAGCAGCATGTGAGGGACCAAATTCCAACGAGAAGCAAAGCCTGTAGTGGACTGATTGCTGACTGTGATTTATAGTAGATGCTTCATACTCCGATATCGGATTAGATATCAAACCATTGCTGGCACTCATGTAGTATGTCTGCCAAGTAGAGCTTTGCGGAGGGACGTCCATTGAACCAATTCACTTTTCATCACCCATTCGAAAATAGTGGAACGTTTCCTTGTGTTTCTGCAGAGCATCACACTTGCCTTTCAGATGACAATCAAAGAAATGAAGGAGATCCTGGTGAAGAGGAAAGCTGGTACCATGCCCAGGGGAGTGCGATGTGAAGCAAGTCAGACCACCGTGCACCCAAGGACCAGCTACAACACGCGCTCTTCCACTGCCTCCTACGTCTTGATGAAGCCGCAAAGAGCTACGTAATGATGCACGATCCCAGTAACCAGCATAGGTCGTAATAGAGACATTGGACTGTGCTAGTTTGGCGAACACTGCATCTGTAAAGCCAACATTGGCAAACGGGACTTCATTGCCACTATCATTCATTTTAATCATGCTAGCAAAGCCATCGAAGTCTTCCAAAGTCTCTACTACATCCCAGTTGGCAGAGTGCTGTGCCACGGCCTCACTCTTGTCATGTCCAGGGATAGCAACAACCTTGCCAAAAACATAGCTAAGGAGGAATGAGATTGACATCGGCAGTGCATACTCTTCCTCAGTCACTCTTCTGTCCTGCTCGTCCGCCTTTGTGAAAATAGTGAACGACTTGTAAAACATTGTGCTCAGAACACCACCAGGAGCTTGTGCATCTTTCGCGAATTGCACTGGTGAGAACATCATACCAACGGCATCTACACCACCATGCGATGCAAGCAAACCAGCAGCAAGGCCATCATAGCTAACACCTGCCGCTCCAACACGACCATTATACCAATGTTGCTGGCGTACCCAGTCCAACACCTCCTTGTAATCATCCACTTCTACACTAGATAAATCAGTCGTTCTGTTGCCATATGAGGCGCCAGTGCCTCGTACATCAACTGCAACAACCACATACCCAGCTGGAACCAATGTGCGTATAAATTTGTCCAAGACAACAGAGAATGTTGCTCTGGGCACGTCACCAAACAGTCCGATGTAGTTGAATGGAAAGTGCAATACTCTATTGTGGTTGTAACGTGTCTGCAGGATTCAATCTGAGTGTTGGCAATGGCGAGTCATCTCCATCTCGCTTCCAATTGTCTGGGAAGTGCATATCAACTGCAAGCTTTACGCCGTCTCTCATCGTCAAGTGAGTGGGGCGGTGTACAGCTGCATTGCTGGCCATATCAAAGTACGGCTGATCATTGCATGATTGTCCATGTAGTCCACGAAACGGCACCAATAGAAACAACTAGTACAAGAACTGCAGCAGGAACTTGCACTGTTTTCCACACGCCAGACTGATTGGCTTTGAAGCATGGCCAGAAGCTGTATCATAGGCCTGTGCAATGAAGAGGTGGATGAGTATTGTGCATGGACAAGCAGTTACAGTAAATGCCTGGTGTGGATCTCCTGCAACAATCCACTGCCGAGCAGGCTGATAACTTGAAAGTCCAAGAAACACTATAGCAATCGCCACTATGTATTCGTAGTGCACTGTACATGCGGTATACGCAGTACAAGCTCAGGAAATTGCACACCACTAGGAACGTGCCTAGCAGATACAGCAGAATATGGGCGACACTGTTGAGCACTGGATCAAACGCTGCACCTCTACTGTCTGTAGTGTCTGTTTCCAGCACCATCCGCAGAGCAATTGCATTGTGAAGAACTCCTACTGCAATGCAACCACCAAGGAATGCAACTAATGATGGACGAGCCATGTCATTGTAATACCGGTACTGCCACAATACTCAATAGTCAACACCGGTACATCGCATAAACCTTTGGAGGACAGTGGTCTGTATAATCAAGCGTACACAACCCCACTCTTGATACTGTAATTATGAATTATGATAGCCTGTGCCGGAATAGTCGCTATGCTTTGATTTTATACGGGCAAGAACACAATCCATTTGAACGTCACCTCTGCTCCGCTCTAGCTCTAGCTCTAGATCTGTGGTCACAAAAAAACAGCGACAGTGCAGTGCCATTGGCGAGTCGTATTTTAGGGGGTGCGCTATTATTTAAAAAATAACGTCACGCGCGGCGGGCCGGCCGGCCGGCCCTCTTTTTGAAAATTTAAAAAAATCGGAAAATCGGAATATCTGACATTATATTTCTGACACTTGTAAATGTTCACACAATACACACACACCAAGTATTATACTAGCCAGGTACTACTACTAGGTCGTGAATTGGCTCATCGATTGTGCATGTTCTTGAACTGCATACTTTTGCAGGATGCGGTAGTCCAAGTGACTGTTGCACATCCACATGGTCCCTTATTTCTTGTGCAGTGCTAAACTATAAAATTGCTGAGAAGTGTTGAGAAATTCCACAGTATTACGAGAACGACATGGCTCGTCCATTAGTTGCATTCCTTGGTGGTTGTATTGCAGTAGGCGTTCTTCACAATGCCATTGCTCTGCGGATGGTGCTGGAAACAGACACTAGAGGTGCAGCGTTTGATCCAGTGCTCAACAGTGTCGCCCATATTCTGCTGTATCTGCTTGGCACGTTCCTAGTGGTGTGCAATTTCCTGAGCTTGTACTGCGTATACAGTGCACTAGTGGCGATTGCTATAGTGTTCCTTGGAGTTTATCAGCCTGCTCGGCATTGGATTGTTGCAGGAGATCCACACCAGGCATTTACTGTAACTGCTTATCCATGCACAATACTCATCCACCTCTTCATTGCACAGGCCTATGTATACAGCTTCTGGCCATGCTTCAAAGCCAACCAGTCTGGCGTGTGGAAAACAGTGCAAGTTCTTGTTGCAGTTCTTGTACTAGTTGTTTCTATGTTGGTGCCGTTTGGTGGACTACATGGACAATCATGCAATGATCAGCCGTACTTTGATATGGCCAGCAATGCAGCTGTACACCGCCCCACTCACTTTGCATCTCAATACTTGACGATGAGAGACGGCGTAAAGCTTGCAGTTGATGTGCACTTCCCAGACAGTTGGAAGCGAGATGGAGATGACTCGCCATTGCCAACACTAATCCTGCAGACACGTTACAACCGCAATAGAGTATTGCACTTTCCATTCAACTACATCGGACTGTTTGGCGACGTGCCCAGAGCAACATTCACTGTTACCTTTGCCAAGTTTATACGCACATTTGTTCCAGCTGGTTACGTGGTTGTTGCAGTTGATGTACGAGGCACTGGCGCCTCCTATGGCAACAGAACGACTGATTTATCTAGTGTAGAAGTGGATGATTACAAGGAGGTGTTGGATTGGGTACGCCAGCAACATTGGTATAATGGTCGTGTTGGAGCGGCAGGTGTTAGCTATGATGGCCTTGCTGCTGGTTTGCTTGCATCGCATGGTGGTGTAGATGCCGTTGGTATGATGTTCTCACCGATACAATTTACTGAAGATTTGTTAGCTCCTGGTGGTGTTCTGAGCACAGCATTTCTTAGGACGTACACCATTTTCACTAGGGCACATGAGCAGGACAGGAGAGTGACTCCGGAAGAGTTCCCTTTGACATTTTCGTTCTCGTTCTTCTTTCGCTATGTTTTTGGCAAGGTTGTTGCTATCCCTGGACATGACAAGAGTGAGGCCGTGGCACAGCACTCTGCCAACTGGGATGTGGTAGAGAAGATTGGAGACTTTGATGGTTTTGCTAGTACAATGAAGGTGACTGATGGTGCGAAAGAGGTCCCAGTTGGCAGTGTTGGCTTTACAGATGCAGTGTTTGCCAAACTTGCCCAGTCCAATGTCTCTATTACGACCTATGCTGGTTACTGGGATCATGCATCATTCCGTAGCTCTTTACGGCTTCATCAAGAAGTAGGAGGCAGTGGAAGAGTGCGTGTTGTAGCTGGTCCTTGGGCACATGGTGGTCTGACTTGCTTCACACCGCACTCCCCTGGGCATGGTACCAGCTTTCCTCTTCACCAGGATCTCCTTCATTTCTTTGATTGTCATCTGAAAGGCAAGTGTGATGCTCTGCAGAGACACAAGGAAACGTTCCACTATTTTCGAATGGGTGATGAAAAGTGGATTGGTTCAATGGACTTCCCTCCGCAAAGCTCTACTTGGCAGACATACTACATGAGTGCCAGCAATGGTTTGATATCTAATCCGATATCAGAGTATGAAGCATCTACTATCAGCCACAAAGTCAGCAATCGGTCTTCTTCAGGTTTTGCTTCTCGTTGGAATTTGATGGGTCACATCATGCGCTATCCAGTCACATATCCTGATCGCTTGGAACAGACTGACAATATGCTGACATTTACCACTCAACCACTGGCCAGTGATTTGCGTGTTGCTGGATCCGCATTGGTCAACATAACATTAGAGGCCAATGATGGATTGGAACAGTCCAATATGGTTGTGTTTGCCTACTTGGAGGATATTGACCCATTGGCTGCACGTATCCACTATGTGTCCGAGGCTATTTTGAAGCTGGGGCATGATGTTGTTGAACGGAACCCTGCTGTTGGCTCTTGGGATAGTGTTTCACGCACTTACACGAGTGACAATTTCCAGGAACCACGTGGTGCTGTGCTTGCCGAGCTCTCTATGATCCCTGTAGCGTACACGTTTGCACGGGGTCATTTGATTCGACTGTCCTTTGCTGGTGCGGACTCGGATAACTTTGACCTATCATCTATCAAGAACTTGGCATCTAATTGGAAAGTACATATTGGTTCGGCCGTGCTCAAACTTCCCGTTTCCTAGGTCATACCAACTCCTGGCTCGTTGGATGGAAGTGTTCCTTTTACACACCTGTAGTCTCGGTCTAGGCTGTCTCCCCCCCCCCCCCCCCCCCTATTTCCAATCTTGAAGTATGTAGATACTACTACCTAACATTACTACCCGTGCCCTCAGGCTCACTGGAATCAACACTTTTTTATCCTCATTATAGTCCATAGCATGTTGCCTGTGTACGTGTGTGATGGACAGGTGGAAGAAGCGGCACAGAGCTCAGATCATCATGACGATATTAGGGAAAGAAATTGCCCAGGGATATAGGCTGGCACCACGATTACATGAGCATGACTTGTAATTCTTGACACAATCCGCAGCCAGTCCCACACAAATACTGGCATACCCACTATCATCCTGGTGTCTGATGATTGCACGGTTGTGCATGAAACTCTGAGTGACAACCATAACTATAGCCTTTCTGTTCACTGTTTGAGTGTGAACCAGAGCGTATAATTCCTGGACTATGAATCATTTTATACTAGTATGCAACTTCCCATTGGTTAACATGGCTATTGCCACTGTACAGTGCATTGACAAAGTAGTTTCTGCCTAGCATTGCTTGCTGTGCAGTATTACAGATGTAACCTACGGGCTTTGGCTGAGTTACCGTGGCAGTGGCCGGTCCCAACCCACCCGGGTAAGAGGAGTTTCTATACTCAGTACTGTAGTCTGCAAGTACTACCGGTACTACAGTGTACCGGTATTGCCACAATGCACTTGTATTGTTAGGGGAAGTCTTCACCTCGATCTACAGTCAATGAACGTATATACAGGTGCATGTGTTCAGGGAGCCCTATGTATACGTGTGCTGTCCCTTTGGAAAAACGCGGCCAAGAATTCAAAATTCCAATTTGCCGCGGGGGAAAAGGGGGGTTATCTGCGGTAAAATCAAAAATCTGCTGCACTTTCTGCAAGTTTTTCACCCTCCTCGTAGAGGATATGACAACTAGTCGCATGAAGGAGCACTTTTCATACTATCCTTTGCAGTCACAAACTGAATGAGAGTGAAGAATCTTGGAGAGATCTGCACTGGCAAGAGAAATGTGCTCAAACAGATCGCAAAGTAGTTTTTCTGCTGCTTTCTGAGTAGTAATTTTAGTAATTTACCCTAAAAAGTTCAGATTCCGCGGGCAAAAGTGTGGATTCCGTGATTTCCGCGGCTGATGGCAACTTCTGCGAAATTTGCCGCGGCGGCGGAATCGCGTTTTTCCAAGGGGACAGCGTATGTGATGGGCTCCCGGTATGTATTGCATGTGTGAGCACACTCGAAATGGCCCCTGGCAGGTAAGGATACATGGGCCTTACTTTCACTGCACAACAGCTACAAGGGCGATGAGCCGAGGCAAGTCCACCCCCAGTGTGGGTGGGTGCATGTGGACAGTTCAACAGCCAAGCTATCTTTCCAAGCTCCCTTCTGATTTTCTCTCGTCTCTTTCAAGGAGATCATAATTATACTGTATTTTCCAGAGTACACGCTACACTGGAGCACAAGCTACACCCAGATTTTTCGGTCACAAAATAGTTGAAAATACATACATCTAGCCTGTTGATCACGGTTAATTTGACCATCATAGTACATTATAAGGTGTGTTAATTCTGATGATGCAAGCAAGTACAATGTGAGTACGTTTACCTGCTTGCATGGATGTAAGGTACATATTAACAGAGCTGGCCGATAAAACACACAAAACCAGCCGAGATGCAGACCGGGATGGTTTATGCAACAACAACGAACAGTACGCAAGGCTGCAAAAAGTGACAAGTTCTGAAGTTCATTGCCCAGCACTGTATGTGTACGTGTAACATACCGGAAGTACCAGGGAGTCGTAAAATTGGGTATTTTACGACTCCCTGCATAGTACTTAGAAGTACTGGCATCAATGTTGTACTGTAGGTAATATACCTGTAAGTATTCTACAGGTACACTTGTGGCCAAAGAAATCCCACCCACGAGCCAAAAGTAGCGCCGCATTTCCATTTCAATTACATCATGCACGCTCTAAAAACCAATCTGAGGGCTGCATGAGCCTTGGCGCTGCTTTCTGCACGGGTTTCTTTGGCAACGACTGTACTAGCACAGTCCGGCCTATGTGCACATACACATGGTCGCATAGCGCACGGTAATGCAAAATACACTGTATCACACAACCCCACCCACACACACATAGCAGCAAAAAGGCAATACTTTTCGACGATTTCGTCTTACATGTATGTTGCCACATGAGCCGAGGGTTTATGTTGCTGTCAATAAAAAACAACAAAATTAGTACAACAAACGAGGACATATCTCTAAGGTAAAAGACTAGACTCTCCGTCTTTTCTTGGGTCGGTTGGCACCTGATGTGTGAAGTGTTTCATCTGTAATGGATACAATACGTAGGCCGCCAGCCTCCAAGCCCTTCAAGGCATCCTACCAAAGGAGAATGAGAAGAGAGGGACAGAGAGAGAGAGAGAGAAAAGTCACAATGGTTCAGTTGCCTAGAGCACACACCATCTATGGAATGCTATCAATACGCACAATAACGCTGCCATCGAGTCCAAGCAATACAGGCAACCAGACAGTAGCTATGTAGCCGGCAGAGCGTGGGGTGCAATTTCAAAGCAATGTGCGCGAAATCGTATCCCATTGCCGAGGACCTGAATATAACTACGACTTCCTAACAAGGCAAGACTCGCATCTCTCCGAAAAGACAGATGTCTAACATAGCTGTTCGCTATCATCGCTTCCGCGATGGGCAAGTCTGAGGTCTGACCTGTGTGTGTGTGTGTGCGTGTGTGTGTGTGCGTGCGTGAAAGGCTGAAAGCATTGATATTTTCAGACCTGAACAATTCTGGAGAGTAAATATTAGGGACGTTTAGCAATGCGAAAATTCGAACTTTTGGTGGTGGCGATATTTCGCGAAAATCTATTTCGAAAAAGAAAACTTGTGAGGTTTAGCAATGCGAAATGACTTTTTCTCGAAGCTATTTGAATCTTATAGTACCGTACCGTATATGCAGCTCAGTCTCAAGCAGGGGGCTGTAAAATTACTACTCCCTGTAGTCAAATGCGTACCGAGAAAAGAGAAAGTTTCTTTCGCAAATCACTGCAACTTCGCGTCCAAGTTTTCGAAGTTTCGACCTTTGTTTCTGTACTCATTCCCAGACTCGAATTTTCTTTCGAACTTTCGCATTGCTAAACGTCCTTATTACTAAATTAAAGTTTCTAACTGCTATGGACCCTGGAGTAGAGTTCAGCTTGGGTCCAGATAATTACATGTATGTACATGTATATGTACCATCCTACTCACCAATCTTGCTGCTCCCATGCCACGGATTAGAACACGGCAGAATGAGAATCCCTTCTCGCGAGCTCTCTGCGAACGGCAAATCAAAGGAAGACAGATGCAGCATGATCAATGAAACAACAAGAGTAAGAACTCAGCAGATTTTCAGGAAAAGGGAAGAAAAAGCTTTGCATAACAGATCCTGTTATCTATTGTGAGCGGTAAGGGTGGAACTGATGTCGCGCATATGCTGCTTGCTGTCGTGGAGACTGGTACTGTCAAGGAATGTACAATATCTTTTTGTCAATTGATACATGCAAACACTCAACAGCCAGCATATGTATGCATGTACGTACGTATGTATGTATGACTGTATGTATGTGTCATGCATGTACGAGTCCACAAAGGACGAAACAGTTTTGCCCGCATGTGCACAAACACAGGAGGCGAAGGGCTGTTCAGCTGTATCTTTACGTTTCACGCACTGGAGCGATCATCAGACAGTGGTATTGTGTTTGTTTGTGTATACAGTATTGTTCTGAACATTCTGTGTATGGAGCACTCTATTCAAACTGCCTCAAATGGCCCTGTTTATGCATGCATGTATGTGTGGTATGGTATGGTACGGTGGAGAAGGGGAACTAAAGCGTTATTGCTGTTGCTCAGAGCTTCATGCAATAGCGATCATCATACAGCACTGTCTGATGATTGCTGATGGGTGAAATTCTGAGTAGCACTAACAGCAACAAAGCTTCAGTTTCCCGTTACCTGTATGTACATGACTGTATGTGCACGCGCATGTGATGTGTGCATTACCACAAATTGGGATCAACCGGTGCACACCGCTCCTACCTTGGCTATCATCTCTCCACAGGCATGGCCTGCCACATTGGTGCCGCGTTTTGCACCACTAAAACCAGCACAGCCCTACAAAAATAACGACAAAGAAGAAAAAAGCCCCAGAGGAAAACAAGTCACCAATCAACTACCAATCATGTTACGAACTAAATCAGTTGAGTTGATGCATCCTGAAACACACAATGATGCATTCGGATAGAAGAATAAGTTCGTACTTGTAAGTGCAAGATGACACTGATACATGTAAGACAATACAGTGATTGCAGTCATAGATACATGTAATACTGTAACAGGTGCAAAACATGGTACCACACTAAAATAGCACACTGAATACATGTAGATCCTTTACTCCTGCAGTATTACATGCACCCATGACTGCATTACCTTGCACGTACCAATGTCACCTTGCACTTATTGTCCGTGTGTTAGCACTTATGCTACCTCAAAGTGCGATCATGCTACATTGTATTTCGTTTCCACAGTCATTCTCTGTATAAAACAGTGCTATTCCCAAGCTCTAGCCATTCAGCATTCTTACAACCTTCACTGATGAGATCTGTATGATTCACAAGTCTGTATGGAGGAACTTGTGCCAGTATCTACAACAACTTGGAGTCGTGTTGCTAGTGCGATGAATGAGGTCGGCCGGAAAGCTTGGTCTAAAGAAAAAATGATGAACAGGTGAATGCTGCTGCTTCTCCCCCCCCCCCCCCCCCCCCCCCCCCAGCTATCAACTCACAGAACTACCAATACAGCTATGTGCAACCAGGATTGTGAAAGCACAACAGCTATGAAGGTCAGCACTACTGCAAGTACAGGGCCGGCGGAACCGGTCAGGCTGGTCCGGCCATGGCCGGACCACTTTCCCAGCTGGATGGTCCATGTGATTCGTGCAAAACCGGTGTAAAAAAATCCAGAGGTACATGGCTCGACTGTACTGCCGACGTGTGATGTGCTTCGAAGTAGCTCAGGACTCCATGACCGGCACTGTATGGCTTTAATGATATGGATAAAAAAAAGTTTTGTTTGTGTTCTTTTACTATAATTTTCTGCATATTCTGGAGCCTTCAGAGGTGCCCAAATTCGCTCTATTTCACATCAATTTTAAATTTTTCTCCCGGGGGACGTCCCCCGGACCCCCCTCAAAGGTAGGCCGGACCACTCCAAAACTCCTTCCTCCGGCCCTGAAGTACATGTCAGTTATTGGTTTGTACGGCCCTATCACCAAGGCTACAAAAAACAAGAGTGTGAAGCTACGCATAAGGGTTCAGAACAGCACAGGTCATCGAGTGCGTCAAATATATATCACAGGCCATACTCATGTCACAGGTCATTTTGATGCAGCGCAATACTTTACTGTGTAGTTGTGGATTGCGGCTCCGATAATTCATCACATAATAGCAAGTCTGTCTTTCCAAACTTATGAATAGCTGCACACTCTGTTTTACGTATACTAGGTCACACTGCTAGATGTAATCAAGGCGTTGAATAGAAGATTTCTTTGACTTACCGCTGACCACACTTCAATATGCGTATCTACGTCAACACAAGCAGGAGAAATATACACACACACACACACGTGCACACATACACGCACGCGCACACACACACATGCATGCATGCACACACATACATACAGCACACACACACACACACACACACACACACACATGCACACATACGGGCACAGTAAATAACAGTACCGACGTACATGTAGTAGGCAGGATGGAAAGAGAAAATTAAAACCTAGAAAGGGAAAACCTGAGCACACTGCTTATACACAAATAGGTAGACTGAAATTCATCATCACAATTTCATTGCAAGCCCATGCAGTCATCAGAAGTAGAGTTGGAGGATACATTGCAAGTCAGTATAGAAGCAACATAGTCATGCCAGTCCTGGTTCCATGACCAATATGTACAGAATGCGTGACTTACAGTCTGCCCGTGTCATCACTATCCTTGTGTTGTTCTTTGTCAACTTTACCAGCACAATGGGCAAGGCATGGTAATCAATCTCCTTCTTCTTCTTTTCCACAACCACTTGCGCTGATTCCAGCTCAACAGGCTCATCGCTGGAGGATAACAGAGTTAAATCACAGCATATTCCTAGTTACATGGCAAGGAGAGAGAGAGCGTGTGTGTGTGTGTGTGTGCGTGTGTGTGTGTGTGTGTGTGTGTGTGTGTGTGTGTGTGTGTGTGAGAGAGAGAGAGAGAGAGAGGGCATTATGTGCAACTCAAGTAGGTTCAGTGGTGGCCAGCCGAAAGCCAGCTTCTGTGTCTCATGTACTTACTCCTAGATGCACACGCTACACACGGGAGCACAGATCACTCGTTCCACCGGTACTAACCTATTGGAAACAGCAGTTGAAGTTGAAGTGCCGACTGATGTGAACCATGTGGAAGGCTGTGGTTCTCTTGATTCACCTAAGCCAGTGGGCCTGCAAAATCGATCAAGTTCAAAATACAAGAACATGTCATGGTCACACGATCTTGATCATGGTATGAGAGGAAGTCTGGATTTGAGTCCAGAATATTCAATTTCTGATCTCTGACTCAATCAAGAACTATTACAAGAACAGCAACTTGAGCTGGGACAAGCCTGGTCTGCACCATACAGCTTTAGAAGTGTCCCCCCCCCCAGTGAATCCCTAGTATTCGGTCCATCCTTATTAATACACACACGCATGCATGCTCGCACGCGCACACATACACCACACACACACACACACACACACACACACACACACACACACACACACACACACACACACACACACACACACACACGTATACATATACATTCATGCATGCACCCATTGCACCATTCACTTGTTTGTAAGCCTGAAGAATTGATCTCCACTATTCAGAATGGTCTACAGTTTTTTAAAATTATTATTACACCATTATGGTCACACACATGCACATACAGACACAGCGATACGCACGCACACACATACTTTAGAAGAAATTCCAAGCCACAAACACTGTAGTGGCATGAAAAAGTGATCAGTTTCAAGTTCAACTTTAATTTAGCATACCCAACATCAGGTTTTGGTTCGTGTGAAGGTAGCTTTATTCCCAGTATGGAAACGAACTCATCTTTAGATGAACTCTGACGACAAAAGGTGGTGGAAAGCCCCTCTGAACTTGCGATCTTCGAAGCAAGCGATGTTGAGGCAGTTTGTGGAGTCACTGAAATACTGTGTAAACTCGCTCTACAGAAAGGGACCAAGTGACTGACACGATGACACAACTGCTTCGTTACAGGCAGCATTGTGCTCCGCAATCAACCCAGCAGCCCAGAATCCACTAGCACAACATTGCAAATCTACCAATTGCCTCTCGACGAAAGCTACTCTTTAAGTGTCAATCTCTCTTTTTACACCATTGCTGTTTGATTTTTCTGAAGGGATTATCCCACAATTTTTTGCGGGCTCCGCGCGTTGAGATGTACGATCGAATGCCATTTTCGTTGTCTTGGTATCGCATGTGTTTTTGTATGTTGTTGCATGGGGAAACCCCATCAACGAGCTAGGTCATCGATCGGCAAGCAGACTTGAAAGTTTTGTCAAAAAGTTTTGATTTTTTGGGGTAGCTAGTTCCTCTACCAAAATAATTGAAAAGTGAATAGTCCTGGATTCTGGGGTGCGAGATGGCGGTAGAATCATCAACCAAGGCAGTTTCTGCCGTAGAGAAAAGCCGAGACATGCCTTCTGAAAAGGCCATGGAGTTTCTGTATACAGTTGTTCGAAGAGACGTGGACTCCAGCAACGATGAAGGAATAAAAGAGAAGGAGCAAGCTATTCAACGGCTTGGTGAACTTATGTTTGAAAACAAATTGAAAGACGGTAAGAGGAGAAACAAAGGTCTCCATCACGCCCTATCATGTTATTGTACGCCAACGGCAATGTGTTGTTTCCTTTGTGCGCTACCTGTGTTCAGACCTTTGCGCTCTTGTCAAATATATCCGCCCGTTTCTAAGCTGCATTTCCAAAGCCAAGTCGGCGAAGCTCGTCAGGAATTTGCTGGACTTGTTTCTCCAGCTGGACTCGGAGACGACATCTGCAGTGAGTGCGTGTGTGCGCGAGTTTGTGTGTGCCTGCGCGCGCGAGTGTGTGAGTGTGAGTAAACGGTTGAAGGAATACCATGAACAGCAATGAACCGAGTTATATTACTAGAAGTATTTTGTCATGTAGTGGAACTACTACTAGACTATGCAGCGAACTAGTCCTCACGCTCTGGCATGCGCAATCAACCACAACACCAGTTCTCGGTTAGAAAAGGTTTGTAAAAAGAGAGATAGAATGTATGATCTGAACACTTCCAAGCAGGCAGTAGACTGACTCCCCTATCTCAGAGATAAGACCGGAAAAACTAACAGGGAACTCCTCGCGTGACTCGGAGATCGTCAGCAAGCAGCGGGAGCGAGGATGAAAGCAAAGACAGCCAGGTAGGGATACAGAAGCCATGCAGCGTGACAGGTGAACAATGGACACAGCAGTCCATGGTGAAACAAGACACCTAAAGGATAGAGTGAATTACGTGCACAGCATGAACGGGTCATGACTCATCTATGTCTGGAATGACAGCATAAGGCAACAACACTTCTGGGAGAGCCAGACAACAAGAATACTAACACCACTCATCAGAATAGAAGTACTAGCAGAAAGACTATAATAAGTATTGGCAGGACTATTGTTACTATAACAAGTCGGTTACAGTTCCTCTTCACCCCATCACCTGGTAACAATAGGGACTGTCGTCCAAACCGAGCTAGGTTGTGTAGCGACTCGGTGGTCGTATGCTGGTGCGGCTGCGCAGGCCATAACGGGGCACATCACTAGTACTATCACCTGCGTCAGCCTCGATCCACCAGACAGGTCCGCCGTCGTCACTATCGTTGTCATCATCGACGTCTGGGTGCAGCTCTGCGTCGGCGTCGGCTTCCTCAGGAACACCACTCTTCAACAGGTCAATGTTGACGGTCTTCTCCTTCACGCCTGTTGCACCGTGCTTATGAGAGATCACAACGGTGGAGGGCGACACAATCCGCTTCACGGTCCATCCTGTCTGGAACGGCGGAAGGCGCTTCTGACGGCGACTTGGATGTCGATACAGTACATGGTCGCCCACGCAGTAGGGGTTGGCACGGCATGGAGACTCCAAGAAGTCGGCGCTGGCTAGCTCAGACTCTACCAAGTCCCTTACGACGGCCGTGCGATCAGCCAGCTTCGTCACCCATTCGCTCAGGAGGCAATCATCATTAGCTGTCTCAACAACAAGATGCCGTGGCCGCCAGCCAATCATCGCTTCGGTGGGGGACAGTCGCGTGGCGTGGTGAGGCCGGTTTCGGTAGAAGAACAGGAGCACATCAAGATCCTGCTGCCAGTCAGACGTCGTGCTTAGCACCTTGCGAATGAGGCCTAGCAGCGACCGGTTCATACGCTCGGCGGCGCCTTGAGACTCAGGATGTCGTACGGCTCCTGTTCGTACACGAACCCCCATAACTTTGAACAGCGACTCCACGATGGCGTTCCGGAATTCTGTTCCATTGTCCGTCCTGACGACATCGGGGGCTCCCCAGCGTACGCACATTGAGGTGAATGCTGCGGCAACGGAGGCGGCGTCGTGACGACGAAGTGGACAGATCTCGGCCCACTTCGTGAATGTGTCTATGCAGACCAAGACGCAATGGTACTGTCCGCTGCTGTTCTCGCCAAGCTCCAGCGTGTCTAGGACGAGCTCACTCCAGGGTCGGCCAGGAATATCAGGGCGTGTAGGTGACGCCTGTCCGCTTCCAGACGGGTTCGCGGCTCGGCACTGCTCACAATCGGCGATGTACTTGCGACACACACGGGCCATGTCCTTGAAGAAACAACGAGCTCGAATCATCTGGTAGGTCGCCTCCCAGGCAGCATGTCCGGAATTGTGATGGGCAATGGCTACAACTTCACCGACCAGCACGTCGGGAACTACCGGCACTTCGACCTGTCCATCCAGGGTTAGCTTGACACTCCGGAAGAGTACTCGGTCTCGGACGACTAGCTCTCTTGCCACCTTGCTGTAGGATGAGGGCACGAGCAGCTGGTTCTCTAGGCAGTGGATCACCGACTGGATCTCCTCATCACTCGCCTGACCCTCGACTATCCTTGCGCGCAGCACTGGGCTAACAACGTGGGCCTCGCCAGCAGCCGCACTCACGGAGACGCTACCCTTTCCCTCTTGCTCCTTGAAGTACTTGATCCAGGTACGCGGTACCCTTGTCAGCGCATCGGCGGGGTTTTGATCTGTCGGCACCCACTCGACAGACACACTCAGGCCGGCTGTTGCCACTATGTCAGCAGCGATCTGCAAACGGCGCTGCACCAGCACGTGGTTGAGACCCTTTGTTCTGATGCGCCGGATGTTACCCAAAGTATCGCGCAGCCAGCTGGCCACCGTCTTCGAGTCGGTTACAAGGCGGACGCGTCTCGCACCCCATGATACTGCTAACGAAAGGCCGTTGAGCGCTGCATCCAGTTCCGTGACGTTGATGTGACGCTTGTCATGTGATTTCCTCAGCCAAGCCTTGTCCTCGATGACGCCGCTGCCATCCTTGACCACTACGCCTAAGGCAACATCGGATGCATCGGTGTACACGACGAGCTCTGGATCACTGGTCGATGGTGTCACTGACCAGACACCTTTGGCTGGATCCCCATCACCTGCTAGCCGGGCCATCACCTCTTCGCAAAACTTAAGCACTTGCTCCGACACGAGGTGATCCCACGGCGTGTCACCTCCGACTAGACGCTTCAGGAAACTGGTAGCAGGTCGTAGCCACCCGCAGACAGGCACATGGCTGGTGAGGCGTCCACACCAGCTGAACAAATCCCGCTTTGTCGCTGGTCGCTGGAGATCAAGGCTGATGCCGTCGCGTCGAGTCCAGCGTGTGTCACCTCCTTCGCCCGTGCTGAGCTGCAGCCCAAGGACCCGAGCGGAAGCCATCGGCTCGGCGGGCTTTGTCGGCAGGCCGTACTCGAGCAGCCTAGCAGCAACCGCCGGGACGTTGTTGCGCGGAACTCGGATATCGTCGACATAGTTGTCGGCCATCGGGAAGCCCTGAAGTATCCACTGGATGACTATGTCCATGAATTTCGGTGCGATGTTGAGTCCGAAACCCATTCTAGTCATAACGTATCTCTTCCCTTGCCATAGCACGGTCTGATAGCGGACGAGCTCAGGTTCGACACGGATCTGCAAGTACGCTTTCCGAACATCCAGGAGGCAGAAGTCGCTTGCATCGCCGTCCTGCCGCCATTTTCGCAACGTGTCTTCACACACCGGGGCATCCTGGCCTGGTTGTGACGTGAGCTGGGCGTTAAGAAAGCGGTAGTCTAGGCAGGGACGCACCGGAGTTGTAGCCTTGTGCTCCTGCACCTGAGCGAGAAGAGGGAGCACCGCCGCTGGTTCGCCATGGACATCTGGATCGTGTCGTACCAGCCATCCTTCATCAATCCACTTCTTAACTTCAGCGCAAAACTGCTCTTCCTGTTTGGATGACAGCTTCTTCCTGGAGTACTCTCCAATGTTCGGACCAATGCGGTGGCAGGGCTCGACACCATCTTGCCAATACCACTTCAGGCTCCAGTGGCCTTGCTCCGCGTGCCACCTCACTTCGCCGTCATTCACCCGCAAGATGACGTCCTTACCATCGCGGATCACGTTGACATGTGGAGATGGGTGCGAATCCTTACTTGGCTCCGTGGTACACGCGGCTGCTGGCGTCGTACCGAACGTCACGGCACTCAGGGAGTTGTCCTCCCCGTAGCGAAGCTGTACGCCACCATTACCGACCACGACGTCATTGCCCACCAGGATGTTAGCCGATACAGCAGTCAAATCTCGCACTACCACCGCTGTCACTACGGTTACTGGTAGCAGCACTGGGCCATCCAGTCTGCGCAGTTGAAGTTGCACTGTGCCGCATACGTCAAGCGACTTCCCATCCAGTGCAATCAGATTCTCAGAGTACGCACTGTCAGAATCGAAGTTTCCTATTCGCTCTGCAGTTTTCTTATCGATCAGCGTACGCGTTGAACCGGTGTCCAATACTGATCGCAGACGGTGCCACTCGTCAGAATGATGACTCACACTGTTCTTGCGTGCCTCCACGAAGACCCGCGGTAGGCCGCCGCGCTGCGCTGTCACCGTGCACAGACAGGGATCGCTGGGGTCCCACTCGCCTTTGGGAAGTCGGGGTTGCTGCTCCGTAACGCCAGCAGCAGGACGCTTCTTCGAGTCCAGCCACGCTTTCCTGTCAGGACAATCGGGTTTCGTGTGACCAGGCTTGTCACAAAAGTAGCATGTCACCTGATTCCCCTTGTAAGCGTTCAAGGGCGTCTTGGCTGACTTCGAGCTGCGCTTGGGGCAGTTGCGACGAATGTGGCCAGCCTCGTGGCAGTAGTAGCAGGTCACGGTCCCGCGATCAGTCGCACTTGATCTGGCAGGGCGATCACTTGGGCCAGCAGCGGCAGAAACGTCCTCGGAAACAGCACCACACGCTTCCGCAGCCGTTCGCAGTGCGCGTACCTGCTCAACGCACTCGCTGATTTTCAGCGTCTTGCCAGCCATGGACATCCGCACGGAGCGAGCGAACTCTGCACCCAGGCCAGCGATGAACTGCTCGATCACCACTGAGTCAGTGTCGCTACCGGCTGCGTGGCCAGACAGCGCGAGCAGCCGCTGGAGGTCTGCAACGTACGCATCTACGGACTCGTCGACCTTGAGCTTCCTGTTTACGAACTTGCCATACGCCTGCGAAGGCGTAACTGCAAAGGCGGACGATAGCTTGGCCTTTACTTCATCTACTTTCTTTTTGTCCGCATCCGCCATCCTCGAAAAGACCAGGAACGCATCTCCATCGAGAAACAATGGGATATACTTCGTCTTCTTGGCGTCATCATCCCATCCAGAGATATCGGCCAGTGCCAGAAACTTCAGCCACCACGTACCGAAATCTTCACCTTTTCCACGGAATGCGCGCAGATAGTTATCTGCCTTCAGCGACATCACGGACTGCGAATACGCTCACTAGTAGTACCGACTACCGACCGCACACAGACACCAGTGCAGCCACAGCCCCCAGGTCCCGGGTTTCGGCACCACGCTGTAGTGGAACTACTACTAGACTATGCAGCGAACTAGTCCTCACGCTCTGGCATGCGCAATCAACCACAACACCAGTTCTCGGTTAGAAAAGGTTTGTAAAAAGAGAGATAGAATGTATGATCTGAACACTTCCAAGCAGGCAGTAGACTGACTCCCCTATCTCAGAGATAAGACCGGAAAAACTAACAGGGAACTCCTCGCGTGACTCGGAGATCGTCAGCAAGCAGCGGGAGCGAGGATGAAAGCAAAGACAGCCAGGTAGGGATACAGAAGCCATGCAGCGTGACAGGTGAACAATGGACACAGCAGTCCATGGTGAAACAAGACACCTAAAGGATAGAGTGAATTACGTGCACAGCATGAACGGGTCATGACTCATCTATGTCTGGAATGACAGCATAAGGCAACAACACTTCTGGGAGAGCCAGACAACAAGAATACTAACACCACTCATCAGAATAGAAGTACTAGCAGAAAGACTATAATAAGTATTGGCAGGACTATTGTTACTATAACAAGTCGGTTACAGTTCCTCTTCAGTCAACATTTTGTAAGTACCACCTGTTACTGAGTTTAATACAGAGGTAGCAGGCACGTATGTATGTGTGTGCATTCGAGTTTCAAGTTGCTACGTAATGTACATACGATGCATTCACAGGGGCGTCGCACCGGTACGGTCACTACGGTATTGACCGTACCACTATTTGCCCCAAGTACCCCGTGAATCAATAAAATGCACTGATTTGGGCTCTAGATTACCAAAACGTTCGGCTCAGCCACCCCTCCCCCACGAGTAAATTGTACTTCAGATGGCTGACCGTACCACACTAAAATACCTTCCGACGCCCCTGATCCACAATCTACAATTTGTGAAGCGTACAACCTACTCCTTAGGAAGTTGACCTTCCGGAAGTTTTCAAAAGGCTAGTTTATTTTTGACAAATCCAGATCACCATCAGATTCAGTGGATCAGTCAGAGCAGCGGTTCCGAATGAAACGGAACAATGACTATCTTGCCTGATTACCGTGGTGCAGCTTTCATGCGATTGCAACTAACTTGCTCTGGCTGCTCCAGCCTTGGGGTCGGAGTGTTCAGAACATGTCCTGAACACTACGAAATCAGTGCCAACCAGTCAAACACACCTGTTTGTAGGGATATCAGCGCAGATACTGCGCAGGGCTTTGCGCAGACAATGATGTAATCGATTTTTGAACGCGGCGATGGCATACTAAAAAAAATGGCGAATGTCCAAAACCGGCGAAAATGCAGCTCGGGGAGTCGGTATTTGACGACTCCCCGACGCAGGTCAACCTTGATCTAGAAGTTCGAACATTTTAGAGAGAACGAGAGACCGCGAGAGAGAAAGAGAGCTACAGTGCATTTCAAAACTATAGACGCGTAGGGTTTTTGAAATATTTCAAATTTGGCTGGAACTTTTTGAGAATAGTTTTCGGAATATTGCTCAGGATCGCTCCACAATTACTCTCATATAGTTTCTAAAGGATTGGATAACAGACGCCCAATTTGGAAAAATTTATGCACAAAGTGATCACAGATTTTATGTGGTATAGATGCTGGCATAACGGTTTTTGCCTAGGTACGCGTCTATAGTTTTGAAATGGACTGTAGAGAGAAATTTTACTCAAGCTAATGCTTCAGTAGAGGTTCTGGGCACACTGATAGGCTAATATCATCTGACGATTTCACAGCTTGTGCAACTAAGTGAAAATGCGCCGCCAGAAAATCGGCGATAGTGAAGTCGGCTTTGAGTAGATTTGGCTTTCTCCATCCTCGGGAGCCGCTCCTGTTGCCTGTCACAACCAAACCCCGTCTCCACACGACTACAAACAAAATCCCGTCCACACCTGACAATCGATGTCGCTGCAACAACCGCCATATGCACGGCGATATGTCAGAAATGTAGAAATGGACAAGAACGATCGTGGTCACCTTTCGCGCCACGTGGAGCATGAACGCTTCGGTCAAATTTCCTGCCAGCTCTCAACATCCAACATCATGTATGTCTGTACGGTTTACCATCAAATCCAGAGCTTTTCCCCGGTTAAATCCAGTGATTTTCACCTCGGAGATCGTGGCAACGACCGGCATGGTCGCCATTTTCAGCCCTGAAAGAACCCTGTCGTTTGGAACGAAAACGGCTTCGCACCTTGCAACGAATGTTACAAATCGATTCCAGAACACAGGGGCGGTCCAGCATACCAAACAAGATCCTCGTACGCAAGTGGCCTGTAGTCAACATTTCCTTGCAAGGAAATTTCAGCCATTTCTCCTTGGTTGAAGATCTCAATTTTCTGCAGAAAAAATAGTCAGTGTTTGGTAAAAATTCTGCATGCCACATCTGATGCACGCTTGGCTGCATGCGCAGTGCACGCGCTGAGATCTATACTGTTAGAAACGATCCTGTCCATGATCGGACCCATCGAGCATGCCCCAGCTGCGCAGGTAATTTAAAATTTATTTGCACCGATACTTGATAGGGGCCTTTTTCCAGTGAGCACTTATTACTAGTACTCTGCTGTGCTCCTTTCACAGCAACTGTCCTGGCATGAAGAAATTTATTCCCTTTTGATTACATTGAGTTTTTCCCTTTCTGCTGGAGTGCTTAGAACTCTATTGGTTACTGTATATCACTTATGCTCTGTTTCACTCTCACAGATTGAACTTTGCAAGGAATGCATTGAATGGGCCAAGGCTGAGAAGAGATCATTCTTGCGACAGAACTTAGAGGTAAGCCGGTAGTACCTCGCATAGACAGCTTATTTTTTAAACTTACTGCCCGTGTCCAAGGCTGTCGCGGCATCTCATCTGAGGATGAGCAGAGCTGCAGTCACCAAGGACGATTTCCAGCCAGCGTTTTTCTTCTCCACGCATCCATTCCCACACAAAGTGAACATAAACTGGGCTTCACCTGTTACCAGCGATTCAAAAAATTGTGCGATTAGAGCAACACTGCTTGTAGAAAGCTCAATTTCCACTGCTACATCTCGATTCAGTCGATTTTGTATCAAACCTGTCCAGGGGGTCATGGTTCCTTGAAGTTGTGTAACTGAAAGCATTTTGGACATATACCTTGCGGTTGTTATTACGTTTTCTCATGCACTTGAAATATGTGTGTTTGTGCATGGATGTTCATGTATCTGTGTGTATGTATATGTGTGCGCGCGCGCGCGCGCGCGCGCGCGTGTGTGTGTGTGTGTGTGCATGTGCATGGATGCATACGTGCGGTTCTGCATGCGTGTTTACTATAGTCTCGTTTGGTGGCATTATTCCTTGCATCAAGTCAGTACACTGCTGCCCTGGATCTGGGTGAGTTACCATTCTTATCTTCATGTATTACAGTCTATGCACAGTTGAGTCATCGTGTATACATTGGTATGCTGTGCTTGGTAAAAGTCTAGCCTGCCCGTTCTTCGGCGCTCTGTTCTTTGGTGCCCGGCAGTACTGTACTGCATGTGTGCTCTACATGTTTTGCTACATAATTCTATGAGTGCGCAGGAGAGCACTCTAGGTGCCTGTCCAAGGGGAACTGAAGAGTGTCGGAGTTTTACAGTTTATTGTGTGTATGTGTGTATGGGGGGGCAACCGAGGAAAGATGATGCATATATCTTTCTTCAATGGCTCACAGGCTGCTGTTAAACCCTTTAAAACAATACTAGTGTCTCATCGCCGCTCTCTTCTGCATTCTCAATCAGGTTCATCTTTGCTACGTGAGCTGAAGAAATTAGATGACAAAGCTCTTCTTGTGGATGTAAGTAGTTTATATACATTATTTTGCCTAGGTCCAGTTTCTTGAGTGGCCTGTTATTAGTGAGGTTTCGCTCTACGTAATTACGTATGAGAATCCGTATGTCGTACGCGCCGGGGAGCGAAGGCAACTTTCATACGTAAATCTCTCTACGGATTTCTGTAGGAAAGCTGTTTCCTACATTGGGTCCTCCGTAGGACTTTTTGAAATATTTTTCACATTTTCCGCATTTGTCTATGGCAACGTTCAAGCCGCGTGAAACACAAGGTACACACACCGTACACCACGCGCAAAATAGAAATGGAAAACGCGGTTTCTGTTCGTGGTGCATGCGGTGGGCGCATGCAGCCAACGCGTCTCCAAAGCAACAAGGCACGTTTAGCAGTCGTGGAGAAACCACGTAGAGCGAAACCCAACAGCTCTGATTTTTACGTATGAAAATCCGTGCAGTTCCTACGTTATTTTCATACGCAATTCCGTAGAGCGAAACCTCCCCATTATAAATGCATCATCCATACTGCGTTTTCTTGCAGGTGATGGTTGGTGACATCACAGGTGCATTCTACACCACAACTTTCCCACTTGTGTTTGTACTCTGGCATGTGGTATGATTTCACTAGTTTTGATTCAATGCGATCAAGCTGCAACTTCACCTATGGGGGTTTGCCCTTCCTGGTATGTGGCTGTGTATGTGGCTGTGTGTGTGTGTGTGTGTGTGTGTGCGTGCGCGTGCGTGCGTGTGTGTGCTTGTGCATGTGCATGCATGCATGCATGCATTTGTGTGCATTTGTGTGTTTATGCATTTGAGTATAATTATGTGCATCTGTGTGTGCCCGCGCATGTGTGTGTGTGTTTATGCATGTGCTTCTCGCCTTGCTACGGGCGTTGTTGGATGGTGCGTGCGGTATGTGGTTTGGGTTTGTTCGTTGTTTGAACGATGTTAGGTTCAGCTGTTGGAAAGTCGTGTATACTACAAATTGGGTAATGTGACCAAGTCCCGCGCCGCACTGACCTCAGCTAGAACCACGGCCAATGGTATCTATACCCCACCCAAGATGCAGGTACGCTGGTGGCTTCTTGTTCTTTTCTTTTTTTATTCCTGGCCGATAAATTCCGCCACCCTAAATAAAGCTGTGCCATTCTGGAGTGCACGCTATGTTTGTAGTACCTGTTAATAGGGCAATGGCTTCATAAGGATGAAGTCCACTGGCTATCCTTGTAGTTAGGAGCGGTGCTGTGACATACTTTGCGTGGAAATCACGTATGCTCATTGTGCATCCTGTTGCGGCGGTGCCGCACAATTCCACCATCTTTGTGTTCTCATTGTTGGTTCAACTGGAGTGCATGTATAGCTGCTCATATCACTGTAGTGTTCACTGCGCTGCTGAACAGCTCTATATCATAGTATATGGATGTACGGTGCTTTTCTGTGTCGCCAAGTACTGTAGCTGAGAAAATACGGTAGCTCTTTTCATTGTGCTCTACTTGCATAAAAAAACATTGGGTTCTACTGTAGTGCTGTCTCTATAGATAGTATCATGCCATTGCAATGGTTTCAGTCACTCTTCTTTCCTGTCTTCTTGCTGTGTCCTCAGGCTGGCCTTGATCTGCAGGCAGGTAGGACATTTATACTTGTACTGTAGTTAACATCCCACTGCACGCACAGACATTGAAGACAAGGTTTGGGCGAGACTGGAACTCACGCGGGGGAAATGGGGTTAGGCTTACACCCAGGCCACCACATGGTAGGACGAATGTGGAGGGGGCCGCTAACAAGGTTAGGCTTACACCGCACTTCCACATGGTAGGACAGATGTGGAAGTAGGCTGCTAACGGGGTTACGCTTACACCCGGACATCTGCATGGTAGGACGAATGCAGAGGGGCTGGTAACCTGGAGTTGGGTGTCAGCTCAAAGGCTTACGGGGTGCTTTGCAGCCACCCACTCCATGTGAATGCCACCCTTTCCGTGAGTTCCTTATTTATTTGTGACTCGGATAGTATGTAGTAATGAGTACTGTGATACTAGTACCACGCCAGGGATGAATTTATTGTCATATTTTTGCATAGCAGTTTCTGCCATACACAATCACAATTGTGTAGCAGTCTTTGATTTTGATTAGCATTTTTCTTTCAAGGTTGGGTGTTTACCACATTGTCCTTCTTGAGAGTGATGCCTGAAAGCCCATTTGCAAAAACAACGACTGAATCATACATGTGCACGCAGATTGAGAGTGCCTGCACCACATCTACTGCACTGTATGCATGTTACTTGACAGCACAGGCTAGGCATGGATGGTCTGATTCTATCGCAGTTTTCTGCGAGTCACGGCGACTTTTGAGTAGCAGTTGATCGATTCTGCATAGCAAACTGCGATGCGATACAGGATAAATTCATCCCTGCACGCCAAATTGGGTGGGTTGGGATGGGGAAAATTTGGCAAAGAGCTAGTGTTGGAACAAACAGCAAGTGAAAGTGGTAAGCAACAACAGGAACAAAGAACACGAGTGCATGCACATATGGGATCAGATGCGCTGGTAGGTTCAGCTGCCGACAGAGCTAGAGGGCGAACACGCTCCCGCGTGGTGCGAACTGTGCCCGTGTCACGTGCACAGCGGTGTGCGTGGGCAGCTCAACGATAGCGCTACGGGTAGATGTGGAATGCAGTGTGAAGTAGCGGCATCGCTACGGGTAAATATGGAGCGCTACGTGCAGTAAACGCAGGCGGGCACGCGCTGAGAGAGCGTTACGTGCGTGTTAACTACAGTTAATACTACGTATAAACTGAGATTTATGTTTTTTGTCTCTGCTTCTTAGTGTTGGACCGTATGTGTGTGTGTGTGTGTGTGTGTGTGTGTGTGTGTGTGTGTGTGTGTGTGTGTGTGTGTGTGTGTGTGTGTGTGTGTGCTTTTTTTTCTTTAATGTGTGTGACATGTATACATATTCCCTGGATATACATGGCACCAGGGTTCAGTAACTTGTCAGTTGTGGTGCTTTGGACACGCATGTGTGGCTAAGCAAGGTGCTGTCCGCCTGTTTTGAGTGACATCAGGACTGCATTGCCACTCTTGGTTGTAGTAGCTAGTGAGCACTTCATAGTATTTTCGGGGTGATTTTTGGAGTGGTTGTCCTGGCACGTTGCTGGACTGCTTTTGACTCGGTGTTTTTTTCTCTCTGTTCAACAGGTATCCTTCATGCCCATGATTTAGATTTCAAGATGGGATACTCTTACCTTTATGAATCGTTCGAGGTGAGTGTAAATGTGAAGGTTGAAGTACTTTCAAAGGATCTTCACCTGGCAGATCATGCCACATGTGTTTGGTTATCTACATGCAGTGTGTGTATGCGGTCAGTGTGTGTGTGTGTGTGTGCATCTGTGTGTATGTGTGTGTGTGTGTGTGTGTGTGTGTGTGTGTGTGTGTGTGTGTGTGTGTGTGTGTGTGTGTGTGTGTGTATCTGGATCTGGATGTATGTGTGCACACCTGTGTCTGTTCGCGCTGCTTCCGCATGATCCCACATCTGAGGTGACATCAGGCGGTATGCTCCTTCTCTCCCTCTACTGCCCGTTTGGGGCCCACGTGACCCCTGTGGCAGTGGCTCAACAGGACAGGATGTGTGTGTGTGTGTGTGTGTGTGTGTGTGTGTGTGTGTGTGTGTGTGTGTGTGTGTGTGTGTGTGTGCGCGCGCTTGCACATTGATAACTGTTAGTTAGGTGAAGGCATGGAGAGTGTTATTGAGTATCATAATAATTTACTGCATTTAATATTTGAGGTTCTGTGCTACAATGTTTTGGTAAAATCTTCTATTTGCTTGTGTTCTCCTTTCATATGCACTATCTCTGTGGTTTTTTTAGGGATTTGATTCTGTCAATCTCACTACAAGTGCATCACTGGCTTTGAAGTACCTGCTTCTGTGCAAGATTCTGCAAAACTCGTAAGTGTAGTGCATGGGTGTCAGGTGTATCTAGTCTTCCTTTTCTTTTCTTTTTTAGATCATGTTCATGCATTTTTCTCTTCGTGCCAACTCATGCTTTTGTTGGGGTCAATGAGAGGAGGGAAGGGTGGCGGGTGGGGCTTAGTAACCCTTATTTAAGAGGCATTAGGGGGGGGGGGGGGGGCTTAGTAACCCTTATTTAAGAGGCATCCTAATACATGTAGTCACTTTATGGCACTTTGAAGAGTGTTGACTTTCTGAAGAGATAGCAGACTGGGCTGCTTAGAAACGAAAATCTTCTGTAAACTCCACAGTCTCTTCCAAAGGAATTGCAATACTGTCCGCACTGTGATGGCTGCCATGGCTGGGAATTAGTCTCCCTAGTGGGTATTTTAGTCGCTGCAATGCTTGGATTGGTCTGTCTGCCTGATGGATGATGGCCTGGTATGTGTGTCTGTTCTCGTGTGCAATGCAGGCCTGAAGATGTATCTGCATTGCTAACGACAAAGCTGGCTCAGAAATACCACGGTGAAGCAGTAAGTGTGGCATTGTGCTGCAGTGTGCTACTAACCTGTAGTCCTGAGTGTCCTGAGTGTTTACACCACTGCTCAATGTCACCTACATACACCACTGCTCAATGTCACCTACATACACCACTGCTCAATGTCACCTACATACATGTGCATTATGTGCTGCCTTTTTCCGCTACTAGTACGAGGTGAATTGCTATTTCTGGACATTGTACATTTCTGGACATTTCGAGTAAAATAATTTTTCGTCGCGTGTAGAGTCAAGTCAGTCGAGTTGATGAAGTTTTTTCTTGCCGTAGTTGACAGCTGGGCTGTTGTAGTTTCTCCTCGTGTCGGTGCCTTGTTGATAGCCTTTGCTTGTGCGGCATTTCAACGGGTTTTGTTGTACTTTGTCGCATGAGAATTTTGAATTTTGAGTAAAATAAGAAGTAATGGACGAATTGTTGGCTTCCCCATGTGCACTCCACTTCAGACGCTGTATAGTCATGGACTTGTTGGCTAGAAGTGTGAAGAGGCCAACTGCAGTCCACCAATAGAAAATATAACAAAAATGGTGCAGTATAGGATGCCTATTGACGCTATTTTACTTTCATGTCCAGAATTCCATACACTGAAATTTAGGCAAAAAATTGGCCTGTCAAAAACGTCCTGCTATCAAGTCTCTGGGATCACAGCATGAGCAATTGTCACATATTTGGAAAAATGAAGGATTAGGCCATACACTAAATACAAAGATATAAGAAAAATGTAAAACACACAGCCAGTGGGGCTCTATTCTATTTTCATGTCCAGAAATAATGCTATTCACCTCGTACTCCCATTCTCACTAATACCTGATCTATAGTTTGTCAGGGTTTTTTTGTGAGGGTTTTCTCACTATTACCAGCCACTGACGCATGTGGTCTCACTCTGTATCTTGTTGCATCATATTGTGCTACCGTTGTCCCCAATGTTCCTGGTTGGCTACGTTCCGAAAGGCCAGAAATCCTGCCACCATTGACCTTGTGTGTGTGTTACGTGTGGTGGTGGTGGTGGTGTAGCTGTGACATTGATTGTGTATGTTTGTTGTGGTTGTTGCATAGAGTGAGGCCATGTCTGGTGTAGCCACTGCTTGCAAGAACCGATCACTGTGTGAACTCAAGGAGGTAAGTGTCCCAGTGCTGTGTCAAAACTGTCAGTGCTGTGTCAGTGCATGCCTAGAAAACACTGGAGTGTGAGCTGAAATGTGTGTGTGCTCAGTCTTAGTGGCATGTCTGCTGTGCTAATGCTCACACATCTATACCTGGCAGTTTAGAAGTGTAGGTTTTTAAAAGCGCCGACATGTCTAGCTCAATGTCCGTGCTACCAGTGTTGCTCCATTGAGGGATGTGCGATCATGTTTCTGCTTGGCCTACTGTCTTACTCTGCACTTGTAGTGTGAAGTCACCTGTGTGAAAATGTCACCAGTGTGTTGTAATGAATCGTTGAGTTGTCACATCAAACCCCTGCTAGCGTAAATAACACCATGTGACCTAATAACTAGGCTTGGCATAGCCTCACCTAGTCCTTTCCTGTCTGACTCCATACAGCTGTGCTGTCTGTCAAACTGCTGCTGCTAGTGCCAGTGCTGCTGCTGATGTCGCTGTTCATGTTCTTCCATCCTGTTCCCGTTTCCCTGGCAATAGGCTGGAGTAGGGTGTGTGCTTGTGTTCTTACAGTGTTGAAAGGACTTTCCTGAGCACTCAATAGCTTGCTGTGTAGATACTTTGTTTGTTTACTTGAAGTACTCCTTCCCTAGAAATCAGCACAGAGCACATTTATGTCAGTACAGTACAGTACAGTACAGTACAGTACATTACAGTACAGTACATTACAGTACAGTACAGTACAGTACAGTACAGTACAGTACAGTACAGTACTGTACAGTACATTACAGTACAGTACAGTACAGTACAGTACTGTACAGTACAGTACAGTACATTACATTACAGTACAGTACAGTACAGTACAGTACAGTACAGTACATTACATTACAGTACAGTACAGTACAGTACAGTACAGTACAGTACAGTACAGTACAGTACAGTACAGTACAGTACAGTACTGTACAGTACAGTACAGTACATTACATTACAGTACAGTACAGTACAGTACAGTACAGTACAGTACATTACATTACAGTACAGTACAGTACAGTACAGTACAGTACAGTACAGTACAGTACAGTACAGTACAGTACAGTACAGTACAGTACAGTACTGTACTGTACTGTACAGTACTGTAATGGTAACCTATGCTATCGCTGTTTTTGATTCCATTTTCTCCTCTGACAGGTATTGGCCAGTCACGAGAAGGAGTTCTCCTCTGATGATGTTGTTCGGGTAAGTAATCAGTAGCAGGCACGTATTAGCTCCCTCGTGTGCCTGCTCATGGCTTTTGGAGTGCTGATGTGTGTCTAGGTGGGTATGTACGTGTGTCTAGGTGTTTGTGTGTGCAGGTGTGTGTGCACGCATGAATGTGTATGTGCGTGTATTTGTGACCTCAGCTTGTTAACAGTGGACTCGGCAATGGACTTTCTCACTAAACTAGCTACTGTACAAGCAGAAATATTGGTCTGGAATTTAATTTCGTCTTTTTCGTCCAAGGAGCTTTTGGACTAAATTATATGCCTGACGAATATCGATTTGTTCAGCTTTTCAATACACTCTTATGATCAATGGACGAAATTTACAACCGGACGAACTCCCATTCTTTAGAGTTGGACGGAATTTTTCACCGACGAAATTTTCTGCTTATACAGTAGATGTGGTGACAATAGACATCAATTTAATCATATCTATGATTTCCGATGATTCACTCATCCATCCTGACTAGATCACTATGGCTGGGTCCGAGACCGTTGGCTGTTCTATTGTTCCTGTGTTTTTCCTGTGATGTGCTACCTACCTCTGTCTGATAGCACTTTCTTTGTTCTTAGAGCTCAGCCTGTGTTATTGGGGGAGCAGCTGAAGGTGCTTGCCTATTGCAGATGGGAATTACGTGTATCTTACGTGTAAATTCTCTTCTAACATTTGTTTCCTGTATGTCCTGCTCTGTGTCCTGCTAGCGTCACCTTGATCATCTTTATGACAACTTGCTGGAGCAAAACTTGCTGCGATTAGTGGAGCCATTTTCTCGTGTTCAGGTATGACCTATAACTCTGTCATTCTTTGGGAACAGCTCTCTGCTGCTGCTACTACTGCTGCTGCTGCTGCTGAAGCTACATGTGGTGGTGGTGGTGGTGTCGGATGCGTGTTGTGTGTGGTGTGGTCACGGTTGTGTGGTGTGGTCGCGGTTGTGGTGTGGTGTGGTTGCTACCACCACTCGGCATTGTTGCTGTTTCCACCATTGCAGTAATTTTTGGAATGTAACATTCATTCTCTTTTCCAAGTGTCCTACCTTCGAAGTTGTCCAACAATGGAGTTTTTCTTGAATGTATCCTTTCATTTGTGTCCTTGCCTATTCTGATGGCTTGCTAGTGTGTTAGCGCACTCCAGTAATACTTGTGCTGTGTTGGCCTCTACTTACATGCACGCACTCCCGTCATGTCTGACTGACACTTTGTCATTTTGTGTGCAACGCCGTGTAGTGTTCCAGTCTCTCGGATACATGTATTTATTTATTCCATTCACTGTCTGTTTATCGACTGTTCTCTCGGAGACTCCCTCGATTTAGGCTAAGGCCTGTGGAGAATCCATAAAAATTAAGTATTTGATACAGCTATGAAATACGAAATCTCTCTCCTTCTCTCTCCTTCTCTCTCTCTCTCTCTCTCTCTCTCTCTCTCTCTCTCTCTCTCTCTCTCTCTCTCTCTCTCTCTCTCTCTCTCTCTCTCTCTCTCTCTCTCTCTCTCTCTCTCTCTCTCTCTCTCTCTCTCTCTCTCTCTCTCTCTCTCTCTCTCTCTCTCTCTCTCTCTCTCTCTCTCTCTCTCTGTGTGTGTGTGTGTGTGTGTGTGTTTGTGTTTGTCTGTCTCCCACAGGTTGCACACATTGCTAAGCTTATCACTTTGCCCCAGGTAAGCTTGGCAGTTACTACACCAATAACAGCCTCCAGTGTCTGCTTTGCAGTGGGATGCACGGCTGTGTTGTATATACAGTGTACTGGTGTTGCTATTTTCATATGATGACAGAATACTGCAGCATGCACAGGAATACAAATCAAGAATTGTCACTTCTTTGGGACGTACTTTCAGTGTCTATTGTACCTACTGTATTCTGAATAGCATGTTCTGGTTGTGCTGCAGGACGTTGTCGAAAGCAAGTTGTCACAGATGATCTTGGACAAGAAAGTTAAAGGTCAGTGTGTTGAGAGTCACAGTGCTCAAGAGGCTGGCAAAAAGTCTTTTAAATCTTTCCCCATGATTTATGTGGTAGTTATTTGAATCTATTTCATCTATCAGTGCTCCATAAATATTTGAAAGGGAAATTCATTTTTTAACCACTTTTCTGATTTTAAACACCCATCACGAAAATCGTAAAAGTTCCAACAAAGTTCCCGGTTTACAGTATTTACAGTACCTATAGTAGAGTTGCATGCCGACGAAAGTGGAGTCCAAAACTCCCAGCCTAAAATACTACAGGTGGAATCCTGATAATTCGAACCTCAAAATGCCAGGAAAAAACTTCTAATTATCCGAACATTCTAATTATCCAAACATGAACCCACAACACAATATGTATGTCAAAATGCTCTCATGGTCACGCAGAGTTGCACTATGGACCTTAGACACAGATTTCACGGATACTGAACTGACCGGCACAGCCCGCTCATGCAAACTGAACTGACCAGTACAATGTACAGTGAACTTCGAATTACACTTTGCTAACTTCGAATTATCAGCACAAATCCCACACATTTTCAATAACTTATAAGTGGAATCTGTGGGACTTCTAATTAACCGGACATATCCAGTTCGAGGTTCTAATTATCAGATTTTTTATGTGGGAATCGTATTGATAGAAATCGGTCCTGGAAAAACTTCTAATTTAGCGGTATGTTCGAATTATCAGGATTCCACCTGTACTTTGAAGTAAGAGCAGCTGTGTCTGTGTTGCACAGCTGCACGGCGCATCATGGTCTACTCTACTCACTGGTCGGATTCCAATGGGCAGCACTGCACGTGTGAGAAGAGTACTACTAAGTAACTAACAGTCCATTGTTCATTGTTTGGGGATTGCTTGCCTGCAGGTATTCTTGACCAGGGAGCAGGTGTTTTGGAAGTGTTTGATCCGAGCACGAGCAACCAAACGTACAATTCGTCAGTTGATACCATCAAGGCAATGGGCAAGGTTGTGGACGGACTGTACCTACGTGCAAGAAAGCTTTCATGAGTTCAACACTTCAAGATTTTACCCGTATACATATTCATTCTTTGGTGTTGCTCTTTTATTGTCCCCTGGGGGTCGTGTACATTCAGTTTTTCACAGTTCTTTTGCTACTCTCACATCACTGCTGCATGGACAGCAGCAGCAGCAACAACAGATAGTAGGGCATGACATCATTTTCTTATCATGGATGGTGGCATTGTTTGTTAGATTTAGACAGGAGAACACATATCCAGCGTGCAAACACGAAACAAAATAATACACCAATAAGCGAAAAGTGGACACCCGGTCCCCCTGCTCCTGGCCTAAGTGTACACAGCAAGTGCTTATTGATATGATGTCTGCTTTAGTAGTAGCACAATAATTTTTAATGGCATTGCACATACTGACTGTGGTGGCGACATTAGCGGTGGCAACAGCATGTCATTCGTGATTAGTTTTCTTGCAGACGCATAGTCATGTTTGTATACTGTGTTAGGTGACAACCGCCAGTCACTATCTTCTTATTGCTCAATAACTCTACTACTACTACAATTGGCATGTTGTCCTGCATTCAAATGATCATGAAAATGCATTTTTTTCTTTTCTAAAGCCTAAAAACCTATTTTCGTGTCTCTGGTTGGAGAGGAAGAGAGAGTGGGGAATAGCGTACTGGAAATGAATAAGGAAAACATAAGGGAACATGACCTAAAGAGAAGAGAGGAGGTTGCTTGCTAACAAGACGAAAACAAGAATAATTATTATCAACTATTGAGCGTTGTAATGTGAGGAGAGGACGGCATGCAAAGGACGAGTTCCAATTCAATTCTGGCGTGACTTGCGGCTTGTGCGAAGAGTCCCCGATGAGGCTGTCGACCTGGAAGCAGAGAAACACACACGCACGCACACACACAGGCAGAGATCGGAATAATTATTATTCCGTTTTACCTTTAGCAATTTGCTTCTGCCAACCCACTATGCAACGTACAAGTACATGTATTAGAAATATGATACTGGCCAGTGAAAGCACATTCTGTGCCCCGAGCCAAGCAGCTGGTGCCTTCTAGCTGTGCAACCCAGCACAGGGTTTGCATCCAATAGTACACAAATCATGAGTGGTCGGATATCACTGTCTACAATTATTTATACTTGAAGTAGTACTGATACAAGCAAGAGCTGTAGAGACACATGTTCCGACTTTTTGCGCAGAGTGGAGGTTCTGAATTTCAGGTTGCGCCCAGTTCGGCAATTTGAAAAGTTCCCTTCAGTTCCTGCTTGCTACGTGATAGCTATGGCCGTATGGGCAAGTAAAATGTGGCGTTTACAGATGAATGTAAACATTTCAAACAAGACGCCGAGAACACCTCGACTGCCTCTTTTTTCTGTTAAACTTGCCTGAAAGTTCGACTGTTTCACTAACTCCCGAACCCAGTAAGTAATCGAAAAATCCTGAAATTCGGAATCGAGAATCTCTTAATGATACAAACCAAGTAATTCTGTTTGAGTGGTCCGCACAAGCCCTTTCTATGACACCTATAATACCAACATATAGTCAGGTACAATAGCACTGGGAAAGTAAAGTGATTCGTGAGCAATTCAAATCACACACAACACACACAGCATGATTGAGAACTTACTTGTTACTGTTCAGCTTGGCTTTGAATGCTTCCAACTGGCCACTGCCCTTTGTGTAGGGTGGTCGCTTTGGAGCTCCAAGATGCGGGTCAGCGTTTTCATCCGCCCTGCATACAAACAGCAATATTGAGAAATACATGTAGAGGCGACGGTTTGATACCGGAACGGCTTGACAGCCAAATTTGTATAGACCCAAACTGATCATCAGCGTTGATTGTTCACTCGAAATATGTTTGTGGAAGGAAACTGGCATGTTGAAGTTTGCTCTGAGGCCAGAGTCAATCGAACTGAGCCACTCCTTTGTGTTGACCCATTGCCTCCAAGTTGCCCAATTTTTCGCTTCAAATCAGAGGTGGCTCCAAACCGGACAGGTTCAAGGCGGTGTTTACATGAGGCGTTCAACCCGGGTCAGATTTCAACCCGCCATGTGCATAAAATGAATTGCGCGTTTACATGACGCATTGCGCTTGACCCGGGTTGAAATTTCGCCCCGGGTTGATTTCAACCCTCCCCCCAAGGGGAGGGTTGAAATCAACCCGGGTCAACAAAATCGTACAAACGTACTTCTGTGCGTATCTCGCGCCAGGTTTGAACGGCACTGCAAATGCAAATTTCGCGCGAACGGATTCACTTGACCATACAGGACTGTAGAAGTGGACTTTTGGCGGCATATCAGTATTTGACCCGGGTCAACTGTCTTCATGTAAACGCTCACCTCTTTTGTCTATCGTACAGACTTTCAACCCGGGCTGAACTCGACCCGGGTTGAAATTTCTCATGTAAACACAGCCTTAGAGTGCACATCAAATTCACTCTGGGTCTGAAATTAGGTAATTGCTATCGCTCCACGACGGCCAGTACAGAGTAACAATAAGACTTGTGTGTGCTTCCATTAGTTTTGATTGGTATGCGGTGCTTTATTGGCGAGAGGAGCCGCTGTTTACCTGCGACAATAAGTTGATTTTTCGAAAGTCGTAAAACTCAAGTCGCAGTGCGAAGCAACACGTCAAAAACTCACTTGCTTGGTGTGGCGCTTCTGGTCATCGCAGAGCCATGAAATTTTGGCTCGGAGTATAACACATCGTAGTCTCACTGTGACATATGTTTTCTAATCAAAATACCAAGAGAGAAAGTGAATGTTGAGTCCGTTCCGGTTTGCAACCTATGTCCTATTTGAAACCGTCGCCTCTACATGTAGCTGCGAATGAGCTACTAGTGCGTCTATGAAAAGCGGGGGCACACACACACACACACACACACACACACACACACACACACACACACACATTCACAAACTGTACGCTGACATAGAAAATACAAGTTTGTGACTGGTGGTAGTGGTAGTGGTGGAAATACGTACCGCCCTCGGACAGGCATTTGCTTTGCCCGTGCAGAAGCTGTGAGAGATGAAAAGTTCTGCTTCCGTCCTGCACATGTGTTCACACATACACACACAACGCTACCAGCTCTCTTTCTTGTCTTTTAGTAAACAACGGACATACAAAAACATACCTGCAGACACTGCAATACTGCAACACAATGACACAGATAGTGGCATCCAACAATATCGCACAGCTCTCGAATGTTATAGGCTGCGTACCTGTGCCATTGTAAGTACTTGGTCGTGATGACTTGCCAGAAGGCTTTGTCTGCAGTGAAGCGGTCAGACTCATTGAGCCTGCGGACGCAGCACGGCTGCTGCTGCTGCCAGGCTGGTGTTGTCCCTTAGTTCCTTTACCCAGCCCCGCACCAGACAACCCACTAGCACCAGTAGCCATGGTAACTGTTGAAGACAGAGCTGAAAGCGGTGCGATGTGCGCACTTGCGGGCACAATAGCTGGAGCCTCCACAGCTGCTGCACGTGCGGTCGCATCAGGAATAACCGTAGCTGTTTGGTCCACTAGAAAGGTATTGCCTGAGGCTGGATTGGCTGTGAAGGTGGTATTGGCTGAGGCTGGATTGGCTGTGAAGGTGGTATTGGCTGCTTTGGTGGTGAATGTGACATTGGCATCAGCTTGGTCGGCATCGTAGTCATCCATATCATCCGAGTTGATTCCTACGTTGCTAGGACGACTAGAAGGCTCTATCACACCGCGCACTCGCTGCCGTGCACCCTTCAGACCTGACAAGATACAATGTACATGATAACACACCAGAGGCATAACACACACACACAAACAAGGACAATTTTAAACAATGGAGAGGAAAGGATTATGAAAGCACATTGGAAACCGCGTACTAGTAGGACTTACATGAGGCGTTTCAACCCGCCATGTACACAAAATGAATGGCGCGTTTACACGACGCATTGCGCTTGACCCGGGTTGAAATTTCGCCCCGGGTTGATTTCAACCCTACCCCCAAGGGGAAGGTTGAAATCAACCCGGGGCGAGAAAATCGTACTAACGTACTTCTATGCGTATCTCGCGCCAGGTTTGAATAGCAGTGCACAGGCAAATTTCGCGCGAAAGTATTCACGTGACCATACAGGACTGTAGAAGTGGACTTTTGGCGGCATATCAGTATTTGACCCGGGTCAACTGCCTTCATGTAAACACTCAGCTATTTTGTCTATCGTACAGACTTTCAACCCGGGCTGAAAATTCTCATGTAAACACAGCCTAGGTATAGCATAACGGAAACGACCATGAATAATTATTACTGTTGCTTACCAGGTGGTGGCGGTGGCAGGAATGCTGGCACATGTCCATTGCGCGACCCTTGACCGCTGGAAGTGGATGTTGCCGAGTCGCCATCAGGTGAAGAGCCACGCTGACTGTGCTGTTGTGTTGGCGATGAGGGCAGTGTTATTGTACAGTCTAGAGCATTCTCCTGTACCGCTGCTGAACCGTTCACTGGAGACGACAGAACAAACGTCTCTGGAGAAGGTGGAAGAGGCATATCTTCAGCAGCAATCTCAACATCAGTCCTGCGAATGTTGTCGTTCTGTGTTAGCCCAGTTGCAGGTGCTTGAGTAGTAGTGTTAGATGGAATGGCAGGTGAATGCGGAGAGTGTACACCATTCAGTTGCTGTGCACGGAGAAGGTGATGGTTATGAATGGTTGGGGTGGTGAAGAAGGTCGACGACTGGCCACGGCGAGATACCAGATGCGATGATGTGCCCGTCATGTAAGCTGGTTGCAGTACGACACTACTATCAGGAGAGGGTGATGTTGAGCCAGGTCTTTCAGGCTGCTGCACTGCTGTTGCCTCGGTCGATTGCTGCATGGTGACATGCGAGAATGCACTTGTGCCAGGCGTCGAGACGATTTCCGCACGCGAGATAACAGGTGTGAAGGCCAGAGCAGCGGGTGGGAGCACAGCAGGTTTGGCAGAGTCACGTGCAAGCAGCCCTACTCCCGGTGTACTGGTGAGCACGTTGGAAGAATTCGGTAACAACGGACTATCGGGGGCAGCGTAGTAGACATGGCGCATTGGGGTTTGTGATGGCACGGTCATATCAGTTCGTCGATTCAATACTGGCTGATTACCGGCTGAAGAGCACACGGGAGAATACGAGCTAGCATGCTGGGAGGCAGCAACGCTGGTTGGAATTGACGATGACGAATGGGCATGTGTCATAGCAGCAGCGCCAGCACGTGTGCCAGCAGCTTGAGGCGTAGTAGGCTGGGATGAAAAGGCTGGTCGAGTAGGAGGTGTTTCACCGGGGGAGCGGAACAGAGATGTGCCAGGTGTAGCCATAATGCCACGCGTTGGCATTCGGTTAATCTTGGAGTTAATACTGGTATTGGAGCCAGATTGTGCTAGTAGAGCTTGCGACACAGCTTTGCCAGAGGTCATGCCCACGCCATCACCCACATCATCACTGCTGCCAACATGTTCATGAGATGCAGTGTGGCTCACTCCGGACTTCTTGCTGACTTCACCCATGGGTGACAGCTCATCTGACAAGTGAGGTGGTGATTGCAGTGCTGCAGCTAGCATCTGCCGATGCTGTCGCAACTTCTCGAAAGGACTTGACTGCAGTACACAAACAGATGAGAAGAGAAAAAAAGGTTTTTATAAAACTGCATTAAGTTCAATGCAATGCACAATACTAAAATAGTAAGAACATTAAAACCAAGGTTGAATGTCATATCCTAGAACACAGTCGCAGACAGGTAGGTATGACATGGAAGTGGATTGAACCGTACAATAAAGGACCACGTAGATACAGAAGCGGGACAACTGCACACCTACATGTACATGTACACATACTGTCAAGTAGCAATCCCCTCTCACTGACCTCAATGAAGTAATCCCCTCTCACTGACCTCAATGAAGTAATCCCCTCTCCCTGACCTCAATGAAGTAATCCCCTCTCACTGACCTCAATGAAGGACTTGTTCAAGCTGTGCCTGGGTGTCATAGCCGTGCTCTGCCCATCAGCCCAAGCCAGGCTCTTAGCACCCTGCACAGTACGGATCAGTGTTGAATAGCTTTGCTGCAGGTCATCGGTTAGACTGCCAGAAGCTACCAGGCGACGCTGTTGGTGTTGAATTAGACGAAGAGCTTGCTGGACAAGGCTGCACACATAAGCAAAAAACACATTGACAATACAAGATGATGAGCTGTGGGTATAGGCTTGCATGTGGGTTGTGGTGGTGATAACTGATAAGTACCATAACCCCTAAAATTAGAAGTGACACAGCCGAACATTTCCACTATATCAAGTTGTTAGCTTGCTTTTTATTTTACTTCACCAGATACACAGCGGCATTTGTGCCTTCTTATCTAACCATATATGGCTAGACTCTCCAAGTTAGGAGCACTGTAACTGTAAACATGTTAGAAGGCATATCCATTTGTACCTGTGCCTGGACACACACACACACACACACACACACACACACACACACACACACACACACACACACACACACACACACACTTTTACTTGTACTTGCACACACACAAAGTGGAAAACGGGAGCCTCACTACACTGATACCAAGAGTCCATAACCCCAGAGTGTGCAACGCGCGATAGGGTCTTGTCACGACTCGTTTTCAACATTACGTCATTTTTATGATGTAATGACTTGGCCTTGTCTAGTCTGCGGCCAAGCCGCGTATTTGCACATCGCGCCGTCGCGCCCATCATTGCGCAAGATGCACGGCAAGACGTTGAGGTTACGGACTTGACTTTTCATCTCGTTTGCTTTCGTTGTTGTCTTCTGAAGACCTTTAATTTTAATTCTTCTTCTCCGAGGCGACGCTGCTGTGTGCTTGGGTTTTACTGTAACGATTGCTAGTCCTTGTCATTGTTTACTAATAATTTTTATTCTTACGTAGCCTTGAGTTTAGCAACCCAGATGGATGTAAACAAATCTGTTGCTCACTCTCTCGAAACTTCAAGTTCGGAGAGCAGCTCTCTTAATCCTCCCTGTAATTCGGTGGCTAGCAGTACTGGTGACAGTAAGAAGAGGATGCTTTCGTCACGGGAACGTCAGGGCGTTATTCAAACCCTGCAGCAAGTTGATCGTCATAGTGCCTCAAAATCGATCCTTTTGGAAGCTGCTCGTGAAAAGCACATGGTCTACTTTCCGCAACAAAAGTCCAGTGTGGAGAGCCCTGATACTAACCCCGTATGGGTTACTGTGGCCGTGGATCTTCTACATCAATATGCGCTACTTTACGCAGAGTGTTCGTCCGGAGCGGATAAATTCTTTAACTTCCAGGTTAAGACAAAAGCCAAGCCTCACTGCCCTCCTTAGCTCCCATGACTTGAGCTGCGTTCTGCATGCTGTGGCAGCCTGCACATGGAAGCACTGTGGTTCGGTCGTGGCGCAGTGCCTTCAGCAACTGCAAGTAAATACTGAGTCCACAACAGAACAAGCCAGTGTTTGAGGAACATGTTGTTCGCTTCTTTGGTGCTGCACTTCACAAGTGCACCCAAGTATTAAGCAGTAGTCCAAGCGCCAGGATGCGAAAATGAGCACTGTGCAGCTTGAGACACTTGCTTTGTTTTCGTCTCTAGCCGTTCCCAACAGTAAGAAAGAGGTGGTCGAGTTGCCGGTCGGTTTACGAATTCGAGACCGTGGTTACATTGTGTTCCTCAAGGAGGAGTACCATGGGTTCACGAAGACAGCCATGAAGACAATCTCTGAGCTCACCAGCAAGGCGGCATATGCAAGCTACGGCAAGAATATGGTCAAGGTTGCCACAACAAGCATGAAATGCAATGAGGCTACACCTGCACTGTTTTCTGCTGCTGTGCGTGAACATCAAGAAGCTGTCCATGGCAGTAACGTTATTACTGCTTGCTGTGAAGCATTGTGTTTGAAGGTCTTGAATGCCATGTGTCAGGAAAGACTTGATAGTACTGAGCAAATGCAAGTTCTTGCTTCAGGTGCACGCTCTACCAGTGGACAGAACCTCTGTCCGCAGTGTTGCCACATCATTTTAGCCAAATATCAGTAGGATAAAAAAACAAAATGCATCATCCGGGGGCTTTGCCCCCGGACTCCCTCCCCTATATAGCGACCTCGATACACACACACGCGCAGCACTGATAAGAAAAAAATTTCACGTTTTGCGTGAGACTCAGGCAGAGTTTGCCGATTTTTCTTGAGACAGATGATGATTTCGCTTAGCGCCTTAGGAGAGAGCTATGGAAACACGCGTAATGAGCAGTAAAAGCCAAAAATCTGGATCATGACTTTTAAACCACGCATAAGGTCAAACTTGGACACTTTCATGGCTGTTGTCGGCAGGAGAAGGTCAATTGTCGGCAGGTCGTGACATGCCTCAAAAATCGGCAGGCTACTGACATGTCGGCAGGTGTGGCAACACAGTGTCCGTCATTGCACACTTCTAATGTTTAGTGCCTGCGGTTCTGTATTCCAATTGTACTCACTCCACGCTCCGATCTAGTTTTTTTTGTTCTTTTGGTAGTCTGCTCTTGCTGTTCAGCTACAACCTGTTTTATTTTTTGTTAGTTAGGTGTTCATAATGACTTTAACAGGCGTGGGCCATCCCCCGAATTCATAGGTGCCATCTCTCTGCTGCTTCTTCTGTACATATTTGAAGAAGTGTGTTTACCAGACGTGGGCCATACCCCGAATTCATAGGTGCCATCTCTCTGCTGCTTCCTCTGTACACAGTGTGTTTACCAGGCATGGGTACTCTTGTTATGGAATACATCTGGTTACTGAGTTTCGAAAGACATTGATAATCAAGATAAGATGTGTGTGGTACCACCACATTGTGCACTAAGTAGAATCTTACCAATGCTATAATATATAGCTAGTCTAATTGTAGCCCAGGCCCTGTCAGACAGGCCGTGCATGAAAGTCCTTAGTGGAGAACAGATAATTGTACAAACTATTGTGAATGGGATACACATGTTACTGTACCTGGACAAAACTTGAACTTTGAAGATGGAATAATAGACTCAAAATGCGTCCTGAGACACTCCAGTCCATCCAAGCAAACACCGTCGGAAATCACGAGTGACAGTAGGGCCTCTTTCAAAAACTTTCCCGACCCATCCAAAGATACGAGAACTCTCACAATAGGCAGCGGGGAGCCACGCTCGGTCTCTACCACGGCATCAGGACAAGTGATCTCCGCCCATTGAATACCAGAGGGACAGCACAGCTGTTTGCACTGAAGCTCTGGAAAGTTTCGACTTACGAATGTGGAAACATCCTCAAAGGATATCACCAAATATTTAGACAGACTTCTGGCAAGCGTCGCAGGAGACTGTTCAACTGAAACTTCACACACTGGAAAATGGACACGAGAAACTGTCACCCCTGCTCGCCTTGGCGTGCGGACTTCACTGCTGCACGAAGGCAACTTGTCAGACATTGACAATGACAACCGAGCTGAACAGAATGCTGAACAGAATTTAAATTTGACCTAAAGCTATCACAAAATATTATCCTATAAATTTACAAAATTCGTGGTCGAATGCGGCCCTCGACCGAACCTGCGCGTAGCTGCGCGTGCAGGCCGCGACATTCGTGACACCGCAACAACGATGCGAATCACCACATTACATCATAAAGATGACGTAATGTTGAAAACAAGTCGTGACAGAGATTTGTGTGGCGTTGGCCGCGTTGCACACTCTAGGGGTTATGGACTCTTGCTGATACTAACAGACGAACATGCTTACGTTTCAGTATTCTCCGCATCCAGTTTCTGACTGTTGGCAAAGTGTCGGAGATGTTTCAGCTCTCTGGCAGATTCCACCTCATGTACTTCAAGTCGCCGCGCATCCAGGACTTGCTGAATGCTTGGTCGAAGCCATTGCACTTTGTTTGCCTGCATGAAGACAATAGAAGTCGCAGTAGAGGGATCAGTACAGGCAGGAGGGATCAGTACAGGCAGCAGAGGGATCAGTACAGGCAGGAGAGAGATCAGTACAGGCAGCAGAGGGATCAGTACAGGCAGCAGAGGGATCAGTACAGGCAGTAGAGGGATCAGCACAGGCAGCAGAGGGATCAGCACAGGTAGCAGAGGGATCAGTACAGGCAGTAGAGGGATCAGTACAGGCAGTAGAGGGATCAGTACAGGCAGTAGAGGGATCAGTACAGGCAGTAGAGGGATCAGTACAGGCAGTAGAGGGATCAGTACAGGCAGTAGAGGGATCAGTACAGGCAGTACAGGATCAGTACAGGCAGTAGAGATAGAAGCATAATCCAATGTACATTGATAATTTTGAAAAAGAGTTGCTCATAACTACATCCAGTACATTTATTCACATCCAAACACTAGCTGTCACCCTTGTGTCAGTTGTGACAACACTCTAACCGAAGAACCGTGTCAATGGTGTAAGGCTTAGTGCAGTGTTTGAGAGCGTGACAATTAGGCACAGAACTCAGAAAAGCATTCTACAAGAAGAGTTGTAAGAATGTTCACACATGCAATACCACACTCACACACCCACACACCATGGTCACACCATATCAAGGTGCTAAAAACTACAAGTAAGCAAAAAGGGTGTCAGGGAAAGAAGAGACGGCACGTACTATATCTAGTACGTTATCACCTGTTACTGTTCAATGCCAGTGTGAATAGAGTATAGCGTAGTTGAGAATATGACCACCGTATGTACAACTCACCAACACAGTCATGCTGGCTATAGCGTTACTATAGCTAGCTGACCACCTGGACGCATTCTCCTTCAGTTGGCCTTGCAGCTCAGCAAACTGTTCGTCTAACTCCTCTTGTCGTTCGCCAAGAGTAGCGAGTCGCGTGTCCAGCTTGTGTAGGATCCGCTTGTCATCCGGCATCAAGCACTGCACACGAGCTTTAAGACGGCTGGTGCGCAGCGACAGTGTAATGTTGTCACGCTGCGATGCCTGGATGTCGCGTAGACGCTGCCGCAAAGCTAGCTTCCCGTTGATGATGTCACGCGTCTCTGTCTGAACCCTGCAACACAATAACGTTGTAAAATGGAGAAAATTAAAATGCTGACAGTGATCAGGTGTGGCAAAGGCTAGGACCAAAAAGACGGAACTGATAGAATACGGCTGACAGTGTTTTGACTGCTACTGTAGTATGTGTATGTCATTGCCGTCACCCAGCAACAAGGAACAAGTGGAGCACAGTACGGGAACAGAACAAGATATACCTCAACTTATTTGACAGTAGCACAGGTGCCATAAAAAGGTTATTGACGGACATGCAGCATTACAATACTACAATCATGTAATCTGGAATGGTGATCAGCTGTATCAACTGAGCTACCAGCACTAACAAACAATAGCACACAGCATGATAGTCGTACAGGGCGTGTCATCGCAGCAGAACATACTTTTGCAACAGTTGACAAGCTGCAACAGAGTTGGCCTTTTCTGCGGGATCACCTCCTCCTGTTTGCTTCAGTCGACGTTTCAAGTCAGCAACCTGCAGAAGAAGACAGTCGAGACACCGCAAGATTACTGTATACAATATTGACTATCATAAGCCATGTAAAAAGAGGGTATGAGGGGAGAAGGAGGGAACAACTAGATAACCTTGTACATGTACATATAAAAAGTATTGCAGAATAAGATCCGTACCTCTTTCTGAAGATCAGCAACAATACTACGATAACGAGTGGCATGGAAGTCAATTTTCGTCCGATTCTCGCTCAGCTGTGAATGGAGAGAACAGAAAAAATGGGAGCACACACACACACACACACACAAGTAGGGTGAGCGGTTATACACATAGATCAATAAACAGCAAAACAGGAGTCACATCTGTCGTATTTGGCATGCACATGCATTGAAGAGCATAAAGTTTCAACGTGCTATGCAGTAGTATTACATTACTGCTTACCTTCACTTTGATTTTCTTTGCACGCTCTGCGTAACGGAGTGTGTTTAGTGTATCCTCGTATGACAACGTCGACGGGCTGGGTAGACCATACAAAACAGACACACCAGGTCAGTATTGCTGTATCGAGTCTGTTAAATATGTACATTCCATGTACACTTGCGAAGCAGCCATACTGGTACACACAGCATATACATACCTGACATTGGCGATGAAGGCCGTTCGACAGTTACCACCAAGGGAGTCCTTGAGCAGACGAGTTAGCTTGCTGTCACGATATGGAATGTGAGATTTGGACTGTGATGGGACAAAAGAAGTGAAGGGACATGAACGAGCTGTGAAATGTTGTCAATACTGAGTTAACCCGGTACAGTGACACTCGCCCATTATGTACTCTGATAACTGTGACAAGACATATACTTGCTTAGTATGGATATTGTCCAGGGCATAGGCGCATGACTCCATACCGAAGTATGTTTGGACAAGAAGGATCTTCGAGACTAAACACACTTTTCTGTTCCTCACCAGGGTACGTGTACATCTCATCAGAATTCCACTGCACTAAACAATTTAAAAAAAATCCACAGTTCGCGTGAGACTCGGCCAGAGATCGAGTTTTCGGCATCCGCAGGAACGCCGCCACCCTCAAGGACCAAGGTGTAGGTGCAGCTCCTAAAGAGGTGGGAGGCGAGTGGATCAGGCCCACCACCAAGTGGTCCAAGACCGATAATCCCATTTGCTGCATCCATGCACATGTACCCATTGTACTAGAAACGTTCTAATCATTCATATCTCCTCTCAACAACTTACATTGCCTGCTGCCAGAGCATTGATGCAGTTGCCGAGGGCGAGAAGAGAACGATTGATGTTGGCCCCCTCTCTCTGTCGATCTCCACGATTCCTAGACACAGTAGCTCTCTCAGACCCAGCCAAGTCGACCAGCAACAGTTTGGCAGTTCGCACTTCAGCACTCAGGCCAGCCGTACGGGGTTTTTGCTGCATGACAACCTATCAATCAGGACAGCAAGCAGCCAGTCCATCAAGCCAAAAAAACAAGAGGAAAAGTGCAACACAATATTTATGAAGCAATAACAATAGCAGAAACCAGAAGCAAATATGACACTGAACGGTGCGGAGGTGGGCTTGAGAAGGGCATGCTAGAGTTTGCATTCACTATGACAAAAATGCACGTACCTGGAACACAGCATGAGAACGCGATGATGTGGCATTGGCATCTGTTGGGTGCTGCGTACGATTATTGTTACCGGTGGATAACATACGAAGCAAGTCATGTGCGTCTGAAGGCTACAGATACAGACGACAGCATGCATACACACACACACACACACAGATATACACACAGACACCGACACAGATACACACACACACACACACACACACATTTGCAGGTGTGAGAGAAACCTAACACAAAACAACAAGCATCGACTTCTTTTTAGAGGTAACCAGTATGACAAGTACAGCATATTTATCAAAGTACTCCTCCCTGGGTCTAGCAACTTTTCACACACTTGCTCACTTATAGAATATCCAAAGAGTAAAGACTCCTTACCTTGTGTGTACTGAGTTGACTAACTACCACGCCTTTCTGCGGATCTTCACGCACGGCTAGTGCATGGGATGTTGGCTTCAGCAAGTCACGAATTGTTTCGTTGTAGACCTGCCAGCAGAGTTCACATTGAAAATAGACAAATGTAAGCAAGGGTACATGTGCTGGGCCAAGATAGATTACAGAGTCATTTCCTGGCACTATCAATGGACGATGATTACCTCCAGATATGAAATGGTGATGTTACAGATTTTCTCCTCATTCACTTCATCCATTCTGCGATACAGCTCCATCATGATAAGGAAGATGAGTCCTGGGCACTCCTCACTGCCAAGCATGGTGTGTGTTTTGCCAGCACCTGTAGCGCCATATGCCAGCACACTGCAGTTGAATCCACTAAAGATTCCATCGAGAATGGTCTTGGCCGTGCCTTCAAAAACATCCTAGAACACAAGTGAAATAAAGTGAAACAAAACATCTGTTTCAGTACATGTGCAACTACAGTATTTTAGTTTGTTTGCATTCTTAGATCGAGCAAGTCTTCCATAAGCATAGGTATTTTTATAGATTACATGTAGTACCAAGAGTAAATAACAGATAAGCTCCCAAGAGTGTGCAACTCTAGATAACCTTGCTACGGGGCCCGCCGACAGCAAAAACTACATCACGTGGTGTAGCGATCACCCTGTATGTTCCCAGCCAGTTTTTAGCGAGCAGTGGAGCAGTATAAATAGCACTCCCTGACAGAAGCCAACTCAGCTTACGCGAGCCTTCAGCATGACCAAGGCAGAAATCTAGACTGCACATGCTGGCCTCTGTTGTATGTCGTAAGAAACATATTTTTAGCAAGTGATTTGAGTTTTCACCGGCTGAGATATGCAGAGTTCTGTCCCTCCAGGAACTTGCGATTCCGCGGCCGCGTTGTTTTCCGCGATTTGAACAAAAGTCCGTGATATCCGCGATATTTGAAAAATCATCCGCGATTCTTGTAAAAAACTGTCCTTGATACTTGAAAAGCACCGCGATATTTCGAAAAGCAACTGCGATATTCGAGTCTTTCTTCGATGTTGTTTAGTTCTTGAAGCTCGTCAGTAGTTTACTTGTGAGATCGACGCCAGAATGGAGAAGTTTCTGGGCGAATCAGCGGCTGACAAGTCACAAAATGAGTGTTGTCCGAGGATGGAGGAAAGCTGTCTTGCAAGCTCCTGTCAGGCAGTTGAACACAGTCAGCGCAGCACACGTTCTGTTTTGTCATGCATGATTTATGCTGTACGACCCGTACACCGTATACGCGTACACCACTACAGTACAAGTACTAAATCGGCCGCAATTTCCGCAATTTTACCACAATAATCCCGCAGTATTTGACAAAATCCGCAATATTCCCCGCAATTTGTGGCATTTTACCTCGCAACTTTTTCCGCGATATTTCCGAAATGTCTCCGCAAGTTTCTGGAGGGACAGAGAGTTGCACACTCTTGGGAGCCTATTTGCTCTTGGTAGTACACGTACGTGTACTGTAGAATCTCGCTGGGTCCATCTAGCCCCCCCCCCCCCCCCCCCCAGACCGAGAATTGTTGAAATGTGTTCCCCAGAGAATATGATAACGTATTTGTTTCTTCAGACTGGTGAAGTATACACTCAAGCAATAGCTGATTTGCAGCATTTGTTATAAATACAATCAGAATGACTTACACACATTCCCTGCACACTATGTATATCCTTGACTTCTCATACTGTCATAGGCACGAGTGTTAGTTTGTACAATGTCATGTAAGATACAGTACGGTGGTGTGGTTGTGTCCTTGCGCCATGTTGCACAAGAAAGTCAATTTTATTGAGGAAATGGAGGTACGCCAAATCCAGCCAAGAAATGTAGAAGCAGATAGGTGCTCAGAGGTGCGCTGCAAATATGAACTGACTGACATCATCTTGAGAAATATGGCCCGTACCGTACTTCTTGAAGTTCTTCTGAACAAATACAAAGATGCAAGAGCGTTCTCTTACCTGTTGGGTACTCTGCTCATCAAACACTCGGTCAAAGTGAAAATGCACGTCTCTAGCCTTGCGTCGATAACAGTTGGGCCCGGAGCTTTGAGTGTTGTAATTTTCGTCAGGGTCAAACACAAGTCCTTCTTCGTCCAAGGGCCTGACAACGATACTGTGCGAGCCGCGTGCCTCTGTGGAATTCTCTGGGCGAATACGGACGGCTACTCGAATATTCTCGGCCATGGTTTGCAAGGTAACCTTCAAGCGTTGGGTCTATCCATAGAAAATCATACACATACTGGATTCAGTTGAAACTAACTTCAGATTTATCTTCAAGACCAAGGCGAAGAGGCCATCTGATGCTACAGTAGCTGGGCTGAGGGGAAAGAAGTCGAACAACCACTTCTCCCACAGAACATTTTGAAAAGTCCGCACTTCGAATTGCTGTTGCCATGTGACAAGAGATGCTTGTCATGGAAACTAAAAAAAACGTGTGCGATCGAGATTTATGATGTGACGTCATGACCATATCCCGGTACGCGGTACAGTCTACTCCAGGGAGTCGTAAAATACCGGTATTTTACGACTCCCTGGTACATAGCTAGCTCCGCACCACGTAGACGTAGTGCCGTACTGAGCGCGCTAGCGCCCCGCGATCTACCTCTTCTTCGCGCAGCTCTACTCTCGAGCTCACGTCCATAGTGACACCACACTCCATAGACAGTCCATTGCACACGCCATACATGTAGGCATGCATTTTTCCACTACTGACTCTGTGAGTACTGAGACGCTGACAGGTAGCAAGCAAAAGAGGCATCATTTCAAAATAATTATTTGCTACATCTACCTAAAGCCGCATTCAGGCAGCAAGGAAAAGCCACGACTGCTTACCGGTCCGTATTATCCCCAATAAATGTACAGCACTTTTATTTTTCAAAGGTGGTCAGACCTGTATTACTATAGGAGACTGTACTCGTATTGGAGACGTGTACTTTTATTGATTCTGGAAAGATTGATTGCCTGGGTTGTGTCACTGTGGCAAACAACTCCTGATAATGATACTAGTACAGTAAGTGCAAGGCTGTAAATACACTTCAACCATGGTAATAAACAGTGTAGAAATACACAAAAGTAATAAACGGTAAGAAAACCGAAGTAAGGTGGACCCTGGTACCTGTACCCCAGTTATGCCCATCACATCATTCCGGCATGTACTATTATTAGAGACAAGTCCTTTTATATGTTTTGACCCACACTCAACATGTGCTACAATTCGTACGTTTATTGGGGAAAATACGGTACCCCGCAGCATGCAGGGAGCAGTTGTAAATCCCCGTACAGCCTCGTTGCTGCGACGTCAGAACTTCCATGTGGGCCGCAGCCTTAGTCCCCAGCCCCCCCCCCCCCCCCTCCCTCTCACGCACATACCGTAATAACACACACTTCCACATCATCAGTGCCCAACAATGAAGCGATGATAGCGAACACGCTAAATAATTAGACATAGCAACACCCCCCCCCCCCCACACACACATACATGTACTCCCAGTCACACATGTGATGCTTGTATCAACCCAGCAACAACATTCCGGGTCAAATTGTTACAAAAATCTTTTTGAATGTGACAAAAACCAATGTCACTTGCTAGCGGAACAGAATATAACTCAAACCATCAGCAAAGATCTTGATACGACTTGGATTACGAGCAGCCACAGAAACACAAGTTAAAATGGTGTGTCTGGTCGTGTATCCAGCCAGCCTTTGATGGCGGGAACAGCTACCACTTTCTCGTAAACACCCTTCAGGGTTGGGTACTCCTCCAGAATGTTACAGTTCAGTTTCTCACTCGTGACGACATACACGATATTCTGCAGCAGTAGATCAGCCACAGTTATCTGTAGAAGCAAAAAGAAAGTAACCACATTCCCCCGCGTACATAATCAAACGGTATCCCGGCGCATGCACGCATGCATCCATAACATGCATACATACTCAGTACTCACACATACACATGTACATGTACATGTAATACGAGCATGTACAAGTACAGGAATGCAAAAGAGAGCACCCGCATACCCTAGTGACAATAGTGTCACTATGGTCAAAGAGTACAACACTGGATGCATGTCTATGCAATCAACATGCTTAGCTTGCAGCCTCTAGACTGAACCATACAGTGCTCAGCCGGTATGAAACGATCTAATAATAAAATCATAGTGAAATGTCATGTAGGCCGATGATACGCTCTGCCTGCATCTTCCGTCCTCCACCGTAATGAGATAGCTCACGATTGTACGTTTCATGATATAGCAATTACAAACAAAACTAAAAATAACCGCATCAAAGCAACTTGCAAACCCAGTGACATAAAGTTTCCAACTAATGATGAGCCAACTCATACACTATCACCAAGCATGGCTGTACTGATACAGATGCGGTGACTCCAGTTTCACGTGGACGTGTTACTGCAACACTTACGTAGATTTAAACTGGAAAAATGTCGTGGATAGCCACAGTGTGTGTTCAGCAGAGTCGTACATACCACCAGCGGCCCGCCTACCACGAACTTTCTCGAAACAAGATCAACAACGCTACTTTGGTACCCAAAGCACAACAGGCTAAGCCCCCTGGATGCCTGGACATGGGAATGGTGAACACTTCCTTAATAGCATTTTTACCAGCCAATCACGTACCCCGGATCCAACAAACACATCGTTGCCATTGTCCTTGCCAAGCTTTTCCAGATTCTTGAACACCGGGGGAATTTGCTTTTCTTGCAAATCCTTGGTGAGCTCAGCCTGTTCCCGCAAGCATACACACAGTACACATACACACACACACACGCACGCACACATGCATGCACACACACACACACACACACACACACACACACACACACACACACACACACATACGGACACACACGCACACATACGGACACACACGCGTACGCACGCACATACACACACGCAAACACACACGCACACACACAGTACACACACACATACACACCATACATACACACATACACAGCACATAGATGCACACACAATTATTATATGTAGCATATCCACAAGTGGGTGGGAATTTACCATACCTACTTCAAGTATGTAAGTTTTAGGCCGCACTTGTACACAGTATGTAAATGTGTTATAGCGCTTACACACAGTAGCAGGGCTCCCAAGAGCGTGCAACTCTAGATAACCTTGCCATGGGGTCCGCCATGGAGGCATGCAAATTCAATTGGGAATATCGGGCAAATGGAGCATTGCAGCTTCTTGAGGCGATCACCATTCGACTTTAAGTACTGAACTTTTGATTTTAGGGCGAACCTTCCCTGTGAATAGCTTCTTGCAAAGCTGCAAAAAAATATCTAGAGCAACATCCATTAAAACATTTTACCTTCGTATCTTCATTCTTTTCAAAATGAGCCTTTGCAATCTTTGCGAATAGATCATCCATGTACTTGACAATCATTGCAATACGGGACCTTTCCTCTGCATTGGCTCCACCGAAGCCTGCAACAACAGCAGTCAACATGAGTGTGCAGGACACACAGTCAACATCAGTGTACAGGACACACAGTCAACATCAGTGTGCAGGACACACAACACTGCTGACTACATACTGTAACACATGTAAATACAACGGGTGACATTTCTCCGTTATAAGTTCTGTTGCGGCTGTAATGCCTCACATGTGTTACGTCCCTTGTGTTCGGATATGCCTCAAGACGGCAAGATCGTCAACGTATCTTCGCGCTAACCAATGAAATTCGGACAATCGTTATTATTTGCGACTCGTTATAATAACATGCTTTACAGTCCATACTAATGGTATGCAACTGGCCTAGAATATCACTTTCAAGCCTTTGTATCTATTTCTATGCAAATTCATGACTTCTCAGGGTGTAGGCTACAGGGCAACTTTGATCCCAGCAAAAAGAAAGCACCTTCCTATATTTCAAGTAATACATGTATGACAGGTTTCCCGGTACCATCCCCATGGAATCCCCTAATGATACTAACAGAAATAAACTAAATTATCTCACAGTAAGCCAGCGGTGTCATAACCAAGGCACACCGTGTTACAGTACCCGGTAGTTGTTTCTTCAGGGAGTGCTGGGCACCACGGTGCTCAGGAGTGGGAGGTCTACTCGGTATCATTTTCAAAAGGAACACAAGAAGTGGGTACTCTGTCTTCTGCCATCTGTCTTCTAAGGTATAACAAATCATTTCACATTTTATGTGTTACATTCCAGTGCCAACCATCATCTCTCATGACTGTGAGATACAGAGCTTCAAGTATGACAAGTAGTATCCCGGGCACAAGCAATAAGCATCTATGATTATACTGCAGTAGTTGCAGAGATAGAGGGTACGGAGTAGGTGATGGCATAGAGGAAAGCATGCACTATTATGCTTGTACCACTCTAGCTATGCCTCTCACTTACCACATGTCTCAGCTATATACTGCGGGATCACTGTGCTCTCGCTGAGTTCAAACTTGCCATCATTAGTTAGCAAGGCGGGGAGAAAGGAGAGCTGTGTAGCTGAAATACAGCACACATGGAGATGGATATGTGGTCGTGAGCATTGAATTTGATGTTACAGAATATTTCTACAAGTACAGTTGCGCTCACTGAAATCCGATCCAACGTACAAACCTGGCGCCCTCAACTTCCACGGCCCTTGACGCCCTGGAAGTGGAACGAATGCGGCTGGACGTACACATGTACACATACAATGATATAAACGGAACTGGTCGAGGGCGCCAGCTTTGCACTTTGGGTCGGATTTCAGTGAGCGCAACTGTACAATCATGTACAGTGCTAGCATTCCACCAATCCCATATACAGGTCGTCCCCCGTTAATACGAGTCCGGTTAGTACATAAACCCCGTTAGTACATAAGAAATCTCAAGTCCCGGACGAAACGTGGTCACTTCCATACAAAATTTGTCGGTTAGTACATAATTCGTTAGTACATAAACCCCGTTAGTACATAACATTTCTCCGTACCCGCATGCCGCCTACCTCAATAGTACATAATTTGTAGGTCTTTGACCTTCCAGTGGAGGCACATCGTGTTCTCAGAGTTTCTATTTGTGGACGCAATTAGCTCAGAAATCAGAGCGCACATCGCAAACCGACAAAGCTCTGTTTTTCCGAGTGACTGTACAGGCCCGGTTGGACATGTATCACGTAAACTGTAGAATCTTCGCTGCCTGTGACCGTTATAACATAATGTTTATGTTATATCGAGGGAATCAAGAATATCTCACTCCCCGGTCTTGGTAGCAAGAAACACTCAGAAAAGTGGAAAAAAGTGAAAAATTCTGGTACACAAGGAAGTTATGTACACTTCCGTTTAGTACATAAACCCCGTTAATACATAACATTTCTCAAGTCCCAGAGATTATGTATTAACGAGGGACGACCTGTATAGAGGTCATGTGATTACATCATCAGCTAACATGCTCGCTGTGGAGTGGCAACTGGCAAAGCTGAAGCACGGGCACAGCGTGGGGCACTACGGCAAAGCTGCTGGCTCACACATTATACCATGCTGTACTTAGCTCACATAAGGGAATCTGCCGACTCACACTGTACATTATACTTGCTTATCACTACATGCAAGCCACTTGCAACAAGTATGCGTTCACACAGGAAATGCAGTTGCCCGCAAAAGAAAATCCCCTTGCTCACCACCATGCCATCATTTGCATAACCTCCGTATGAGCTACACAGTCAGTACATGAACAACTAACTTAGAAGAAAGCCCCCACCCCAAGGGTGGGTTTTCCTAGGCTTTACCATCATAATACTGTACAGATTCGGAGCTTTCATTATCAAACATGACAGAGACTGAGTAGTTACTAGACTACTAGTATTAGTACAGTAGTCTACTGCACTACTGTATGTGGAGAAGTTTCGGACTGCCGGGGCGCTAAGTAGCTAGTTCATTCATACTATAACTAAAGCTAAAGTATAATCTTCAGGGCCGAAGAAGGCATTAATTATCGGGTCATACTTGGCTTCACAGCTGGCCACTCGTCGAATGGAATACGCTTGTCTTCCCAGTCAGCCTCCGCGTACACGAGCGCTAGCCTGCAAATCTCTCCTCGCCCACGCCCGTTAAAGTAGTTCAAGATGTATTTCTGGGACATGTCGCCTGTCGGTAATGGAGAGAAACAGGACTCAGAGAACAACTTACTTACTTGCAACTGACTGTTCGCTGACAAGAAGTGAGAACCTATGACAGTCCACGGAAACAGGTCAGCTTTCAACTCTTTGGCCTATTTAATCCAATAATTATTACTTTTTATTTACATGAAAAAAACACGTTGGCCGCGGGGGGAACGTGTTGTCGCGCTAGTATAGCGCCCGCGTCTACAGTTGTCGCCAAAATAGTTTTCTGCAAAACTTGCCGGATTATGCTATCGCAATGCTAGTTTCCAGAAAGTGCTAAATATGCTAGATGTGAATGCTAGCATAAGCCGGCGGGGCCTACTCAAAGCCGGGGGGGGGGGGGGGGGGCAGGAAGTCGTGAAAGTTTTCCGGGCTCCCTGACTCAGGGAGTCGTCAAAGTATTTGACGACTCCCTGGTATTTGACGACTCCCTGCCCTGACTCAGCCATTATGGCCATGCTGACGTGACCGGACTATCTGATCGAGAGTGAGGCAGTGATTCATGGTGATGGGACTGAACTACCTTTTTCGGCATGATACTATCATAACCGTTATAACTAATTTTTTTTGTTACTTATAATATGGACTCTTGCCTCTTGGTAGCATGCGCTGGTTGGTAGCATGCATTGGTTGGTAGCATGCATTGGTTGGTACTTGGTAGCATGCATTGGTTTTCTCCCCGTAGTGCTGGTGAATCTACAATGGGCTGCGTTGTAACCTACCATAACTAAGTGAACCTTCATTACTTCGCTTTCGTGCCCCCTCCCCCCCCCCCCCCCCCCGAACAAATACTGTAGCGACCTGGCTGAATACACCAGCCATCAGGATGGGCCTCAGACCGGGTTAACTTCACACCCGTTTTGATATTCGGCCTTCACCGTCTCCCACCATCAGGATTCTTGAAAAAATTCTTCATCGGTCTCTCTCCAGCCACCAGACGAGGAATCATTCGGAGTAACATGTGATGTACACAATTGTGTACATGTATTAGTAATTGAGTATAACCAGTGCGCTACAAAAGATATCAGTGTTTAGCAGCCTGCAAGAAAGTAAACAAGTACAGTATAAAATTAAATGTACTGTTCGTTGAGCATTCTTTGCGGTGGACACACTTCTCCTGTGACTATACGCATTGAATATTTTTTTAGGAATCAACGATAGCCAGAATAGCAAACTAGCTGGCAATGGATATAAGATAGATTCTGCAAGCAAGGCCGCAACGCGTTCAAGAGCATGCAGCCGGTCAACCAACTCAAAGCAGATACATGGACAGCCTAGAACTGGCTCTCCGGGCGGCTCCCCAGCCAGGCAGCAATGCTTGGCACTGCAATGACTTTCGCGTTAATCGCCTTGAGGGCTGGATAAGCATCCAAAGCGGTGTCCTTTTTCCCAAGCAACATGAAAGCAACGTTGTGCAGTTGAAGGTCTGCTGTTGTGATCTGCACAAAGGTGACAAAGAGAACACAGGGCGGCAATAGCATTAATCAGCGCTACAGATAACATCACACAATAAAGTCCACACATAAAGCTTGACCAAATGGCTAGATCTTAAACAAGTCCAGCAGAGATGCACCGTCCTCTCAGCCAGCCATACAGCAGTTGAGCCCTGCACACCCGTCTCTGTCATACAAACAACAAGACGGAAGCGCCGGAACACCATAAACAATTCCTCTGGGCCTTGCTTACTTTGTCACCGACAAGCACGCCTTTGTCATTGGCCTTAGCAATCTGTTCAAGGTTCGTCAACGTGTTGGGGATGTGCTTCTCTCCAAGCTCAGTGACAAGTTCGGCCTAGCAAGGTAAGGACAAAGATGGCACAAAAGAAAAGACAGTAGGATAAGATGGTACCAGTCAGAAACATCATTTGTTTTGGTCCATTGAAGTAGCCCTATCCATTTTCCTAAATCCTCTTGATGGCTCTAGACAAATGATCTGATTGAGATTCACATCAGTCTTCAGTAAAAAAGGCCAATTTCTGAGACATGGCCCACAGCTACGACTCTATTCATATTCATGCATGATGGACAGGAGTTAATCTGCGGAATGTCAGAAAGCTGCTAAGCTACAGTCTGTTTCAAAAAGATTAGCAATCAAGCTTGGGTCTTAAAAAGTATGAAGATAAGGGAAATTTGGACAACAAAGTACATAAAATGCCTTGTTAGGGCACGGCAAATTGTTCTGTGAAGGTTTCGGAACAATTGGACCAACCGTTAAGGAGTTAGAATTTCGGCCAGGTTTCCGGCCTTTTCCCATGGTTTATAATTTGCCCTGGAAGCCAGTATCGATTTGTTATCAAAACCCACGATTTATCCCTTCCTTTTTGGCCTTGTGGTTATGAATGCTGTCTGCTGACCATGAAGTCGTGAGTTCAAATCTCAACAAATCTTCAAGTCAAACATGCTTTCTTCATTTTTTCATTGTTTTGGTGATCACGCTGGTACAAGACAAAGAAGGTGGCTGCGCCAAACGACTTGTTGTTGGAGCTCGCGTTTCGTGCCGAACTGACTGACACTTGACTGGCTCACGCCATGTGAAGTTGTGAACACACACAACACTGAAACCGTGTGAGTGAACACGGAAGTCATTGCACTGTAGCTACGTGTTGTTGAATACACCGGTACATCGATCGATCGATTTCTGTTTGAGAATTATTTTAGTATTTGAAGATCGCCAATTTATTTGAATTTAGGAGTCAATGCCGTCTTCTATCAGCTTTCACAGGCGTCTGCTTTTCTCGAAATGTCGTCGGAGTCACACGGATAGCTTTGCCACATCAAGGCCTTGGGAATGAGTCGGTGTCGATGCCGTTTTCGTCACATCGTGAGAGTAAATCCGCGGCAGCTCAAAGAATCTATTTGGTCACAAAACGAATTGGGACTCATCCCGCTCGTCAAAATTTACCACACTTTCGACATGTCCTCTCTGACTCCATATCGATACAAGGAAGAACTTGTTTGTTGTAAACCAGACAAACATGTACGAGTACCGGCGTCAGTGAGTTGTCATTTTTCATGCTTTCGCGCGGAATATTTCTTCGAGTTCACAGTGAGTTTTTCCAGGCAGCGCTCGAGCGCTCATACGGTAAGACGGCAAACTCCCCGGGCGATCGCCAGGATTGCTAATCTTTTTGAAACTGACTATAGATCGTGTGTGGAAGGGAACACAACAGACATACTTAGAAAGCTCTTGTGCGGGTCCGTAATTGTATTCCTTTGAAACAGACGGTCATGCTACACGTACACGGAAAAAATCTGAGAAACTTCTCAAAATGCATTGTATTCTTACCTTTTTCGCCTCGTCTTTTTCAAAGTGGGCCTTGACAATGTTCGTAAATAGGTCATCAAGATGTTTTACAATCATGCAAACCAGACCTCTCTCTTCTGCATTCGATCCACCAAAGTCTGATGCACACAGACACGAGAAAGAATAGTATCGATAAAATTGAAGACTCTCGGCCATAATTATTCATTGGATGCTATTACTTGCTATCAAGTAGAGACAGCAGCATAGAACACAGCAGCATATCCGATGGCAGGTGAACGCAGGGTTGTCCCACACTGGGGTCACAAGGCTTCACAGAGTGCATGCACTGTGCTTCGGAAGTTGTTCTGGGATACGGCTCCACCACGACTCCCCCATTAATTCCGAACCCTAAATTCTAAAGGTTTTGACACATCCAAACTGCACCAATATGACTGTGAACTACAAAGGCATCCAACAAATACCACAAATGCTCTGCTGACGCTCTGATACGTGGCACCGTATTTGAGATGAGACTTACTATGCTTGTCGGCAATGTACTGAGCCATGACAGTGCTTTCACTCAGTCTGTAACCTCCCTCCACACTCAGTTCCGGCAGAAATTTTAGCTGCGAGTCTTCACACAGAAACAGTGACACCAACACAGAAAACACGAAGAAAGATATTTGAGAGTGGTCTATAGTGTCTAAGTGACTGCCACAACACAGGTAAAATAATTATAATGATACGAACGGAAGGGATTCATCAACGCCATGATAGACACCACGGATCTTCATGATAGACATAACCCCAAGAGTATGCAACTCTGCATATGGGGTCTGGCGCGGCGCGCTGCCTGCATTACGTAGCCACGGACTGTGGGGCATTGCGGCATTATTGATCTGCTACGGTTTCCTGATTCCAAATCTGCTTTTCGAGTCCTCTGAGACTTCGGATGGCTTGTACCTGACGCATCACGCACAGGCATTGCCTTTGAAGGCTGCACGTGAAATTGTTGAGGCTAAACCGTAGGAAAACTCAAATCAAGGCAGCTGGATTGTCATTTTCACTACGCGCCAGCAAGGCAGTGCTCCGCGTAGGGCACTCGGAGATCAGAGTTGCACACACTTGGGTTATGATGTACATAGCAGTTTGGTCACAGAGTAGATACAGGTTCTTGCTATTTTGTACTTTACAGGTTTTGGAATGCCATTAATTTACATGTACATGTATGCCAGTATGGTGCATACTGTACCTGTTTTCATACATCTATGTCATCATGACCAAGTCGTGAAGTTATCACTTACATACTACCCCATGTACAATAAACTCCCCAGATCCGGACGTCCCTAGTCCGGGCACATCCGTATACAGGGCACCTTTCTGACCCATCTATAGAGTCACACAAATTGGCATCTCAACGAAAAAGCGGCCCAGAAACTATTGATTGGCATAAACACTGTTTACTTGCATTCAGTAAGTACGTATGTTCCGAGACTACACGTACAGTGCCCGCCCCAACCTAGTAACCTAGTAACCTGGTAACTACCCGGATTTGGGGAGTTTTACTGTAGGGTGTAGTGATAGCGTGATCAAATCACACTTTTACAAAACGCCATGCGCCAACGTTAAGTTAAGTCGTTATAACCATGATAACCGATCTCTACCTGTAGCTGTAAGGCTGTAGATATCTAGACCTACAATGATAAACACAAGAACAAAAAATCATGAACAACTGGACGTACTTGGTTTGAGTTCTTGCCAGGTTTCTCCCTGCACTCGTTTGTCCTCCCAGTCAGCCCCAGCGTACACCAGAGCCAATCTGCTTAGCTCAGCACGAGCACGGGCATTGAAGTAGGTCAGTACGTACTTAGGCATGATTGCTTTCGAGCGTTATCGGACACAAGAGACTTGATTCACTGCTGGAAGCGAGAACAAACTCAGAATGATGGCCATCACCTAGTCGAACGTGGCCTTTTATACCATCGACTGCATGCTCCAGTACCACGCTAGCGCGCTGCACGATCAGTCGTCAGTCCACTGAATGTTCCAGAAAAGCTCTTGCAGTTGCATTGCATATTGGCACCCGATGACATGTGACAGCGCACATGGTTCCACTGACAGTGACACAGTCTGTCTTTGTAAATGTAGGTTCGTAGATCTCGTAGATCTACTCGTAGTGCACTATGCCTCCGATCCTATCTTACGAGAGTGACCTCGATGAGGCTGCGTTTTGCAATGCTATCGTTCGAGATTGTTCTTTGCCTTTGGTGCATGCATGCAGTCACTACATCTAGTACAGACGTGTAGATCTAAAGTAAAGACTAAGTAAGTAGATCTACATAAAGTAAAATTCCTATGATGACACTCACTCATATCGGACCAACAGAATCATTCTAGACTCATCGATCTAGACAAGGACACGTGCGCGTGCATGTTTCACAGAACAGCAAGGGCAAGGCTACTACAGAGACTACAAGTAGTTTGTCGCTACTCTGATTTTCATTCAACAGTGAATACAATCATCAGGCAACATGATGCCATGCCGGTCTTTATGCCAGAAGAAAATGATGGATTTTGTGGTGCTTGGCATGGGGTGTTGATTTGGTATGATATGGGGCTAGCTATTAGGTTCAGGGCTAGCTATTAGGTTCAGGGCTAGCAGTGATAACTCATAATTATTAGTTACTTACGACGTTACGTAACTTATTGTTAGTTCAACTAGTTGCTTGAAAGTGTGGTTGGTGTGGGCAAGAGGCTGTGTACAGAGTGTGTGGTTGTTGGGTGGGAGGGGATAGCAGTCAGGTGATGATTATGTAGAGCGCAGCACAGACTACCTGGTATGTGGCTGGTGCAGGCAGGAGGTCGCGAGCAAGGTGTGTGGTTGGTCATATAATTATGACTATATTTAAAAAAAATCACTGATAATGAGTCACACAGTCACCATGGTCACATAGAAACTGCATGATCCCGGCGCCCTGGATGAACCATGGATACTGGACCACAGAGTCCACAGTCACCATGGTCACTCGCACGCGCACCCAAGTACAAGAAGCAGGGAGTCGTAAAATACCAGGGAGTCGTAAAATACCGGGGGGTATTTTACGACTCCCTGACAAGAAGCATGTAGCAACCTCAGAGTCAGAGTACAATTTAATGTATCAAGTACAAGTATGCCCTTCCAAAAACCTGGGACCGACGAACGGCAACTACAAACACGTGTAGTCAGCTAAGACGGCTGTGGAAAGAAAAGACGATTCTGAAACTATGACACTGCGTTCAAGAGGGTGCAATCAGCAGGCCACATTATGAGAATGTGATGGAGAGTGATACAAGCACATGGTCGAATATCTGAACTGTCTATTTCCCCCCAAAAAGCATTCAAATCACGGGATTTCTGTTCCGGCGATGCTACATTCATGTACATCGATAAAAGAAGTGGAGTTTTGCACATCTGTTTGCAAACTGGTGTTCATACACTATGTCTACACAATGTCATGTATACACACTGCTGGGGCCATGCAATCATGGGTCAGACCATGGATTGGAAAGTTCTTATAGTGAAGTGAGGGAATCCAGCAGTGGGTCCAATGAGATTGCATCCCTGGTGACTCTACATCATGGGTCGATGTGCCTAAGACAAGAATTAGTCAGCTGTGCAAAGATAATGGTCAAAAATACAAATATGCGTTTGTTCAAGAGATTGATATGTGGAAGAACCTTCGTCCACAGAATTTCAGCATTTTTTCAGTCACATCACAAACAATTTAGTACTGGCTCTCCGGACGGCTCTTCAGCCAGTCAGCAATGCTTGGCACAGCAACGACCTTTGCGTAAATAGTCTTGAGGGTGGGGTACGCATCCAGTACGGTGTCCTTCCACCTGAGCAGATTGAACGCAATATTGTGTAGTTGCAGGTCTGCAGTTGTGATCTACAAACAGGTCGCAACAAAACACAGGCAGTGATATCATTGAGTGTTACTACAGATACTAGTACCTGCTATTTCTTATACGTGATAAATCAAGTCACATGACACATCAGGCATAAATTATGCACATGCACATGTACATGTGTTATGATTATGAAAATACTGTTGTGGGACTTGGAGAGCTGCGGGTCGGTGGTCAAGCAGTCCCAGTGTGCTGGCCATGCAGCTGTGAGTACGCATGCAATCAACATGTGCACTGCATGCAACGTTCTGTACGCGCTGAGGGCGCCGTCCCCCGCGTCATTCGACCGGATTTCCATGTCCACGACAGTACGAGTGTTCATTCTTGTAGGCGGTATATTCTGTAGCATGACCATAATAATGGATACCCACAGTACTTTCCAGTACACGGTACCTAGCTGATACAGTCGACTCTTGATATAACCAACACCAATGTACAGGAGAAACAGAAATGCTCTCATGCCATACAAGCAACACATCATGCTTGGCATACGTCCAAGTTACACAAGAGTGCATTTGACTTACACGGTCCCCTACAAGATATGGCTCGTTACAGACGAAAACAGTTCGCTACATAGGGCAAGGTTGCATGGGTTCAAGACTTCAAGCAGAGACATGGACAGTGGTTTGCATGTATCACAGAATTCAACACACGAGCCGGAGTTCGTTATGGATCGACTGTATCTTTCAAAGCACTCCACACATGCACCCCCCCCCCCACACACACATTGTGATATGTACACTTTTAGTACGTACTAGGGCCAATCATATGGTAGGCCAGGCATCATATCAAGTCAAAATTATTCGTTTACGACGAACTCCTGTACGGCGAACTTTCGTGAAGACGAACAAATTTCAAGTGTGATTTGAACAAAATCAGCGTGTAGTACGAACTTTCGGTCCCCATGGGTATGCTGGCTGTAGTTTATTCCGATAGTCGAGGCCTCTTGTACTGGCAAAACATGTACAAGGCGGAGGACATGCTGTCATGAATTCATTGCACATTGTACTTACCTGGTGCTGGGTTATGCTATGAAAAAATGTTTTACATTTGCCACAGATGCACCTTTCAAATAAATACAATCCACACAGGCCCGTTGCACCGACTTTGGAGGTGGGGCGGCCATGGAAGGGGGGTCCGGGGGCCCTCCCGCGGGAAAAAATTCAAAAACTGAAGCCAACTGCAAGCATTTCCGGGCATTTGGTGCCATTTCAGTGTAACACACAATGAAAGACTTTTGATTCTGCAACAAACCAAGAAGACGCTACGATTGAGGACAAGGGTTCTTCATTATCCTCCCCCGGGGAAAAATTCAAAAATTGAAGCCAATTGCAAACATTTTCAGGCATTTGGTGCCATTTCAGTATACACTGTAACTGCAATGAAAGACTTTTTGATTCTGCAATAAACCAAGATCGGGGACAAGGATTTGCGCTGAGCTGCGATCATCGCGCTTTGTTGCAGTGTGCTCCAAAAAAAAAAAAAAAAAAAAAGTGGCTGTGACCGCCTTGCCATTATGATATGCATATCAATTGTTCTTGTCAGACTGGATAAGAAGAACTCCGGAAAAGACAAACAAACTTGTTCGGTCCCTTGAAGTTCGTCCTAACGAGGTTTGACTGTACTTCCCTTCCATGTGTTTATTCACCGGCCCTGGAATCCGCCATGAGTATGGTATTCAGAGGAAAGTGATGATTTTAAAAGCAGGATGCAATGACTCATGCAATGCTGTTCCTCTAGGCTACATGATGTATACTGCATATATAAAGGCGGCGCTCGCACTCTGAAGGGTGGCGCGTTCATTTTGAAAGGGGGTCAAAGAGTGAAGGAGGGCGCAGCTCCCCGCTATGCACATGTACCCTGAAATGCACGCACACACACACACACACACACACACACACACACACACACACACACGCACACACACACACATACACACACACACACACACACATACTAGTGCATAACCTACACACAAGGACACTGCCTTCTCTACCTGTCAAACAGGAAGTCGGTCCATCATAAACAATTCCTGGTCATGCTTACATTGTCGCCAACAAGCACACCCTTGCCGTTGGCCTGGGCAATCTGTTCAAGATTTTCCAGTGTGTTTGGGAGGTGCTTCTCTCCAAGCTCCTTGATTAGTTCTGCCTAATGAGCCCAAGAAGAAACAATAAAGGCAATAATAACACAACAATAAGAATTATTATAAGATGGCGTTAAAACAGGGCCATCCGGCATTATCGATAATTTTCAAGGAACGAAAAAGTTGAGTTATGACCCTCCCCACTTGCCCACACCCTTGAATGAAAAACATATTGACATGACAGCTAAAATGGAAGGATTTTTCAGTAGATTTTTTCAAAACGAAACTCTCCTCAACCCACCCACAAACGAAGCCTTTTTCGTTTCGTGAAAAGCTTCGTTTCGTGTATAAGATCAATAATTACGGATGGTTCCTCAGTTAGTCATTAGAGAAAGGGACCTATAATACCCAGTCTCTCCTCAGTCCTGACCGGATTGCCACAGGAAGGTACGATTTCAAGTTGTTATGCAGTGAAGAGACAAAAGTGAAGGCCAGCGAAGAGGCCACATTTGCAAACATGCTATACAGCCACTCTGCTGTAATATATGTGTAAAGGAATCAGTTATTCTGAAGCGTCAGCAAGTGTTTTACTGTAAGACTATTATGTCACACATGTGGTGGATGTGCGGGCACGCGAGGGCAGGGGGGGGGGGGGCTAAAAGATCTGAAGCCCCCTCCCGAACTTTGCCGGTTGGCCAATGACCGGCTGTATTGCGGCCTACACCATACATGTAGCTTAGTTGGCTATGGGAGAGCATCACTGGCTATGGGAGAGCATCACTGGCCTGTTGTGACAGTGCCTGGTTCGAGTCCCGGTCAGGTGACCGTCATCTTTTTCTTCAAACATTTCCCCGTTTCCAGTCCCTCAAGCAAATAAATAGTTCTAATTGACGATTCTTTTACCTTTTAACTTTTCTGCGTAGTTGTGCACTCAAGTGCAAGACAAACCTGAACTGCAGTTCTAAACCTGGGTCAATCTCTCTCCTGCAACAGACTACCCCACAGCCCTGGACCCCCATCCCGTTCCTCCCCAAACTCAACTTCACCGGCTCCACTGCCCCAGATAATTATACTATACTGTACAAGTAAATGCATGCCGAAAAGGACTAAAAAACTTTCAAAATCAATTCCTTTCTCACCTTTTTTGCCTCATCCTTCTCAAAATGGCCTTTGCCAAGGTTGACAAATAGGTCGTCAAGATGTTTTACAATCATGCAAACCAAACCTCTCTCTTCTGCATTTGATCCACCAAAGTCTGATGCACACAAACACAGTGAGAAAAATAGTATTGACATACTCGAAAATATAGAAAACGTGAAATGTGAAGTTACAGGTCAGACCTCGCTATAGCATAATCTCTGGGGGGGGGATTATGTTATACGTTTCTTTTGTTATAGTGAGTTGGGCACGCCAATATGCAATATGTATGTCAAAATGACGCTCTTCACTTACTGATTTCAACTGTACTGTTTTACCTACAGGTATGATGTAAACTATCAAAGATGTGTACAGGCTTGTCAGCAAAGGGGTGACAAGAGTCTTGCAGTGTGTGTACGTGTACATATGACATGATTAAAAGGTAAAATACACAGACACATGTAGTAGTCAGCAACAGTTCAGTACTAGCAAGTACATGTACACATAGACGTGTAGGAGATCGAAGAACCCGAGCAGAGAGTAGTAAAATACCGGTATTTTACTACTCCCTGCTTCCGAGGTGGACCATGTGGACAGCTCAGCTTTGAACTCGTCCCAAGAAGCGCGTACGTAAGTCATTTTTATACGACTTTTTACATTATGCTGAGGTCTCCATGTGCCCGGGACCCTGCAAACAGTGCGATAGCGAAAATTACGCTATAGCGGATTATGTTACCGTAATATTGCATATTAAAGCCGGGCTTGTTCCTGTAGAAGCCGATGTCAGGGCTAGGCTTCTATTCACATCAGTCTTCTATTCAAACCAGGTATTTCTATGTGTGTCAACACTAGGGGTGAAACGATTAAGGGATATTCCTTAACGGTTCCAAAACTTATCGATTACTTATCAATTATTATCAAGCACCACTGACGAAAAAACTCACCATTTTGCATCAACTACATGTACAATCAATTTTGGAACTTCAAAGAGAACAAAAATAATGGAAACATCGACCGTCGCACAGGCACAAACTGATTCTGAAGGCTACTTGTCCAGAACAGTGAGTTCCGTGAAGCAACCGGAACGAAAATTCGCGGGTACGAATCAGTGCACGGTGCAGAGAAAAGAGCCGCGTGTCATACAATAGATCTAGAGAGTACATCAGGTAGATCTACCGGGTACGCGTGTAGTGTGCATCCAGAGCATGCGCAACTCGCTGTGCGCGCTGCACGCGTTGATTGACACCTCCGTGCACGCGCGCATCGACTCGTACTCTGGTACATGTGCTGCATGCAGTAGAGTCATGTAGACACACTGCACCTGTCGGATATTTCGTCGTACCGTATAGTATGTCGTACGAAAATGCTGTAGCGATTAGAAAAATCGTAATCGACTAGATTTTTTCGACTAATTTATCGACTAAACCACATAATCCTTTCACCCCTAGTCAACACTAAAACAAGGCTTATGTGCCGACTGTGTATCTTAAAAATCAGGCTTCTATTCCAAACAGGTTTCTATAAGAGATAGGCTTCAATACAAGACACTACGGTATACTGTAAATATACAAAATTTCGGCGCTGCAAAATTTCGGCACTTACAATTTTCACATTTCGGCGTGGGGTAGAGGGCATGGTACATGTATAGTGCGACAGATGCTGTGACAAATTTCATCGGCGTTTTAATTTAGGCGTTTTGGGTCGGTGCCGAATATAGCCGAAATTAAATAGCTGCCGAATATTTGTATATTTACAGTACACAACAGAACAACAAGGACAATCAAGGCTTGTTTGCTGCTACTTTAAGTTTCATGCTTACGCAATCATCAGGCAATGTTGCCTGATGATTGCGTAAGCATGAAACTTAAAGTAGCAGCAAACAAGCCTTGATTGTCCTTGTTGTTCTGTTGTGTATTACGCTCTGCCTTTGTGGTGTTGAGCACTGTCAAGCACTCTGGGTACATCCTTCGGTGTATATTTACAGTATCGAGGAAATTTTGTACAGAAGTGATGTGGTTTCGGCAGGGACATTCACATTTCGTACGTTATAGTGAGGTTTATGTTATAGCGGGGGTCGTTATAGCGAGGTCTGACCTGTAGTTAGTTGTTCGCAGTGAAGAGAGAGAATGGGAGAGATTTACGAATTGTGAGCGATGTTGAGAATCCTTTACCAAAATAACGCTCCATGTGCACTTGCACATTTTTCCTGCAGCAGAGTCACTTGAGATGTGCCTGAGACTTACCATGCTTTTCGGCAATGTACTGAGGGATGACAGTGCTTTCACTCACTCTGTAACCTCCCTCCACACTCAGTTCCGGCAGAACTTTTAACTGCGAGTCTGTGTTCAGAATCAACGGCAACATAAACAAAAAAATGAAGAAAGGTGTGAGATAGTGGTTAATCGTCTATTCTATTATTTGTGCAAAACAATTCTCGCCTACAACACGTGCAGAAGATTGAGTCATTTTAGAGTGTAATTCAGTACATTGTATTTTTTTGCTAAAAAGGATATTCTTACCTACATGTACTGGACAGTGTGGATGTACAAGCCATTTTAGTTAACACACAAATTTTGTTACCTCTGAGTACATAACAAAAATTAAAATTCCGGTGCATATTTTGTGCAATATCATGCCCATTTTACAGTAGTTCGCAACTGCATATGTCCACCAGGCAGGCACAGTGGGTTGGTCAAAGACCATGGTTGAGATACGAGAGGTACCTGACTCAAGTCTGAGGGCCTGCCTGGGAGTGTTTTTTTTCCAACCGTTCTGCTACCCACAGTCAACTGGGAACTTGTGGCCAGACACAAGGGCTACATGGATGCGGCTAATGGGATTTCTCGGCACTTGTGCCAGTGGGAGTGAGACGTATCCCCTCACCCCACCGTTAGACGCTGCATCTGCCGCTAGGGTTTACCGGGTGTTAGCGGCCGCTGTGAGTTCCCTTCAGGAACCGGCACGATAATTTATTCATCGGTTGCATGACCTAGCAAGTCCATTAGTTCAAAGAATGTTCCTTCTCTGGTCACATGGCCGGAATACAGCTGCTCATACCCGAAGTCAGGTCTCATTTGCCCATATTTTGCCAAATCCTCAAACCCGATGCATTTTTTGTTGGTTACCATGCAGGGAATCGATAAAATGCGCTCCCACCCAAGTCCTGACTAGAGCATGCAGTCCCCTGCTCTAATTCGATCACTCATAAAATCTCATCTAGAGTTCCTATAAAAAGGCGACGTAGTCTGGTTGGAAAGAAAACAAGTAGTAAGGAGAGAGGGAGGGAGAGAGGGAGAAAGAGGGAGGGAGAGAGAGAGAGGGAGAAAGAGGGAGGGAGGGAGGGAGAGAGAGAGAGAGGGAGGGAGAGAGAGTGAGAGAGGGGGGGGGGGGGGGGAGAAAAAAGTGAGAGAGAGCTATGCAGGGTTGATCCGCGGCGGACTTGTGCCCATTCTTTCAGTGGTTAGAGCATGGCTGGCCTCAAGCGAGGGTCCCTGGTTCGAGTCCTGGTGGTGACAGTCAATTTTTTCTTCAGACTTTTCCCGTTCACGTCTTTCCCTCAAACCAGTGAGTACTGTAAATATACAAATTTCCGGCAGCTATTTAATTTCGGCTATATTCGGCACCGACCCAAAACGCCTAAATTAAAACGCCGATGAAATTCTTCACAGCATCTGTCGCACTATACCATGCCCTCTACCCCACGCCGAAAATACATCGCTGCCGAAATGTCAAAAATCGTGAAGTGCCGAAATTTTGCAGTGCCGAAATTTTGTATATTTAGTATTATTTACAGTATATTAATATATTTTCTTTGTCTCTGAGGACTTCCTCTGTGACATCTATGATAATTCAATGTAAACAGTAAAACTGTCAGGTTTTGCCCACACCTTCTGAGTTTGGCCTGGTCCCATAGCTCACATGGTTACTAGAGCATTGCTCATGACAAGCAATGTCCCAGGTTCGAGTCCTGGTGGGGCGATAGTAGGCATTTTTCTCGCTTTTCTGGCAATTCACTTCCCTGACAGTTTGAAACAGTAAACAGTAAATAATAATGAAACTTACTTCTGCGAGTTGATGGTGTTGAACGACTTATGGCAACTTCACTACAAGTTACGCTGTATGCAAACGAAAAGAGCCCCTAAAATTTACACAACGTATGCCCTCGTCGCAGGGATACTAAGGGGTGACATAATTGGATTCCCTGGATTATCCTAGAAGAAAACGTTCGACACCTTATGAGCAGTGTCTTCTTGACAGGATGTGGGACCTTGCCTGGATACATGCAATCTTAAATTCGTTTCAAAAAGAATATTATCCGCCTCCGACCTCTGTTAAAAAAAACTTAGTTGGGAGTTGTCAACTACGAAATGTGTATTGTACAATGTACAATGCTGTTGTAGCAACAGGATACATGTGCATATATGTATAGGATATACCCTTCGCTGGAGTGTATATGGAAAATATACACCAAATACAAACCCAGGCCGAAGCCCGAGGTTTGTTTGATGGTGTATATTTTCCATACACACTCCAGCGAAGGGTATATCCGACTTATACCTACCTCAGTCTGAATCCCGGCTAAAAAGGAGTATATTATTAACAGTATTTATTTCTCTCCTATGGTGTATATCAACAATATTTATTCTCTACAGTGTAGTGATGATGTATATTACCAGTGTTTATTTTTTCTAGAAAATACAGCAAATATACACATTGGCCGAGGCTCTGTGTAATGAATGGAGGTGTATACAGTCGACCTACCCTTATAACGATAACCTTTTATAACGATATGTTTCTGCCAAACCAAATCCCTCCATTGACTCATGTATACAATGCGGCTTACCTCTATAACAATATTGCTATAACGATATTACCCCTATAACGATATAAAATGGGCTGACCTATCAACATTTTCCGTTTTATAACAACAACAAAAAGCAATATCTAGCAGGGAATATGTAGAGCACACGATCCAGGCAGGGCAAGCTTCACTTGATAAGTCGCAGGGACATGACGAAATGCAATGGGGCCACCAGTGGGCACCTTGCTGTGTGCACAATGTGCATGTATGTCAGTTTTTATGCTATGAAAAGTCGTAAAAAGTGAACACAATCCATGCATTATGACGTATGTGTATGAAATGAACCAGTTACCCTTATAACAATAATTTCTTGGTCTGACGCAAATATCGTTATAAGGGTAGGTCGCCTATAAGTATAATTGGGCCACCCAGAATTAATTCGTTGTTTCGGGTCACCCGACCGACCGTCTTTTTTCACCCGACCGCAATTTTTTTTATAGTGCATGCAAATGTACATGACTAGACTATGCACATGTACGTACATATGTACACACGCGCCTAATAATAGCAGTCCAGCCATCGACCTCAGAAGCAGCCAAATAAAATAACAGGATGAAGCGCTTGGTGACGATGTTGTCTTCCGATCCGCAATCGGTCCTGAAACAGCATCAGCTCCGCCACCGCGTCGCTCTTTGACAGACGTTTCAAGGTGAGAACTGCTCCTCAGAATCGTTGCCAGGGAGGCCAAGGTCTGGTCCTGGAGGGGACCTGGGTCTGATGGGACAATGACTGTGCTGGATCGTCTACAGTCATGATTTGATCGACTGGCTTGATGGACAAAAGCTATTCGATATGCACAATTGTACATGTATGCACAATCAAATACATGGCAATAACCAAAATAAAAAATAAAATAAAAAATAAACCCGACCGACCGACCCTGGTACGGATGAGTGAAGTGACCCGAAACAACGAATTAATTCTAGGTGGCCTTATGTACACTTGATTACAATTTACAGGTACATGCACGGCAGTGTTGTTTGGAAAGAAGTTCAAAGAATTATGTACGCTTGAGTGGTACCAGAAGGCGGTAACAGTGTTTTGCAATAATTATTATAGTAGATAGAGCGGTCCGTATAATAAATAGCGGTCCGACCCATCATTCGAGTGAAGTGGATTTTTGATTTTTTTCTAAACGGGGAAAGTGCAGAGAACACTTCCCTCCGGGTGTGTAGACTGCACTGTAGCCATTTCATCTCCCACACAATCATACTCCACGTGACAACCCAAAACGGTCTCTCTGCTAGTATAAATCTTCCAAAAAAGCCAAGAGACAGTTTCGGGAAGTGGTTTATGATTGTGTGAGAAAGCGCAAAGAAAATTTCTGTATTTTTTTAAAACACACCTGGTTTGAGTTCTTGCCACGTTTCTCCTTGTAGCTGCAATCGTTTGTCCTCCCAGTCAGCCCCAGCGTACACCAGAGCCAATCTGCTTAGCTCACCACGAGCACGAACATTGAAGTAGGTCAGTACGTACTTAGGCATGATTGCTTTCGAGCGTTAGCAAGTGGTAATGACGTTGCCAAAGAGAGGACAGGAATTCTACGCTAGGAAAAGAAAAGGTTGGCAGAGTGTAGCATGTACTCGTACTAGCGTGGTTGATGAATGCAGCGGTGAACGAACTGGTGAAGACGGACCCGGCGGTTGTCTTTATTACCAGTGCTGCTACTGAATGCCCACACCATGTACCAGACACCAACGACAAAATAACCATGATGTGTGTGTGTGGTGACGACGGTGCAATGTGTAATGATGTAGACCAGTACTGGCAGTAGTACAATGATTATGTAGAGTCTTCATGTAATGATGACATTGTAGATCTACATGTAGTACGAAATACAATCATGTGACATGTAGTGATGTAGATCTACTGTACTGTCGTTTTCCAAAGACCAAACGTTCTCACACGAGTAGGTCTACGACTACGATGTGACAACGATGTGGGTACAAGTGCGTTTCTCACGGTAACGAGTTACGTAGACTGGTGATGATTAGACCGGCCTTATTTATGTGTGTTCAATGATGATGTACATGTATTCGCGTACTGAGTAACACTCAAAACGCTAGAGCTACTAAAGCTAATAATTATTATTGTATTCACTGGTTAGAGGGAAAGACACAAACGGGAAAATATAATCTTAATACTTAGTATAGGCTCGGGTGGGGGTCTTCTTATAAAATTAATTATTATAGGATTATAGGCTTCAACATAGCACTCCAATGTCCACTTGATGCTGGGAATCATGGCCCAAATAACTACATGCTGAATTTTCTGAACTTTGCAATCCAGTAAAGAATTAGAACGGCGAAGGTGTTGGTTACGGCTGGAGTGGTAATACAATGTGTATAAATTAAAGGTGCATAATTAGGGAAGAAATCCGACACCTGTATACATTTTCAAGTTTAATTGTAAAAGAACTCTGTAAAATAATCCAATAAAAAAATCCAATAATACTATTATAAAGACAAGGGTGCATTAAAAAACGAAATGAGTAGTTTAATATAATATGTCCTGTTGACAGAAGGAGGTTGATATCACCGCATATACTAAATATACTACTAGTAATCACCCAACGTTACCGTAGCATCATCATCGGAAACTCTCAGAGTAGAGACCAAGAAGTAGGAAAGTTACTACCGTCCCTGGTAGAGACGTACTGATTCTCTTCCACTGGACCTTGTGTGTAAGTTACTATATATGTCGCTATGTTGTGCTGATGCTATGATCTGCATCAGCCTACGTTATCACAGAGTCCAGACAAGTCGGCGAGCATGTCTTTCCAGCTGGCGTTGGGAGCATTGTTGCATTAACTGTTGTGATGAGCAAGTGTGAAGGTTGTGTAGTGAGCATGCTAGTGGTTGTCATGTTTGCTGTCCATGAGGAAGCATTGCTCATGGGTTTGCATGACGTTTTCTCACAGGGGATGCTTTTTGCCACAGCTAGTGCAAGGAAGGCGCCGATGGATAGTCCCAAGAGACATGAGAAGACCATGATCATACCTGCCGGGTCACAGTGCATGTAGGAGAGAAGCATACAAGAACAGATGCGGTCACGAGTGGAAAGTCACTGAGTGACATGGTGAACAACAGGTACCAACCTGGTCAAGCCACTACCTATGTGTGGTCCTTGCTTCAACAACCACCCAGTCTGAAGAGAATCCACTATTTTCTCTCCACAGAACAAGATTTATATGCCAGAGTTGCCATGGTTTCACAATCCACCTGCGTCTAAACGGACCGTGACCGAGGCCGACCCGGTTGAAGGGTGTTCACTGATACCAGATACAGACTACACTTGTACAGGGCTGCGAGTTCAGACTAAATGACTCTTGGGTTATAAACACGTGACCACGGAACATACCGCTAATGTGAATGGTCTCCGGAAATGCTTCAGTGTGTAGGCCTATTGATGCAACCCTGCTTCCTATCAAGTTGCTGGCATTCACTGCTGCATAAATTAAGTTCAACTAGTACTAGCAATATCATGACATGCTTCTCTGAAGAGGAGCAGTAGTGCATCCGACAAGTCCAACCTGCATTTTCCTACGTTCAGTTCAGCTACTGATTTCAATACCCTTACCAGCCAATTCTTGGTCGCGATGAGTAGTGATATCCTTAGGGCCTCGGCTCATAGCTATGGTGGCAAACGCTCCAGATGTTAAACCCACGATCACCGCCAGTAGGAAAGCTATCTCTGAACTGCCAGGGTCCAGGTATGGTGCTGAGCATGGCAGTATACAGAGCAGCAGAAGTGGTACAAGTACAGAGCGAACACCGACCATAGCAAGCAGCCTACCTCCCGTCAGATAAGGGCTGATGTATGGTCCAATTGCCTGCAACGATGGGCATGAGCACAGAGCACAGGTATTCAGTGCACTTGGACAAATATAAGGGTGAGCTGGCATGACTCAGCGTGGAAACACCTGCTTATCAAAATTTCACCAGTTGTAGTCTTCGGGGTGCTGAGTCGAATGGTCGTGGTCCGAGGAAGCTGAGATGCTCCCTTCCTACTTTAATCCCAATCGAACTCGCGCACTTCCACCGAAACTGGGTGACTGCGCCCTACTAGATGGGGATTTGTATGCAAAATGTCACTAAAAAGCGCCATTTCGTTCTTATAAAAGCACGGATGACCGCGATTGGCCCATATGTTGTAGTCTTTTCGTGGACGTTGAGTCGCCTGGTTTTGGTCCGAAAAGGCTGCGATGCAGCGTTCCGCCTTTATTCCCAATCGAACATGGTTGAACAAGCGGTCACGTGCTCCTGCGTACACTAGTCACCTGGTCACCGTACCTGCAGGGTACAACTTACTAGCCTGTTTGACCTTTTTTTGGGTGCAGTCCTGTCACTCGAGTTGAACTCGAGTTGAACCTTGGTGTGAAAGTTGTCGCCTGCTGGCGTGGTGACCAGGTGATTTGGGCACCCAGGAGCACGTGACCGCTTGTTCAACCACGTTCGATTGGGAATAAGGGCCGAACGCTGCATCGCAGCCTTTTCGGACCAAAACCAGTCGACTCAGTGTCCAAAAGACTACAACATATGGGCCAATCGCGGTCATCCGTGCTTTTATAAGAACGAAATGGCGCTTTTAGTGACATTTTGCATACAAATCCCCATCTAGTAGGGCGCAGTCACCCAGTTTCGGTGGAAGTACGCGAGTTCGATTGGGATTCAAGTAGGAAGGGAGCGTCTCAGCTTTCTCGAACCAAGACCATTCGACTCAGCACCCCGAAGACTACAACTGGTGAAATTTTGATTTTTGCCTTAACTTCCCCTTTAATACACAATATTACAATGTCATGCACTGGATTTGATTTCTTATCACTCTATCACTGCCCATACTGGTGCAGGGCATGAGATTGGTTAGTATCAGGTACATAATAATGTTTACACAGGTAACAAGTCACTGCAGTTGTAGCAAGTGACAACCGGCCATATTGTCAAAGAAGCAGTGCTGCATTCACTGTACAGCCCAGTGATTGTAGTCAGTGTCTGCTCCAGACCCGGGTTGGGCGGCGCTTGGACCCGGTTGGTACTTGACACGTTCGAACTTTGAAAGGACTGACTACATGGCTTGTATGTGTGACAGATCATGCAGAGGCGCGCGTCGAATACATGTGTAACCGGCTCCGACCCGGTTGAAATGGTTGCGCCAGGTACACGTGTACCCGGCTGTCCTACAATCCCAGAGCAGACACTGGTAGTGCTAGGATTGTCTCAGCCCTGGGCTTGTAAACATCATGAGGTCAGATTTCACGTTCCACCAATCATGGTAGTGCCGGCTATTAGTCATTACCAACCTTGCCAATTAAGTCACAGTAATTGAAGACGGCAATGAGAATGACAGGCGTCCAGTCACCAATGTCATGCCATGGAACCTCGACAAAGAGACCCGGAAACATCAGCAGTGTCATTCCTTGGTTCAGAAAGATTGCCAGCGCCCACTTCCAAATGAGCTTGGTAATCCTCCACCGCATCTTCATTCCATCTGAAACACGGAGTAGAAAAGAAGTTTGAACTTTAACTTTTGCGCAATTAAAATGCCAACCATTAGAACGTTCGACAAATTAACCCTTTGTGGGCGGCATGTACAACCTTCGATCACATGAGATCAAAACTTCAATCGATCAAACTCTAGTCATGCTATAAGCAATCCATCCACACATACAAAGGCCACATCATCCTTACCCTTGACACTTTGCAAACTAAAAACCCACTCTCTGACTGGTCTAGAGTGACTCGTTCCACTTGCTGATGGAGAAATTAAATTCTGCTCATCCTCATAATCTGTTGTCATTGCATCACTGCTGATAATTGCATTTTCGTTGGCGACATGGCTTCTTCCGTCAGTGGTACTAGCCATGTGTCCACTCTTCTCTGTGAGTGAAGTGTATTTGGTCAACACAGCTGACTCGGATCTCTGTGAGAGTAGTAAACACATGTGAACAAACGCACACAAACGCACACACATACACACACATTTCTTATATTTCTGTTCGCAAAGGTTGCTACCTTTTCTAATTGACACCCAAGATGACATGCCAATCGTTTTACACAAATTGAGTTTGACTCCGTTTGGACTCATTACGATCCCGGCATTGGCATTAGGCTCTGCTATGCTGAGCACATGAGAGTAGCTACTTCTTTGAAGTACAATTGACTCAAGGCCGATGTAAACTAACCCAATCCCAGGCTACTCACCACTGCCACTGCTGATCAGATGTCTCAGAACAGTCATACAAATTCATGCTACATTGTTTTAAAAAGTGCCACTGAAAACAGTAGTCGGAAGACTATAAGTAATCGCGTAATCCTTCCATATCAATCTTCAGGTTGATTCCTTGCTTGGAATGATTCAGCCCGGCAACACAATAAAACACTATGCTCCCACAGTTAAGCACACATCCAGAAAAGCAATGACTGATAATAAGCGCTTACTTGGCAAGAATTGTATAGCTTACCTTCACTCCATCTAAGTTCGCCATTTCAACTTCACTGGAACTCTCTCCATTAGCATAGGGGTTATACGGTGTTCCGCATATTCCCTTCGCTGGTGCACTGTTATCAGCGTGTCCCTGCACTGCGTCCACGCCACCATCCCCACTGTCCCGACTGTCACTGCCACTACTACTACTACTGCCAGCACACTGGTAGTAATGGTGAACAAGACGATGATTCTTCACGTAGAGATGTACAAGAATTCCAAACAACAACACTGCCATGGTCACCGAGAAGTACACGAGTGTGCTTGTCCGTAGCTTATCGTCCCCGATGAACTTGGTGATGATACGTGTTGAAGATTCTATCGAGCCAGCCACACCTACAGACATAAAATCGAATATACATGTACATCATGAACATACATCACTGTCACGTCCACACATCATCTATTCCATAAGTAGCTGCAGTGAGCTGTTGCATCTTGCATTAAGGTTTCAAGAAACTTTCTTCTGATATTTAATATCAGAAGCAGTTACACACAGTAGGGAGAGATGAAAATTTACAGTTACAGCTCTGAGTTTCATGCTCTGGGAGATCTTCTGGTAGCTGGTGTGCTGGTACATGTAGTCACTGAGGGGACCCAAACATAAGTACTACAGTAAGGAATAAAGATAATTGGGAAAGCTATCAGCTTTGGTTTGGCGCGCATTATAATGTGTGCGTTCCAGTAGCAGAAGTCACGGGTAGAAAAGTTGATATTTCAGTGCCAGTCTGCATGGGACTGTGGCACCTGAAATGTGTGGAGGGGAAGGTGTGGGCTGCAGTGCAAGGTTGAAGGGAACTGCGAACAAACGACACACTGCTGGCATTTGTCAACTACTTCAGTTAACAAATATCAGGGAGACCACGGACTGACAGCTTGAGTTTTCTCCGGGGGGGGGGGGGGGGGTGTCCCCACGGAGGGAGTGGCCCGGGTAGTCACCTGTCCCCAAGCCGCCCCTGCGCAAAAGCACGGAAAATGAATTTTCGGGCTTCGAGATGCCATAAGCCCAACAAAACACCTCAGGCAACTATTGGCTATTGTTCACTGCAATGAATGAAGCACTGAAGGAGCACATATAAATGATGAAACATGCATCAGGAACTTACTCTCCCCAGTCATTACAGCCTGTGAGTATGCAATTGGTAGCATACTTGACAATCCATACACACTCGCCTGCTGTACTGCATAGCCGCATAGTCACAACAAGTAACGCATATAGAACGTGTGTCAGACAGAGTGTAAGACGCCATAGAGATGCAGCGGCAGCATGCTCTCTGAAGTGGGGTACACTCAGGTTGTCGCCTCAAATATGACTGAACTTATACGGTGGTAGCAGATCGGTCAGGCAAGATATATAGCAAAGAACCAGAAGCCCCGGCAGTGCCACTACTAGGGAGATCAAAACGCGGTGTATATTAATTCAGCAGGGGAACCCACACTGGCATGTACATCTACACAGTTGACTGTTAGTGCTGAAAACCAATATCGATTGCCTCATGTCCGGGTGAAAGGAAATGTGCCGGCCTTCGGCTCAGCATACCGTATGATTGTGCATGTGTGTGCTGTGAAGTACCAGGGGCGTGGCCTCTTACGATGCAATGCATGCCACATAAACAAAATTTGTTAGCAGCAGGTGTTAGATATGTACCGGATGTAACTCAGATGGAATTTTATAATGACAGTGTTCCATTCAAACTCCTATACACAATAACGACTAGTATCGCAATTCATGCATCATGGCACAGTACCGTATTTCCACAAATAGTAGGCCGGTCTACTATTTTTTCAACCTCGTCCTAACCCGGCCTTATAATCGAGGACGGTCTTGTATTCGAGGACGGTCTTTTATTCTTTCAACCCAGTTTGACCCCCGGTCTTCTATTTCTCGCCACACAGTTTTGCCCCCGTTCTTCAATTTTCTTCTACACAGTTTGAGCACGGTCTTCTATTTTTTCCCACAGTTTGAGCACGGTCTTCTATTTTTAACACAAGAACAATGACTCATTTAGTAGGCCCGGTCTTCTAATCGGAGACGGTCTTTTATTTTTTCAATCGCCCCCTGCCCCGGCCTTGTATACGAGGAAGGCGTTGTATACGAGGACGGCCTTTTATTTGCGGAAATACGGTATGTCATGTAGTTTACACACACACACTTCTTTTTACTTCACGGTCGCTAAAAACCGAACACGCACTCACGTTGCCGCTAAGATTGCTATGGCTATAAACATATGCACTACTTAATCGACCCTGGTGGACTGCAATGTTCATTATTCCTGGCAAACGGAAACCAGGCAAAACTCCAGATTTTGCTGAAAGTTACATGATGTATTACCTCCAGCTGCGAATGCAACTCCAACATCTGCCATCAGTATGCCAGCGAATGCTGCAGAGCTGCCACAGCCAGACACCACTGCCACGATCACGATCACCAAACCCAGAGAGAGGATGAACGCAGCGAAACCAATGCGTATGCGGAAGTGTGTCTCGCTGATCCTAGCCAGTACAACACTCCCCAGGATTGTCAGCACAGCCACACAAAGATTCACTGCGGGCAGCACTGCTTCACTATTGCGATCGGGAAATGTGAAGGACAGATAGTCAACTGCAGAAATGAATGCATTGTAGGGCAACACGAACACCGCTCCAAGGAAGATGAATGCCCAATAAAGAAGATAGTGTTTTCCTTGAGGATCTACCCCACTTCTTGTCTCTTCTTCAGACTCCATCGCACTGAGGTCAGAAGCGGATATTTCGGACCACCGGTGTGAACAGTTGCTTTAGTCTTTCTAACTCCCGAACCTTTGTGGTGGTCTAGTAGGAATTTCCATGTCAGAGAAGTAACAGTTAGTTTATCAACGCGGTAACGCTTACAAGTAGGTCGCCCGATCGATCACATCGCTCTAATAAAGCAGGGTGCAGGTCTAATGAATAGACAGGGAGTGTCCCTAAAATCAACTACAACATGATACGACTTGTACTACTAGCGATACTTTATCATGCTATTCTGCGCCAAAAATTAAAAAAATTAAGCGACTGATACATGTACATGCCGCCGGTACGAGTTGTGACACGGGCCTCGCCTCGCGCTCGGCCTAGCGCCTCGGTCCCACTGAACCATGTGAACCAGGGAGTAGTACTACTCCCTAGGCCCTGGTGATGTGACCCAGTGGTGAACTGTCCCAGGCAAGGTCTCAACTCCTGATCGCGTGCTCATAAAAATGACACCTGCTACGCTAAATTAAATTTGGCAGTGACAGATCATAAAGAGTGCTGATGATAATTATTATGGCTTTAGGAACAATGGCAATATGGTACCGAGACACTCGTGTTACACTGTGTTACGAGTAAAGTAGAGCTACAAGAGGGATCCGTTTCGGGTGGTCCGGTCTGTTTGTAGTTTGTACAGTACTGATTAGTGTTCTGCATGAATAATTACTCGTTGCATGTGATTTGCCAATGCCAGCTTGCAGTGGGACAGTTTGGAGAAAGGCTCTAGCAACTGTTCGTAGTCGGAAATATCATGGCGCTAATGTCACTTGTCAGATAGGACCTCAGTCAGTGCGATGGAGTCTGAAGAAGGGACAAGAAGTGGGGTAGATCCTCAAGGAAAACACTATCTTCTTTATTGGGCATTCATCTTCCTTGGAGCGGTGTTCGTGTTGCCCTACAATGCATTCGTCTCAGCAGTTGACTATCTATCCTTCACATTTCCCGATCGCAATAGTGAAGCAGTGCTGCCCGCAGTGAATCTTTGTGTGGCTGTGCTGACAATCCTGGGGAGTGTTGTACTGGCTAGGATCAGCGAGACACACTTCCGCATACGCATTGGTTTCGCTGCGTTCATCCTCTCTCTGGGTTTGGTGATCGTGATCGTGGCAGTGGTGTCTGGCTGTGGCAGCTCTGCAGCATTCGCTGGCATACTGATGGCAGATGTTGGAGTTGCATTTGCAGCTGGAGGTAAGCACACACACTCCCTGAGAAATTTAGGCTATTGCCTGGCCGACATTTGCCAATGATTGTGAATGTCGAAGCGGACCATCAACATAACTTAAGAAGATGGGTGGGGGGGGGGGGGGGCACAGGAGACGTACATGGGGATCCCATTGCAAAGTTCCACCTAGCCTCAGCATGCACATGCGTATTTAGCCAAAGACGTGGTCATCGCTCAAAGTACAAAGTGACTGGGCGTATATCCATGTGTATGGTTAAAATAAGCAGCCTAGCCCCCCCCCCCCCCCCCCCCCCCCAATCCTAAGAGGTGGAACAGCTACACCCCAGGTACTACACATCACGTAGGTGTTTCAGGTACAGTTGAACATCGATTATCCGACCACCTCTGGGCAGACAACTGTCAGGTGGTGTTAGGATAAGGCAAATGTTCTGGATAAGAAAAAACTGTCACTCACACACTTTCAGTGGTTATTACTAGCCGCACGACCTTTTTACTTTTTACTTTTTCAAAAATTTCGTATTTTTTGAATGGCTCACTACATGCACAGTGCGTACTCTACGGCACGTGCGCCCAAAAAAACTGTTACGGATAATCGAATGGTCGGATAGTCGATGTGCGGATAATCGATGTTCAACTGTATTGCCAAAGGCAAACACTACTAGTACTAGGCTACGCGGCCCTAGCCTCGTACCCGTACACGAGGCAATCAAATTGGTTTCCTATGCTGGGTGTGTGCGCAGGCCGGTGTGAGTTTCGTCTGACACCCCACCTTGCATATCTCCAATGCCACTGCTGAGGCTGTTGACTCATTGCCATAATTATTACCTGGCCTATTTCGGCTAGTACATGTATGTGTATGTGTATTCACTTACATGTAGATGTTTAAGCTACATCTGGGGTGTATCCCACTTCAGACGGCATGGCGCTGGCAGTGAATGCCTCAATGGTGTCTGACACACAGTCTATTATATCTGCGTGACTCTTTGTGACGATACAGTACAGCAGGCGAGTGTGTACGGATTGTCGAGTATGCTACCCATTGCGTACTCACAGGCTGTAATGACCGGAGAAAGTAAGTAACTGGTGCACATTTCTTTAAAATTTAGAATAAAAAGATGACTTTTTCGAGTTGGATGCTCTACCATGTGACGTACGAGTAGGCAACCGTGTGCTTTAATAACGAATCTCTAGCACCATTCTGGATGTAGAGTCGAGTATGTATTCATATTTGCCGAGGCAAATTTGAAGTCTGAAACTAGATCAATTGGTTTTATATAAGTGTACAGTGCATTTCAAAACTATAGACGCGTAGGGTTTTTGAAATATTTCAAATTTGGCTGGAACTTTTTGAGAATAGTTTTCGGAATATTGCTCAGGATCGCTCCACAATTACTCTCATATAGTTTCTAAAGGATTGGATAACAGACGCCCAATTTGGAAAAAATTATGCACAAAGTGATCACAGATTTTATGTGGTATAGATGCTGGCATAACGGTTTTTGCCTAGGTACGCGTCTATAGTTTTGAAATGGACTGTAGTAGCTGGCCCCGGAGGCAATCACACTCACTCAAGTCAAAGCACTCACTTCGTGGTTTTACAAATAATCGTCAGGAAAGAAATATCATATACACACTTGGAAGGCAAAGAGAGTAAAAGAGCAACAAGAAAGAAGAAAGCAAGGGAACACAAGTTTGGCAACCGGCAGCCATGTTTTAAATCATTCGCCAATAAGCAATCTACGAAAACCGGTTGCCGACAAAATTCTAGAACCTTCTGGAACGTTACTATAATCAGCCCATCACAGTTCACAGCTTTTGAACATTCTGGAACATTAATACAAGCGGCCAATCACAGTTCTCAACAGGCAGTCATATGGGCAAAGTGGAGAAATACGGGTTTAGCCATTACACGACTCATACATGACTCACGAGCGACTCACGGAAAGGGTAAGAACATGCAGATTCAAAACATGCAAGGAGAGAAAAAATGTACCTAACTGCCCATCTTGGGAATCTATATCCACACAACCTCTAAATGTACTTTCTATCAAACAATGCAACTCCTATATAAGTACTACTACCAGGAGACCAGTGCATCCCAAATGAAAAGTGTGTAACTTAGTGTTCCCACGTGTGTGCTGCATGCAAAGCACCACAGGCCATGTACTAACTAAGGGCGTCACCTGCGCAATACGCACATGTTCAAACACAGCTACAGATACGGACGGCATAGATCTACAAGCTACTCACCTAGCCGTCCCGGAATATAGAAGTCTCAAATAACAATCCAAAGAAGTACTTGTATAATAAAGGTACAGGTTAGTAACACTACGTTTAATGGCAGAACCAGATGTACATCACACAGTTCTGTTATTGGCCTAGAAATATTCACTGCTTCTGAGATACATGTATTTCTTGAACCTTGCTTCACCACATGCATGTTAAAATGCAAGATTCCATAGCTCACTGCACCTACATGTACGTGTGGAGTATGCAATGTGTACTTGTATATTATTTGCATTGTATGTATTTTGGACTGTATGTCGTAGGTGTGGCTGGCTCGATAGAGTCCACAACGCGTATCATTACCAAAGCTATTGGGAACGATAAGCTACAGGCAAGCACACTTGTGTACTTCTCGGTGACCATGGCAGTGTTGCTGTTTGGCATTCTTGTACATCTCTACGTGAAGAATCATCGTCTTGTTCACCATTACTACCAGTGTGGCGGCAGTAGTAGTAGTAGTGGCAGTGACAGTCGGGACAGTGGGGATGGTGGTGTGGACGCAGTGCAGGGACACGCTGATAACAGTGCACCAGCGAATGGAATATGCGGAACGCCGTATAACCCCTATGGCGACGGAGAGAGTTCCAGTGCAGGTGAACTAGAGAGCGAAGGTGTGGTGAAGGTAAGCTAGAAAATACTAATTTAATCTAAAATATGAAAAGTCGACGAGAATACGATACTCATCATAATTGGAGCAGTTTGTTGACTCTAAGAACGATTTCTTGCCATGGTTGTTAGTTACAGTACATTACTGAGGTGTAGACTCAAATGATCAGGGTATTGATTCCAGCTATTCTTATATATAACGAGGTGAATTGATCGAATTGATTCTTTACGGGGCCGTGCTTGATTTGTGTGCGGAGATGAATTGTATCTGATTTTTTTAAACCATTCGAAGATGTAACAAATGCAACCAGTGTAGGAAGGAATATATGAAGCCCGTGTGTATGTACATGTATATGTGTCCGCATGTGTTTACGGCCCCTTGCAGGGATCAGCTGTGTTAAGCAGCAAGCACACTTCATTCGCAGAGAATGGTGGACAAGTCGCTAATACAGCTGATGGAAGTAACCATGACAACAGAAATGCCATCATCAATAGTGATGCTATTATAGCAGATGATGATGATAGTATTTATGATGATGATGATGATGAACGGGCTCTTATTTCTCCTTCACCAAGTGGAACTAGCCACCGCTCTGGACTGTCAACACAGTGGGTGATTAGTTGGCAGAGTGTCAAGGGTGAGGATGACACAGTGGCCTGTGTGTATTATGTAGATGGGTTCTTCTATCGTGGGTTTTTGAATCATGGGTATTATTCATAGTAAGTAAAACTGTAGAGCCTTGCTCTCCTTTCACTCCTGCTCAGAGCTGTGTGTTGTCCTTATAATCATATGAGCTCCCAGAACTCAACCGTAACGTATACATGCACCAGTGACGCACATATGTCCAGTGAGCACAGAATAGCTAACTAATACACATGTAGCAGCTATGCTGGTGTCGATGAATTTATAATTGAGCCACCGGGGCTGCTTCCAGGAATTTAATTGAATGTAGGCTTGTGGATGTCAATCTGTTGCCCGCTACAACGAATAGCGTTTTTAAATTAAACTACGCCAGTGAGAAAGGATTTTAATTCCAAAGTTATTTCTTTACTATCTTTCAGATGGAGTGAAGACACGGTGGAGGATTACCAAGCTCATTTGGAAGTGGGCGCTGGCAATCTTTCTGAACCAAGGAATGACACTGCTGATGTTTCCGGGTCTCTTTGTCAAGGTTCCATGGCATAACATTGGTGACTGGACGCCTGTCATTCTCATTGCCGTCTTCAATTACTGTGATTTACTCGGCAAGGTTGGTGAGAATACTACATTGGTGGAATGTGAAATCTGGCCTCATGAATTCACACACAAGAACAGGTCGGCTATGCATCCATACATGGCACTACAACAATCGGGATGGGCGACTGTAGTCACAAATTCTAAATTTGGAATTTTGCGGTACAAATGTCACGATTGGTAAGAGAGCCACCGCTTCAGATTACACACTGATGTCGATTGACATAGCAGCACGACGCTTCTACAGTCATGCCAGTTTTATACGTAACTTGTTGAAGTGGCGCATTGACGGCCTGCTCCGTTGCTCTATATCTATGCTTGTCACTGCAGGCTACTGGGCCATACATCAGCCCTTATCTGACGGGAGGTAGGCTACTTGCTATGGTCGGCGTTCGCTCTGTACTTGTACCACTCGTACTGCTGTGTATACTGCCATGCTCATCGCCATACCTGGACCCTGGCAGTTCAGAGATAGCATTCGTACTGGTCACGATTGTTGGATTCACAGCTGGAGCGTTTGGAACCTTAGCTATGAGCAGAGGCCCTAAGGATATTTCTTCTCATCGTGATCAAGAATTGGCTGGTAAGGATATTGTCTTATTGAAAACGTTTATTACACTGAACGTTGAAAAATGCAGGTTGGAATGGTTTTGCTGCACTGCTAATCCTCTTCAGGGACGGTTTCATGAGTTATGTTTGTATGTAAAGTTAGGAAGGAAGGACAGGAGGTAGGACATCAATGAAGCATTTCTGAAGACCATTGCAATAGTTTCAGGAAATGAGGCCACCCGGGTTGCACCTTTGAAATTGCATTGCAATAGTTGTACAGTCATTGGGAGCCCTCCCTCAGGAACGTTTTGGAAATTTGAGCCGAAATTGCCCATAATTGTAATGCTTCAAAATCACAAGATTAAATTATCGGTGCTGGCTTTGGCTGCACCTGTTCCTTGCGTTTGTTGCAAAAGAATGGAAGTTTTTCAGACCAGGTGGTTGATGAAGCCATGTGGTGGTGGCTTGGCCAGGTTTCACCTATTGCTTACGCTGATTTTCCACTTCATATTTCCGTTTATGCTTCTCTCCTTCATGCACTGTACCCGGCAGGTATGATCATGGTCTTCTCATGTCTCTTGGGACTATCCACTGGGTCCGTCATTGCACTAGGAATCTCAGAAGGAATCCCCTGTGTGAGAACGTCATGCAAACCCATGAGCAATGCTTCCTCATGGACAGCAAACATGACAACCACTAGCATGTCCACTACACAACCTTCACACTTGCTCATCACAACAGTTAATGCAACAATGCTCCCGACGACAGCTGGAGAGACGTGCTCGCCGACTTGTCTCGACTCTGTGGTTCCATAAGCCGATGCAGATCACCTGCATCTAGAAGCCTGTTTCTTGACTATTGTCTCTCTAGATGAAGACTCAGTTATTGTTGATCATTGTCCTCAACTTTCTATTTCTTTGCTCAGATTTTTAATTTTATTACTCATGCACAACCTAGAGGTCCACGCTACACTTCAGTCTGCTGCGTAGTGATCTGCTTGAAACCATGCGTGCTTGACCATACTACAGTGTAGTATTCATGATGTAAGTGCGCGGCATGAGCATCAGTGGTCTTAGAAATCTGATCGGGTGAACCTCGTGTCGTTTTCTGTCCATTCTTGGCAGTTGTCCCTTTCCCCTTTGACAATTTCTGTAAATGGTGGATAGTAGCATTATGCCTATACATGCAGTCCCATATGGAAGTGTTTTTTTTTACATGGCACGTGCTGTGGGTGACGTTTGTTTACAAGTTCTTCCCCAATAAGTACTAGTAATTAGCACCTCTAACTACTTCAGTCCTATTATCCAAGTTTTTAAGTTTAAAATATTCCCTTGGCTCACCAACTGAGTTCTAATTTATAAAATAAAATGAAGAAATTTCACGGCTCGTGCGAGACTCAGTCAGCCCCTCCCCCCCCCCCCCCCTTTCGCATCCACAGGAACGCCACCACTCGTCCCTCAACTTCTCTCAAGGTTAAGTCGCAGATGCAGCTCCTGTAGTGGTGGGAGGTGAGTATATCAGACCCAGCACAATATGGTCAAACACCGAAAAAATCCCATTCGCTTCGTCCATTTTACCCTAGTGCCCTGAAGCTGCACGGCTGGAAAAATCCCTCCGCTTCCCAGCAGGACTTGCATCTGGTACCCTCTGTTTCTTAGACCATCATACTATGCCTGTCTGAATCTAATTTACACGTTACTGAGTTGCAAAGTCCAGATAGCTCAGTATGTAGCAGCTATTGCTACCCCAGCATTGAGTGAAAGTTAGAGACCGATCAGTTAAAAAGTAACGTTATTTAATATGAAAGATTGATGGCATATAATCCTCAAGCGCTATCAGCAGCAACATATTAACACATGTTACACACTTGGCAGCAGGGCTGAAGCGTTTTAAATAAGACTGTTTGCACGCCCGTAAGTCGGGAAGAGGCATGCTTTACATATTCGCCTATGCATGCATGCAGGATGATGATAATGACGATGATGAGCGGTGTTATTCTAGCACAGGAAGCGATCAGTTTGTGAAGAAACAGGACAGTTGATGTCATGTGTTGCCAGAGTCAATCCAGGTCTGTACACCATGGTGCACCTCAGTATACGCGCGTACATGTATATCCAACTCTAAACTCATAGCTATTATAAAAGTTCAAGCTGCCTTGGTATTAACGTTATAATCACTTACTGAAACTATTTAGAAACAACTTACAATGGATGTCAATGAACCTACTTAGAGTTATTATTAACTGCTGGCACATGCCAGCTGATTATTGCTGGTACATTCAGCACTCTGACACCTTGCCTCATTCTACGACAATGTGCTGCGCCAAATAGATGACAACATCACAGTCGGGGAATCGTTTGTGGGCTTCCTTAGCAGCTGTATCACCATGTGCTCGGTAAAAACGACCAGTGAAGCCATCTGCAGGCATACGGTGGCAACAGCATCACACGTATAAGCAGATCTCCATTTGCTAGTCAAGAGAGTCAAGACAATTGCAGATAATAACTCGGCAGTGAGCACAGGGCTAAGGTACATGAATGTAGCTGTGTTCCAGTGGCGTTCACATGGCCAACAGCAGGTTCTAGTGAAGCATGACTGCAAATGAACGATAATATGTCCGCTCTATATAGACTACACTGGCGGCATTCATAGCCATCGCTGTTGACTTACTTGTGTTGCACAGTGCAAGCAATGCTGCTGCTCCTCTCTCCTGCACCAGCTGATACTCCTTGCAACCGAGCATGGCGGAGGTTATTGATGCTATGCAGTCACCCTTCACCATAAGATCAGCAGCTATTTCTATGGATAGAATCATCCGGCAGAGAAAGAAAAAGACAAGGAGGCAATACAGTAAGTTATTGCAGTCTTAGGTTATTTAAAAATAAACTCGAAGCCGTCTCTGGCCTGGCCCAGTACAGTGTAGAGGAGACGGCTCGATACCGGGACGTTTTGACAGCCAAATTTGTATAGACCCAAACCGATCATCAGCGTTGATTTTTCACTCGAAATATGTTTGTGGAAGGAAACTGGCATGTTGAAGTTTGCTCTGGGGCCAGAGTCAATCGAACTGAGCCACTCCTTTGTGTTGACCCATTGCCTCCAAGTTGCCCAATTTTTCGCTTCAAAAAAGTTCAAATCAGAGGTGGCTCCAAACCGGACACGTTTTAGAGTGCACGTCAAATTCACTCTGGGTCTGAAATTAGGTAATTGCTATCGCTCCACGACGGCCAGTACAGAGTAACAATAAGCCTTGTGTGTGCTTCCATTAGTTTTGATTGGTATGCGGTGCTTTATTGGCGAGAGGCGAGCCGCTGTTTACCTGCGACAAGAAGTTGATTTTTCGAAAGTCGTAAAACTCAAGTCGCAGTGCGAAGCAACACGTCAAAAACTCACCTGCTTGATATGGCGCTTCTGGTCATCGCAGAGCCATGAAATTTTGGCTCGGAGTATAACACATAGTAGTCTCACTGTGACATATGTTTTCTAATCAAAATACCAAGAGAGAAAGTGAATATTGAGTCCGTTCCGGTTTGCAACCGGTGTCCTATTTGAAACCGTCCCCTCTACATGCATATGAAAAATTTGACGCCACGACCGCCGCACCGAATATAAACTCAAAGCGCAGAAATGAATTTTGCTAGTCTATCTTCTCCTAGCACGGATTTATTGTGGCTTCTGTGTTTTTTACAAAAAAAGGTAGAAAAATTAACCACACACTAGCCAGCAAAGAAGCAAAGCCGATTTTGCAGATAAGTCCCGGAAACCTGGCAGCCAGATCTGCTTACCATCACTTGCGATGCATGTCAACGCCTGGCATGCGGCAGCTTGCAGTGGTGCATTGCTACGCCACAGATCCATGGAGTCCTTCAGTAACCATATTCCACCAGCCTTAGCCACGCACAGACTCTTGGCATCGGTTGTGCTGCAAAGCGGAGAGGTTGGCGGTGCTACAGTAGGTGCATGTACGCCAAAAGCAGAAGAACAACATGTTAAGTATCCGACTGAGGCGTGACTGCCTGCCTGTCACCGGTCATTTCAAACTGTGCAGCGACTGTGTTTCAACAACAGTAATACAGGTAGAACAGGTGTGGTGTAGAGTTAACATAGAACCGACTTACCATCATTAGGGGAAGACTTCCAAAAATCTTTGTCTAGAATCACAAGATAAAAAACAAGTTTTCAAAAGTTGATTTTCTGACCAATGCTGTTGAGATGGGACTATGACCTATTAAACTATTCAGGTATACCAAACACGACACGTAACCTATTATACTGAAGTACTGTTACACACAGTGGTGGCAAGTAAAACCTTGCTACATGCATAAGACAGAACAGCGTTCACTGCACGTCCTACCATCCCGAACACCAGGGATGTGCAGCCTGGAGGCTATTAATGAGGTTGGATTGCACAGGCCACCGCTATAGCTCATAGTATGCCCAGTGATCACACATACACGCACAAAGGGCAGTAGCCACAACCGACCCAACCGATAAACTGCCAATCGAACTGGGTAGTCATCGGTTGATTTCGAACCCAAGCATCTCATCACACAGTCATATACCTTGGTAGAGAACCTTCACTTGGCACATGGATGGTGATACTGGGTAAGGCAACATCCTGGTTACTCTCCGGTTGGTACCTGTACATGTGCATTCACGATATAGTGTGTACATATGTAGCATAAACTGCACGGCTGGTTGCACTTACTGACATCTGATGATGCTACTCTTGCCATGATGACAGCCGAGCGTGTCTGAATAAACACTTCGTTTTTGTACTGATTCATCAATGATATGACAATGTGCAGGCCACCACATGCAATGAAGATGTCCACAATCTCTTCTGCAGAAATCAGTCACACAACCAACAGAACACACGACAAGAACGTCCACCACAGCCACGAGTTGCAGACTATCTAACCCGAAGCTAATACTCTAGACAAAAACCATGCTGTCATACACTACTGTCCATACGTGTCACTTGATGGCACCAGTTACCGAGGTCATCTATTATGTTGAACAGTTTTAAAGGCATAATCTCACAGAAGCTCATTATAAGCAGACATGTCCAGGACTCCCCCCCCCCCCCCCCCCCCCCAATACACCAAGACTATGTGAGATCCTGCAAATGATACAAAAAGAAAAATATAAAATACAGAAACAGTGTAAATGACAGTGACGGTCAAAAGAAATGCCTGCTCCCAAGCACACAATCATAATAATATTATGACTACTTACTTGACACCAAGACATTCTCCAGAATGCTCATCACCTTGTCGACGATAGGCTTCTGTAGGCGAAAAGAACCACTGCTTTGCAGGATCCCCTCCATTACGCTGTTCAGGGATAAGAAGGGCAGACTTGCAGCTGCAATGCCCAGGGGTTTAAGCGATGCATAAGAAAACGAATTTGATTCAGTTTCACAACATACATATGATAATAGTGTAGAGCCTGAAGCTAAACCTACAAATATGTATATGCTCTGCACCAACACCACTCAGGGGTTCTCTCCCAGAAGAAAGAACAACCATCTCCATGAGCCCAGGGTTCCAGAAGCATATCCAAGCATTTCAGGTGAGACATCTCCAAGTACGCCTAGCATGATATTTATTTGCCCGGTCATTACTGTATCACCAAACAGGCCAAACTGAATTTTCCAGTCCGTTGATGAATGGAAGAATGCCAGCCCGGGACCCATGCCACATCACCAGTTCTGTCCAACTGACTGGTGGTTTTTAATAGAAGTTTTATAGCACTGGCCTCCCTCATGACTGGGTTGATTAAAGGCAGCATGTTTTCTGTATGTTCATGTACATAACTAAGTCTTGTACTAGTGACAGTGACAATCCAAAGCTCCTACAACAAGTAAAATCACGGGATATCCAAATCGATAGGTATCCTCTTGGAAGATGTTAATTGCTTGCAACATATTGCAGAGCAATACACCAGCTAAATAATCCGAATCGTGATTCTGTTACACTGTGATGAGGACAGGTTCTGTGACGTTGCCCACAATCCGCAATGTCAGAACGCAAGAGAAGTGATACACTGTACCCTTCCAATTCCTGCTATCGTACCGTGACCCGTTAAGCCAGCACACACTGAATAAACAGAACATACCTATGTCACTGAGATTCTGCATAGCCAGTAAAGCCATGTTATGGATATCCACATCCGCACTGTACACCTGCATGGCAGCGGCAAGAGCCTCGACACCAGATGCTTGAATCACTGACAAACGTCCAAGCTGAAGTTCTACAGCAACATGCACACAAAGAGAAATGCTTGTTCAGGATGACTCGTATCCAGAATTTCCAGCACGAGCACAAAAAGCAAACAACTACTCTAGTGGACATGGAAATGCAGTCGATTGACCGGGGCCGGCACCCTCAGCGCGTACAGAACGCTGCGTGCATGCAGTGCACATGTTGATACGATGCGACCAGCGCGCTGCAGCGCATAAATGCATGTGTGTACCGCTTATCCACGGCTACATAGCCAGCGCCCTGGGGCCGCTAGACGTGCGACCGGATTTCCATGTCCACGGCAGTACAACACAAAAGACATGCTGCACGTAATGAAAGTTCTGGTATGACAGTGGATGGTTTCTGCACCAGTAGTGACAGGCAAGTGCTGATTACTACAGCGAAGCCTGTCTAAGATGGCCGCTCAAGGAACCTTCAAAATGTGGTCTCTATTGCCAGGTGGTCTCCTTATCCAGGGTCATTTGACTGGATTCAGTGGTCTTCTGGGACAGGTGGTCGCCTTGGCAGGTGTTACTGTAGTACACATTCCACTCAACGCTGAATCAGCCGGACTGACTAACCTTCTTCAAGATTAGTGCTCTCCGAGTGTTCCCGAGGCGGACCTGTGTGATAGCACAACAAAACAATCACTCTAGAGAAATACTACAACAAGAAGCTCACAGGAAACTACTTGCTCTCCTCTGTTAGCCTCCAGCCTCCTCCCCCCCCCCCTCCCCTCCCAATTCTTCAAGTTCTCTGGCAGATCAGTTCTGGCCTGTAAAAGAAATCCAAAACAACCCGACAAGATGGACAGCTGAACTGTACCCACCCCTTGTACAATATGAGTGTTGATCAGCTGTAGTCCAGTGTCATGGGACAAACATGCTCTTTACCCGGGATGTATGTGTGATGTTGATCTGTAGTCCAGTGTCATGGGACAAACATGCTCTTTACCCGGGATGTATGTGTGATGTTGATCTGTAGTCCAGTGTCATGGGACAAACATGCTCTTTACCCGGGATGTATGTGTGATGTTGATCTGTAGTCCAGTGTCATGGGACAAACATGCTCTTTACCCGGGATGTATGTGTGATGTTGATCTGTAGTCCAGTGTCATGTGACAAACATGCTCTTTACCCGGGATGTATGTGTGATGTTGATCTGTAGTCCAGTGTCATGGGACAAACATGCTCTTTACCCGGGATGTATGTGTGATGTTGATCTGTAGTCCAGTGTCATGGGACAAACATGCTCTTTACCCGGGATGTATGTGTGATGTTGATCTGTAGTCCAGTGTCATGTGACAAACATGCTCTTTACCCGGGATGTATGTGTGATGTTGATCTGTAGTCCAGTGTCATGGGACAAACATGCTCTTTACCCGGGATGTATGTGTGATGTTGATCTGTAGTCCAGTGTCATGGGACAAACATGCTCTTTACCCGGGATGTATGTGTGATGTTGATCTGTAGTCCAGTGTCATGGGACAAACATGCTCTTTACCCGGGATGTATGTGTGATGTTGATCTGTAGTCCAGTGTCATGGGACAAACATGCTCTTTACCCGGGATGTATGTGTGATGTTGATCTGTAGTCCAGTGTCATGGGACAAACATGCTCTTTACCCGGGATGTATGTGTGATGTTGATCTGTAGTCCAGTGTCATGGGACAAACATGCTCTTTACCCGGGATGTATGTGTGATGTTGATCTGTAGTCCAGTGTCATGGGACAAACATGCTCTTTACCCGGGATGTATGTGTGATGTTGATCTGTAGTCCAGTGTCATGGGACAAACATGCTCTTTACCCGGGATGTATGTGTGATGTTGATCTGTAGTCCAGTGTCATGGGACAAACATGCTCTTTACCCGGGATGTATGTGTGATGTTGATCTGTAGTCCAGTGTCATGGGACAACACATGCTCTTTACCCGGGATGTATGTGTGATGTTGATCTGTAGTCCAGTGTCATGGGACAAACATGCTCTTTACCCGCCGGGCATGTATGTGTGATGTTGATCTGTAGTCCAGTGTCATGGGACAAACATGCTCTTTACCCGGGATGTATGTGTGATGTTGATCTGTAGTCCAGTGTCATGGGACAAACATGCTCTTTACCCGGGATGTATGTGTGATGTTGATCTGTAGTCCAGTGTCATGGGACAAACATGCTCTTTACCCGGGATGTATGTGTGATGTTGATCTGTAGTCCAGTGTCATGGGACAAACATGCTCTTTACCCGGGATGTATGTGTGATGTTGATCTGTAGTCCAGTGTCATGGGACAAACATGCTCTTTACCCGGGATGTATGTGTGATGTTGATCTGTAGTCCAGTGTCATGGGACAAACATGCTCTTTACCCGGGATGTATGTGTGATGTTGATCTGTAGTCCAGTGTCATGGGACAAACATGCTCTTTACCCGGGATGTATGTGTGATGTTGATCTGTAGTCCAGTGTCATGGGACAACACATGCTCTTTACCCGGGATGTATGTGTGATGTTGATCTGTAGTCCAGTGTCATGGGACAACACATGCTCTTTACCCGGGATGTATGTGTGATGTTGATCTGTAGTCCAGTGTCATGGGACAAACATGCTCTTTACCCGGGCATGTATGTGTGATGTTGATCTGTAGTCCAGTGTCATGGGACAAACATGCTCTTTACCCGGGATGTATGTGTGATGTTGATCTGTAGTCCAGTGTCATGGGACAACACATGCTCTTTACCCGGGATGTATGTGTGATGTTGATCTGTAGTCCAGTGTCATGGGACAAACATGCTCTTTACCCGGGCATGTATGTGTGATGTTGATCTGTAGTCCAGTGTCATGGGACAAACATGCTCTTTACCCGGGATGTATGTGTGATGTTGATCTGTAGTCCAGTGTCATGGGACAAACATGCTCTTTACCCGGGATGTATGTGTGATGTTGATCTGTAGTCCAGTGTCATGGGACAACACATGCTCTTTACCCGGGATGTATGTGTGATGTTGATCTGTAGTCCAGTGTCATGGGACAAACATGCTCTTTACCCGGGCATGTATGTGTGATGTTGATCTGTAGTCCAGTGTCATGGGACAAACATGCTCTTTACCCGGGATGTATGTGTGATGTTGATCTGTAGTCCAGTGTCATGGGACAAACATGCTCTTTACCCGGGATGTATGTGTGATGTTGATCTGTAGTCCAGTGTCATGGGACAAACATGCTCTTTACCCGGGATGTATGTGTGATGTTGATCTGTAGTCCAGTGTCATGGGACAAACATGCTCTTTACCCGGGATGTATGTGTGATGTTGATCTGTAGTCCAGTGTCATGGGACAAACATGCTCTTTACCCGGGATGTATGTGTGATGTTGATCTGTAGTCCAGTGTCATGGGACAAACATGCTCTTTACCCGGGATGTATGTGTGATGTTGATCTGTAGTCCAGTGTCATGGGACAAACATGCTCTTTACCCGGGATGTATGTGTGATGTTGATCTGTAGTCCAGTGTCATGGGACAAACATGCTCTTTACCCGGGATGTATGTGTGATGTTGATCTGTAGTCCAGTGTCATGGGACAAACATGCTCTTTACCCGGGATGTATGTGTGATGTTGATCTGTAGTCCAGTGTCATGGGACAAACATGCTCTTTACCCGGGATGTATGTGTGATGTTGATCTGTAGTCCAGTGTCATGGGACAAACATGCTCTTTACCCGGGATGTATGTGTGATGTTGATCTGTAGTCCAGTGTCATGGGACAAACATGCTCTTTACCCGGGATGTATGTGTGATGTTGATCTGTAGTCCAGTGTCATGGGACAAACATGCTCTTTACCCGCCGGGCATGATGGTAATCTCTCATCACAGTTAGGTATACACAGAAACATGGGTTAATGGCTCGAACAGGGAGAACCGCCAACGTGCTGTGCGTTTTCAGTGCAGTGGTCACCTAGCAATGGCATGTATGTGGAAAGATTAGCCCGTGCACACATGGATAGTTTCAAGGTTGACACGGGGTGGGTGGGTGGAGTGAGGATCAGATATTAATGTACTGTAAGTCAACACATATTCGGCGCATATTTATTTTCGGCTATTTTCGGCCTGGTCATGTTTGGCCAAAATTTTGTTTTGCAAGGTTCAGTGTGACAGTGTATACAGGCGGCAGCAGTACAGGTGGAACATTTGATGCGGCCGAAAAGGATTTTAGCCCTGGGAGGCCGACACGTTTGAATGGGCAGAAAATTTGTAGACTTATAGTACATGCTTCCCTTGCCATCATGACATCATCACCGGGTTCCAATATGTATTACTGTATAGCAGGAAATTTTCGGACGGAAATATTTTCGGACAAAGCCGATTTTCGACCTTTCGTACGGATTTTATTTTCGTACAGTGCTTTATGCTAAATGCACGTGTTTGCATGCGACGCGCATGTACATGTATAGTGTACATAACAGCAAATTTTAGTACGGAATTAATTTTAGTACAAAAGAGGCTGTGTACGAAATCGTACGAAAATAAATTCCGTCCGAAAATTTCCTGCTATACAGTATATTATTGTGTGCATTGTCCTCACCTCCCCCCCCCCCCCCCCCCCCCCAAGTATCACCCATTTCATTTTCAAGGCTTCATTCCAACATACTTTCGTGACTCAGGATGGCAAGCAGCTTTACACCGGCCATGACCACCTTCTCGTTGCGAACTAGTCTTCGTATAGCATTCACTGCCAGCTTTGCTGCGCCAGAGAGGACCACGTCTAGGCGAAAAAGGCTGGAGCAGGCAAGGTTGTACAGCAACATACATCCCATTGTTTGCAGATTCTCGATGAGGGGTTGGCGAAACAACACAGCCTGTACAGTAGCTATCACATTGCACTGTACAAGAATCGGTGATGTTTTACCTAAAAACAACAGAAAAAGACAAACAAACAAAAAACAGTCTATTCGAGCGCAGGATACATTAGATAATACACATATGGGCATACACAGAAACAGGACGCACAAAATGTGCTGTGGACCAGGATCGAGCGATACGACAAGGTTTTTGTAGGAGTAACTTACGCAAGACGAGCAGCAAGCAGACTTGAATTGAGGCTTGCTTCACACATAGCAAATGACGCCAATATCAGAATGTTGGCTATGCAGCAGCCAGAATAAACACCTACTCAACATGCAGCAGTTTATTTCAAGCGGCAGGGAAGAGGTAGTAGTTGAATCTCCCTGCCATATGCATGTAGTTTGACTGTATTTCATGAGGTCTAGGACCTTTATCTATGGCAACACACGAGCTAGCCCACCAACAACTGAAGGCAGCAGCAGCAGCAATGGTGGTGCTAGCAGCAGCAACAGCAACAGCAACATCAGCAGTACTGAGTACGAGCACACTGTGGCGCAGTAAACTCACTTGTGACAAGGTTGGCTAGAGCCCAGCACCCAGCCTCCTGCACCGATGCTGAATCCCGAAGGCCATTCATTCTAACGATGATGTTGTTGACAAGCTTTGTTGTACACAGCTTGTTACGCAGGTCATCTTCTTCCGCATAATCACAGTAAGGACAGTAAGGACAGTAAGGACAGTAAGGACAGTAAGGACAGTAAGGACAGTAAGGACAGTAAGGACAGTAAGGACAGTAAGGACAGTAAGGACAGTAAGGACAGTAAGGAGGAGAAGAGAGGCGAAAATTCAAGAAGCCAATCATCAATCGGAATATCAAACAGCAAACATTTCTTTGTAACTGAAAAAGAAGAAGGAACGTTCGCACAATAGCGGCATTACCACCAGCTATACAGTTGTGTTGAGAAACATGTGAACCAGCTTAGGAATTTTACTTGTGGCAGGCCACCACTATGCCTGATCTTTGCAACTGCAGTCAGTAACTGGACTTGTGTGGGATGACATATTCTTTCAAGAACAGTTTTTTTTCAAAAATCCCATGGGTCTCTTCGAAACAATGCCAGCCAGTAGATGTTGCTTGCAGAATACCCTAAGCACACTGAATGTTCCAACTTGCAAATTGCAAAGTAAGGTAACATGTATGGTGCTGGGATCTACAGGGATATAGGAACAGACACAACTTGAAACATATTTCATCAGTTCTTTTCTACTAACCGGTTGCTGCAAACGTGGCGATGGAGATCAGTGCTGTGGAGATGACATCATCAGCTTTGGGGAAGTTTTCCAAGGCAACGGGCACTTCGTCCAGTGCACCACTGTTCAGAAGATTTTCACGATTGGCATCTGATGCACACATATGACAATCAAAAGTGCACCACAATACCTTGGAATGTTGGGTATCCAACCCTGCCTGGGGTCAGTGGCTAGTCCCAGTAACTTTCAGCAAGATACCCAGGCCCCCGCACAGTGCATACCTACAGATCACTTTACGCATGATCAGGGCCAATGGCACTGCCAATCTCCCAATGCTGTCCCATGATGATATGTTCTGTTTGAACTCTAAGCAGAATCAAATCACTTGTACATGTCCCTGGTACTTCATGCATGGTCCTGGATTGAAGTGGAGTACACACCTTCACATCTGTAATGCGTATCGTCACCGTAAGTTTGTGTGCATGCTAATCATGCATGTTTGAAGTGAACAGGGTCTGAATCTTAGCTGTAGAGATTAACGTGCATGATGATTTATAGAAAAGAAAAAGGACCAAGGAACTACAAGTTACGCTTTAATATCCACTAACACCACCATCCATCCATTATCCATCCAAGTGCATAAAGATTGTTTTGCATTTTTCGCTGTTCCAAGCCCCAATCCCCATTTGTAGGCACTTCAGTCACATGACCAGACCTGTCAAAAAGTGCTAAGGTGAGAGTGCGTACTTGCGTGGCACCAGCTGAGTACCCCAGTAAAACTGGGGTATATACTAGCTACGCTACGTCGTACTGCCTAATGCCTGGACCGGTTCATCGTGATGCTATCGACGTTCAGTTTTTAGTAGAGCCCACATACGTCGTAGTGCGTACATTTTCACGAGTTGCGTGCCATGTGAACTTCCAGGGGAGGGTTTTTCAGGCGGAACGGTTGTTTGCTCGCGTTTGAAATGCTGCTTATCGTCTTCAGCGTCGTCTTTCCATTCGAGAACAGTTGAGCTCTTGTTCACCAGGGTTTGCGCATGGCTGCGCAAAGAGAAATAATGGACGAAAGTAGTGAGGAGCAGGATGCGCCTGAGGTGGGAAAGAAGATCCCTACCTGGGCGAATTCTGCAAGCGTGCCGAACTCCCCAAGGAATTGTTGCTGGAACACGTAGCTAATTTGTGGATCCAGAAGCCAAAGTGCGACCCATCTTCTGCTATTGACAGAGACAAAGTTCATCGTGTGAACGGATTATTGCTGGAGCTGATTTCCTTGCAACAGACAGAAAAAATTTAGATGAGATTCTGCACTCGTTGCTGCTGAAAAATTTCCGGAGGAAGGACATACTATTTCCCCTAAAGGTTTGCGCGGCCGGCTCCAACAATTGAAGGATTCACGAGTCAAACTGCAAAAGCCCAAGAAACGGAGCCCAGAAGATTTCTTGGATTTATTAAGTACGCCCTTCAGTTTAAAGTCAGGCTCCACCAGCGCGGATGAAGGTGATGTTTCTTCACCGGCACCACCCTCATCACCATCAGCACAGTCAATGAGACCAGCCTCTGTAGCTGTAAGCAGCTCCTCAGCTCCGAGCCAGCTCTGCAGTGACCTGGCTGACTCTGCAGTGAGTGTTGCCCTTGCTGCAGAAGGAGGAGAGCTGTCGAAAAAGCTAGAAAAGAAAGATGACCAGCTTGAACGGTACAGGGCAACCTCCGCAACACACGCAAAGCATTGCAACGCCAAAGTGACAAGACCGGTGAGGCGGAAGAGCAAGCAGATACTGGTGTGCAGGAGACCAAGGATTATTATCAAAAACTTCTGAACAGCCACCATCAACGGGAGCACCAGCTTAAAAAGGAAGCTGGAGCCGGACCGTGCAAGGTGCTGTGGATGGGCTGCAGGAGGAAGTAGCGTCGTTGCAGAGCCGTTTGCTTCCTGTAGAAGCTGAGAATGCTGCCCTGTGGTCGCATGCTGATGCTTTCCAAGCAGAGCCATGCAGTGGTGAAGTAATACCTACATTGTTGGACGGCAAGTACTTGCCAGAGGTACACCAGTGCTGCTTGGAGGTACTAGCATGCAATGTTGGTATCTTCAATGTATCGAAGGTCATAGACAGTGTGCTAGCTCTAGTGGGCAAGAAAGCTGATCATCTGCCATGGCATGGGTTGCTCTCACAAATGTGTGTGGAGCTCAGTGAAAGGCTTGGCCCTTTAGCTTGCCGATGAACTAGCTGAAGAGGAAGACATGACTCTTGTGTAGCGACGGGACAAGCAAGCAAGGCAACAAGTACGGAGCCCACCAAATCTCCACCAGCACACAGCGTGTGTACAGCTTGGGCATGGTGGACATGCAGCGTGGAACTGCCAGTCACACTTTAGAAATGCTGAAAGCTGTCTTGGATTATATTTCGAAGATTTCAGCTGCAGAAGCAGAAGGCGAGGCTGGTGCCGGCGACCACATTATCGCGTATATCAAGAATGCGATGAGCAACCGGACTACGGTGTTGTGCAGAAGACATTCAATGGTCAATGGTCTGGTGGAAGACTACAGGAAAGAAGTGTTGCGGCCCCGTGTACACAGTGACTAGGATGATCTCTTTGAGGCTCAGCAGAAGGAAATTTCTAGCATGAACTTTTTTCTCCTGTGGTGTCCAGCCTCTCTCCACTACATTGTTGGGCTGGCGGACCAAGCAGACTCAATTTTGAAGAAATGGGAGGGCACACACTTCGGTGAGACAAAGGTGGGAGCTGCACAGCTACCTGGTGTCTGGGAGACCTCCCACAGCTCCACCAACCGTCTCATATATAGTGCCACAAAGGCCTTCGAGGAGCATGGAGACGAGGCTGCCGGATGCATTGACGATTTCCGAGCATTTTTGCGTGATGCAGGCATCAAAGCTCCACTTCGTGAGTACCGTGGCAACCGGAACTACAGCGCTGGCAACTGAAATCCGACTCCCTTGGCGGCGCGCCGCGCCGCCAAGGGAGTCGGATTTCAGTTGCCAGTGCTGTATGTCCTGTCCTTTTTAATGGAGCTCGCGTTGCATTTCTGCAGGAACTGATGCAACTTTTTCTGTCCGATGTCCACGGGGACACGAATCGCCTGCTCAAGGCAGTCCAAGACGATCTGTCCGTCCCGGAGCTGGTGGCAGCCTGCTGCGCCCTTGGCTTGATTTGCAAGCTCGTGATCTCTCCTCTGTAGGTAGCTTTGGAGGACGAGGACAAGACAATATTCGATATCAGCGTTATTTACACAAAGCTGGTGGCCAAGATGGCAAGATGGAGGAATGGGGCAGAGATGAGACATCTGTCCTGGAAGGCGCTGTACTGCCCTTTTCCAGCGCAGCAATTAATCGAACAGACGACATGCTGAACAAGCTGCCAGCGATCAGGTCACGTGCGAGGTGCTTCAAGTTATCTTCGCTGGTTTTGCAATTTACTGTTCGCGACTCCTCAGTGACCACCTTGCGGTTTGTTGTTTTCATGAAGCTTCCAGTGAGCTACTTGCGCAAACAGCATCTGTCCGAAAGACTAGGTACATACCTGTACACATGGTCATGGGAACCGCTGCTATGTGTGTAATACTACGACTCGTGCAGCGGCATTTTTTGGATTTTTCTTAATTTGTTCCTAACCAATACATAACTGAGTGCCAGAAGAATGTCTTTTATAGCTGTTAGTGCCCGGGAAAATGAATGGTTTTGGCCTTATGCAATTGCCTATCTTCAACCCTTCATATCTCACTGGTATCATTGTGGATTTCAATAAAATGTTGTCTGTGACCTTGTGATATCCACCTCTGTCGATTGTCGATGATAAACTTGGAAAAAGACCGATTTGAAAAAATCGGGTGAAGTGCCTACCATTTGCCCACTGTGTTCTAGGTATTAGACCTGCATCAAGTTATGTTACACTGAAATGCATATGACCTGGCATGCTTACCACTGTGGTACATGTTGGACAAAGCTTTGATAGCTTCTTTCATGACCATGGGCGATGAGGACCACTGGTTGATGGCATGCAGTACAGCAGCAAGACCAAAAGACTTCATTTCTTCTTGATTGATTCCAGCTATAACATAATGAGACATGCAGGCACCACAGATTTTTAATCGGAAAGCCGGACTGCAATACAATGCGTGACGAATACACGTCACAATAATCTGAACTCTCCGCATTCTCAATGTTTGTATCCAAGACACATGTGTACAGACATACGTGGTGTATTGGCAATCAAGCTTACACAGTCATGTAACTTGGCACATGCAGTGGAACTCACTTAGTACCTACTCTGATTAGACCGATGTACTCTTGTTGCTTAGTACGGAAATTGTCCGGAGCATGCACGGGTGGAGTGCGGATTCATAGAGACTGGTCCGGAGCATGCACGGGACGGGGTGGAGTGATTCCTACAGACTGGTATGTTGGCGGATAAGAAGTACTTGACAAGTACCTTGGATACAAGTACCTTGGATACAAAGACTTCAAAGTACACCCTCCTGCTACCCATGGGATGGGGGGGGGGGGGGGGGGGGGAATCAACAGTGCTTTACGATACTACTGTCAGTGTGTGATTAGTGTTTTAACCCCTGGCATAGCCAATACATGACATTGTAATCCATTCCAACTGACCAATTGCTTTCAGCATGTATCTAGTAGCGAACCAGTTCAGTATAAACGACCCTGGATACACCACGGTTACATACCGGGTATGGATATCTTACAGTACGTATTTTTGACGACCCTCTTGCATTATACTACACTACCACCTCAGCACAGCTGTCTGTACAGTAAAGTAAAAGGGAGGTGTGTAACACCGAGGTTTCACAGGACATGGTGCCTGCAGTGGCTTACGATTGCAGCACATGTTGGCCAGTGCCCAGCAGCCAGCCGACTGAATAACCTCGCAAGACAGGTGAACACGCATGCAGTCCACCACCAACGACACAACATCTACGTACTTGCGCAGCTGCTCGTCGTGTCGGCCTGCAAACATCGCACAGTACACATGCACCAGTACACACACACACACACACACACACACACACACACACACACACACACACACACACACACACACACACACACACACACACATACACACACACACACACACACACACACACATACACACACACACACACACATACACACATATGTACAAACACGCACACACACACACACACACACACACACACACAAGCACACACACACACACACATACACACACAAGCACACGCTCACACACACACACACACACGCAAATACATAATATGTACTTGGATTATACATTTAGGGGCCTTCCGTAAATACCGATATTTATTGAGAAACGAAAACTAGTCGTTTCTCTTCAACCCCCCCCCCCCCCTCCATGAGAAACGAACACATACAAATGGTACATAGTATCGATACTTTTGATCTTTTTTCTGGATATGCTCACGCGTGCAAAATGGACATCGATATTTTTCGAGAAACGAACAGGCGCTCAACCCCCTCCCCCTAAACGACTAGTTTTCGTTTCTAAATAAATATCTATATTTACGGATCGCCCCTTACTCAAATACACGCAACAGCAATGACACAACATCTCGGCAGTACTGCCAATTAGAGTACAGCCAACTTCATGCATTAAGATTTCAGGTAGAACAACTCGCATATAACAACACAATCTTCAGATCTACCAACAACTAGACTACATAACTTCAGCACCACAAATAACGACAACTCGCAAATAACAACGCTTTCCCCATGCAACATCAAGGGCCGTTGTTAAAAAAGTTGACTGTACCGTACATGCACTCTACATGAAATCTTCTACAAAATTTAAATTTTAATTTAAAACGGAAAGTGTGGCGACACAGGAATGGATGGTCTGGAGTGTCATGGAGTAGGGTATGTCCTGACTTATAAGGAAAGTACTTTGAAGTACTTGACTTCAGCACACACAGTCATCATACATTCCGATTGGATAACATTACGATCCCTGCGATGCCGAGAAAGGAATGGTACGACATGGAGATTCTGTACTCATTCCTTACTCAGGGCGTTGCATAGCATAGCTCAAATATAACTGCTGGTAGACTGTTCTTGGGTAAAAACAGCTCGCAGAGTGGATTGGACATAGGACATGTGATGACATCATAGTGGGCCCATTACAGTGAACTCGTATTACATCATTGATACCAGCAGTCACATTGCATGTATATCTTACCTGGTACTGTCATAACCGCCAGACACTGAGCGCCATTGAATGCCAGTTCTTCATTCTTGTTGTGGTGCATGCGCATGGCTTCAATGACCTGATCCAGACCGTCCATGCTGTCCAGCTCCATGTGGTTGTTGGTGTGGTTACGACACAACCCCATCACCAAAAGACAGCCAGTTGACTGGACCTTTTCTATAAGTGTGTGGTTCTTCATGAACGTGATCACATTGGATACACAACGGGCATCATGCGCAATGTCTTTTGTTGGTGCCCCTGTACAGTCCATGGTGGTTGGGAAAAGCAAGAGAGAGAGAGAGAGAGAGAGAGAGAGAGAGAGAGAGAGAGAGAGAGAGAGAGAGAGAGAGAGAGAGAGAGAGAGAGAGAGAGAGAGAGAGAGAGAGAGAGAGAGAGAGAGAGAGAGAGAGAGAGAGAGAGAGAGAGAGAGAGAGAGAGAGAGAGAGAGAGAGAGAGAGAGAGAGAGAGAGAGAGAGAGAGAGAGAGAGAGAGAGGGAGAGGCAGAGACAGAGACAGAGACAGACCGAGTGAGAGAGAGAGAGACAGACAGAGACATAGTGCGTGATCAACAATACCGTTACTGAATAAAAGCAATAACAACCGTCAACCGTGGCAAGAGAGGCAGTAACATAAAAATAATATGAACAACTATTAATCATGAAAATAAAGGCTCTATGGTTGGCGTGAGACTCAACGAGACTAGATTTTCCGCAGCCGTAGGAACACCACCAGCCTTTTAGCTGCAAGTGCCTTTCGTAGTAGTTAACAAACAACAGAAGAATGTATTCGAAATGCACACAAGAAGGAAAAGAAAAATGCGACTTGGACAGCAAAGGAACCTCCAGATCACAGTCTATAGAGAAACAGTGGGAAGTACTGTTCATGGGACGTCTATAGCACTTACACGTACAAAAGTCAAAAAGATTCAGGAAACACATAATATGGATACGGGGTACCATACAAATCCAGTATATGCCCTATAGTGTGGGGCAAAAGCAGAGTTTGAACATCAATGATCCCCCCCCCTGCTTTGAAAGTCATCTCAAATGTACAAGCACCAGGACACGTTGACATACATGTACACTTAGGAAAAAAAGAAAAAGACAACAAGAAACTAGCCCTCAAATTTCACAGATTACGGAATGATTCACCTCTCTAAATGCAAGTGTACCCAAGGGTACCTTTACCACACTTGAATGCTTTCCAAGTACAATACCCTGGGCATGGAATGATTCACCCGAGTATTCCGGCACTTACATGTTTCAGCTAACCAGTGCAGGCGTAGACATGATCTCTGCCACAACTCGCCTTGATCCTGACCGACTGCATACAGCATTGTCTGAATGCTCTTCTTCACATCCATGATTTTCTGCTGATCAACAGGTTTAGCCACGACCGGTTTGGGTCCTGGTGTCACCTGACTTGGCTGCCGTGCACTTCTATCCACCACAGCGTGTGGGTCGTATCTATAATGCTGCTGTTGCTGCTGCTGCTGCTGCTGCCGCAGTTGTAGCTCCGTTGACGGACTGTCGCCAACTTGGCCATTGCGGGAGGATTGATCAGCGCTAGCTCCATTTGAACGAGGTGCGTGTGCTCTTCCAGCTATACTGAGACGTACACCTAGTTCCGTGTCAGCTCCATTGGCTGTCAACTCACTTTCATCATCTGTTACCATACATTAACCAAGATAAGGCAGAACGGTCTTGTTAGGAAAATTAATTCGACAACACAACCTGCAATGGCACAGTAACATTGAATAACAATGCGCAGGTTGCAATTTGCCATTGTGTCATTCAATAAAACCATGACATATAACTTCTATGCAAAGGATAGGATCAGTTTTGAGCAATCTGCCAACACACTCCTGGAAATTATCCTGACTTTGAGCCAAAACAAAATAGCCAACTTTCCAGGAGACCAGACACTTGTAATGGCCAGAAAAACAATGAACTTCAAACACTTCAGCAAAAGACTCTACTCATTTCGCGCGTTCTCTTCAAGTGAATTACAAGCAACCCCCAATAACAATGCAAAAAGAGAATATAAATCATCGCAACAGTATTAATCATTGCACTACGTGATATTTTTTTAATGGCGTGGAAAACATGAAGTGAATGGTAGAACACTAGGGAGAGATATCACAAGACAGTACTGTACATGTATAGTGCAGAACAAACACCAAACTGGGAGCACTACTACTGGTGCATCAAGGTGGCCATGAACAGCCTAGGCGATATTACATTTTCTTTTCTTACACAGCGCCGCTTGTGCGGTGTGAATGCATATACACGTAGCCTCCAACACCTTCAAAGGACTAAAGCTGTGTGCAAGCCGGAGTAGGTGGCAAAAGAGAGAAGTGACTATCAGAGCACCCGCGGGTATGACGAGAATTTACAACAAGGCGAGTAACAACACATGAGTCATACTCACGCTATAACGTTACAGATTGAACATTGACGTATGAGCTAGGTGCAGTTTGTATGTAACTTCATTCAACTCTTCGGGTGCTAACGCTGACACCCTTCCATGAGATGTTGCCTGTATCAGTCAAGGTGCCTAGTGTTTTCCCATGCCATTTATTGCAAAATAAAATTATCACATGTTGCCACTGGCTACCACAGTTGTGATGCTTTGTATTGTTTCTTTGCATTGGTACCTGGGGTTGCTTGTACTCGTACTCGTAGTTCACTTGAACAGAATGTATGAACACTGGTTCGAGAATCCAAGCGGATAAATGCTTGTGGTAGAGAGTTTGAAGCCCATCGTTTTTTCTGACCGCGGTAATTACCAAGTGGGCATAGTAGGTTGGTTTAAGACCAAGACCGAGAACACAAAGGACACCAGGCTCAAGTCCTGCTCGGAGGTGGAAAGAGTATCTGACCATGCTTCAACTCACAAGTAATTGGGAACTATTGACCTGCAGCAGGAGGGCAACATGGATGCAGCAAGCGAGTGTGATGTCAGTCTTTGGCCATTGTCTGCTTGACGTGGGCATAAACTAAGCTCAAAACTCACACCAGCAATGATCACTTTGCAAGGATCTTGCTCAAGCAAGGCCAGCGGTATCTTGTCCAAGTTTGTTTTGCTCGATGGAACCCGGCCACCTTTTGATCCAATCTGTTTCTCTGGAGTTCGCTAATTTTTCATATCAAATTTTCGTGTCGCAGAGGGTGCTCTAACTCCGTACAGCTGAGAGGTGACTCAAAACACACACTTATTTCTGCTAATTGCTGGCTTGCCATCTGTTGGTTTCGACGAAAGTACCGGCACGATACGTCTGGCATGTGCCTCCACCGGTTTCCCTTGCAAAAGCGTAGTTCATTGGCGAAAAGCAAGCTGTTTTTAGTTGGCACAGAGAAGAAGCAGCTGCGCTGTGAAAACCGCGGAAAACAGTGATGCCAGGAGTTTCAACATTTCTGCAAGGATTGGTAGTTTTCTGTGAATTCTTCTCCTCCGGCCATTCTCAGCTCTAAGCTGGCTCTTGATGAGCGAGTGAAGGTCTGTTTGACGCTGTGTCCGCTCGAAATCGGCCGTGGCAAAGTTGACTTTTGCATATGTAACGCAATTTGTATTTCGTGATGACACTCGAACACCAACTCGCGTGGTATGGGACTTCTGCTTATTGTAGACTCCCGAGATTTGGGATGCCCAGAGAACATACCACAGGGTCCCCTCGGTAAAATATTTGAGTCGAATACAATACGAGAACATGAAATTATAGGTGTATGCCTGTATGGGCTTAGGATACCTGTCCGGACTTTGAGCACCTGGCTCTACTGTGTGCAGATTGAATGTTGCCATTGGTTCGATATTTTCATCTTATTTCCAGAGTGCAGAAATACGGTGGAATACTTCACGCGGCTATTTATCAGCTACAGTAGTACTGCCAGGCGCCGAAGAACAAACAGACTAGGACTTCACCAAGCACTGCATACCATGGTGACTCCACAGCACATAGACTGAAGTATTTGAAAACAAGAACGTACTACTCTACAAGGCTAACCCTCCCTAGTTCTTCGGCACCCGACCGTACTGTACTGCTGATTTTTTCCACATCGTACATGATACTCGGCTATCTGGAAATGTCTTGGGCCAGCAACTCCCTCCCCCTCTTACCAACAGAAGCAACGTTTCCTTGGGCAGGAATATCTTGTGTTTGCCTGAATCTTTGTGATGATGGTTGGTCGATACGTTCAGGCAGGATGACGTCATACTCCGAATCCCATTCCAGACCCTGCTGTTGGCCAAGTTCTGCAGCGCCATGCTGCCTGCGAGAATGACGACCATGATGACCGCTAGTGTGATCGTCAATACCAGCCTGAATATGTGCGCGACTAGCGTCACTAGTGGCACCAGCTGACGATGGGTTCTTGTGACGTCCTGACGATTGTTGCAGTTCCGACATTGTCAACACGAAAGGGTTGTCAAGGGCGTCTTCTGCGTCTCTCTTTTGACGTCCCGCGATTTCCTTGTCTCTAGCGGCTACTTCAGCGGCTGCGCTACGCCGCAAGCGTTCAGCAAATCCATGAATATCGAAGTCAACAGGATCAAAGTTTGTTGTTACGTGAAGTTCAGGAACACCTGAAATGGACAATTCAGCTTCTTCTTTCGTCCATCCAATTTTTTTGGGGGCATCTCTTTCGCCTTTTACAGCTGGCGGTTTTCCTCTTCTGGCGCTAGCCATGTTGTAATCTACCGAACACAGATATACTAAGACGTCGCTTCACTCTCAGCAGCTTCTTTCTTCTAGTTAACAATAAGAGACATTAATTTTGTCTCCAACTCTCACAACATCCACAACAACCACATTTTGGTTCGACAACAATACTTATTTTTCATTCAACTAAAAATCTCTGCGACTTCAACGGTACATGTACCTGTACTGTACCTTCACCATGTTCACTGAGATGGCGACGTCACTGATTATGATTATGACTCTTTATGAGTGTTTTACGTGGCCGCATCATTCATGCGCTGGCCTTCAACTACACTGTACAATCATGTACTTCAAGTACATGTACGTGTGATGTTACTGATGTAGTTCAGTAGTGTCAGTAGGCGCTAGTACTAGGCCTAGCCTAGCCTAGGCTAGCCTAGCGCCTACACAATCAAGTCAATGTCATGCACGTCGTAGGCCTAGACTACAGTACAGTACAGTACAGTACAGTACAGTCATCAGTAGGCTAGCTACTGACTCTGTGCGTCGACCTAGCCTGGCCATACCGCAGTGCCAGTGCAGTAGTGGGTGATCCACATCATGAATGCTATTCGATATTCATGCAATCATGGTGTTACATGTAAAACGTGGAGTGGCGCCATGGCGTGCACTAGTGGGCAGGCCATGGTCGTTGTAACTACTGTACTAGAATTAGTAGAACTACTAAAAATACTTAGAAACTACTTCAGTACTTGTAATATGCCATCGGAGATGCTCTGGCTATATGGCAAGGACCCAAGGGATTGTGAAAACCAGCGTTTTTCACAAGTATTGTCACTCTCTTATTATCCACCTACACCTGCTTCACTACAATTGCCTGCTTCACTACAATTGCCCGCTTTGAGTGAGCAGAAACCATGGAAACCAGTCCTACCTTAGTCTTGCAGCAAACCATACCACCATGGCATACATGTATAAACCATGATAACATGTTTTATTATTGTAAGTCACACTACAAAACTGTGCATTGTCACAATGTGACACGGCTTTGCCACTCCATACAAACCACATAATCATTAGTTGAAGGCTACTACTAGCCGCCCTTAGGGCAGGTAAGAGATCCACTTCACGGCACAGAATTCGGAAGAGCAGCCAGTTACATGTAGTCAGCAGTGCCGTTTGCTGCCCAGCCTCATGAAGCTGAGGGACAAGCATTACTGAGCTTTCCGTCCATCAGATGATGGGTAAATTTACAGTATGGTCAATTGCACATGTACTGCACCGTGTGACCAGCTGGGCTTGTACGCACCTACGGAATACAGTAAAACCTGGTTTAAGCGAACACCCCACGGTGCAAGGAAAAGCAGTCGTTAAAGCCAGGTGGTCTTTAGAACCAGTTCCCACAGTGCCCATGTAGAACTGTCGGTACATGGAAAAACGGTCGTTAAGAGCAGGTGGTCGCTAAAACGAGAGGTCGCTTACACCAGCTTTTACTGTAGTGTAGTGTACATGTACATCTGTACAGTATGTGGCACAGGGCACTATATCTTTCTTTTTTGAAGTCAAAATAATCTTGAAGGCTGTCCCATAATCCAGTTACACTGTGCATGCATAGGTATTATGTACAATGTAGCTCTACTATATGCGCACACTCCTGGATGTGCAAGAACAACCAAGAAATAAAAATTGCAGTAAAAAATGCCGCACGTTTGACTGATTTTCATAGATCAAAGTTATAATAATCTAATCAGTAATCTCGCCTAAGCCCGCATGAGTACTGCCACTGAACCGTAGGGAACATGCCCTTGAATAATTTTAAACAAACATGACGAGGAGACCTAGCAAAGTCAGAATAAAATGTAATCAAGGTCTAGATGGATTGCATGAAGCTAAAATGTCTTTTGTTCATTGATAACTGCAAGAGCAGAGCTGGCACGTTTGTTGTCTGGATCAAGCTGCACAGCTGCCGTGTAGTGCTTCTTGGCCTCTGGAAAGAGCTTGCGTATTTCCATTACCCTCCCAAGCCAATACCGAAGTGCAGAGTTCTGCGGCAAGTGTGAAATGGCTGTCCGTGCGGCTACCTCAGCTTCTTGTATTTTACCCTGGGTAAGAAAGTGGGAAATGAACACCTTTAATTTTGAAAATTGTCTACTTCTGATCGTCCTGATAAGCTGATTGTGTCTACACTCTGCCCCGTGATGTGATGTCACACAGTGTGACACACCAGGTCTGTAGAAGTGGGCAACATTGTAGGTCCGGCCGTGTGTGTGTGTGTACTCGTGTGTGTGCGTGCGTGCGTGTGTGTGTGTGTGTGTGTGTGTGTGTGTGTATGTACTCGTGTGTACTTGTGTGTGTGTGGGGGGGGGGGGGGGGCTTCACCCATCATCATTTAAGACTGAGCAGTCTAACAAAATCTGTGCTTCGAGAGCACTGCATTATAAAAACTATTTAATAGAGCTCTGCTGGTCCAAATATCACCAAAGATACCAGATTTCAACCTTCAAGTTAAAATCAGTGAAGGATCGTCACCGTAACTATTTCTAGTTAGTGATATGCAGGCACGCCATGGAGTAATTCAGGCTACTTTACCGACACTATTGCGTGTTCACTTACATTTGTTAATAGCAGCTGAGTTAGGGAGAGCCATGGATCTACTGAAGTTGGCGTATACTTGAGACCAGAGCGCAATGCTTCCTCGGCCTACAAAGGTGGATATCACAATGTACAAGAAATTACCTTAGTGCTGGTGGATGCAACATAAAAAGACAGAGCAGGGCATCCACTTGTATAGTTTTTAGACCCTGGTTTGTGACAATCCATTTCCCCAACTTTGGACTTCATTTCAAGACAGAATTACTACCCGGAAAATGTACCAGTGTTAGGAACGCTGGCTGTCAGACACTATCCTGTCAAAAAAGCAATGCATCGCAACGAAATATAGGAACCAGTGTTCATGAAATAACTTACCCGTTTGGCACGCTTGCCCTTAGACCATGTCAATTCACTGCCCGTGCGTGACCGGTTCTTAGACAAAACATCTCCCATTGCAAGCCAGCTATCAGAGTAAGTGGGGTACAGCTTCACACACATATTCCAGTACTCTACAGCACCCTGTCATTGAAAACACAAGAACAGTGAAAGCTGAGACAGTCACCATCTTTCAACTTGAGTAACCTGACATAATTACGGAGATCAACAGCACATCAACATGCAGGGTACAACTTCCACAAAATGGTATGAAGTCTGCTATTCCATGGCCAAGTCATACAACACTCCCATGCGCAGTTTGAAAATTCGGAACAGGTTTTACATCCGTAGATTGAGTGGTTGAATAGAAGGTGGCTACTGGTACTTAACGATCATACCGTATAGTTCTTCAACTCTTTGCAGCATATGCCCGAATTGTGTAGCAAGGTTGGGTTGCCTGGCTGCTTTATCAGTGCCTTCTCGTAATGGTCCAATGCCTCTGACCAGCGAAACTGCATCTTGCACAAGTGACCATAGTTGGTATGTGCATTGCCACTCTCTGGATTGATTGACAAAGCTTTCCTGTAGGCAGCCTCAGCCTCTTTTGCACGATCTGAAAAGTATCAAAAATACGGCAGTTGGGAGAGGAATGCAATCCCAGGAATCCTTTGCAGGATTCAAATTCAAAGCTATCATGCAACATTGCACATAACCATTCTCCACGAAACACAGCGATAGTAGGCTTTCGGCAGTGGCCCTACCTACATTGACCTACATTGAGTATGATCATCAGTCACTGGGTGAGCCTTACCATAGTGAGTGGTGGGGCCAGTGAAGCTACCCTTGTCGCATGTCACGCTGCTATGTAGACGGCTTAATCAGCGGACTTAGTGGCGAGAGAGCAGTATTTCCTGATATTGCTTCCTAAGCTCAAGTGTGCCAGTATAGAATATTGGTGTCATGACCCGGACTCGACTCGTCGTGAAAGCGACCACGCAATGAGATTCAGCAGCCAAAAGCTGGGCTCCGAAATATTCTAGAGTTCTGTAAGAACCATGATTAGTCCTACGAAGGATTTGGCACTTTCGTTAGTTGAGCAATCATGGCTTACAACTCGTGGCCTCGAGTCACAAGTGTTGTCGTACGGCGGCTACACCTTCAGTACAAGTCATCAGCATTGTACTCACTACACTGTTGAGCTTGAGGGGACCCTGCTTAGGCGGTGTTTACATGAGGCGTTTCAACCCGGGTTGAGTTCGACCCGGGTCAGATTTCAACCCGCCATGTGCATAAAATGAATGGCGCGTTTACATGACGCATTGCGCTTGACCCGGGTTGAAATTTCGCCCCGGGTTGATTTCAACCCTCCCCCCAAGGGGAGGGTTGAAATCAACCCGGGTCAACAAAATCGTACAAACGTACTTCTGTGCGTATCTCGCGCCAGGTTTGAACGGCACTGCAGATGCAAATTTCGCGCGACCGGATTCACGTGACCATACAGGAATGTAGAAGTGGACTTTTGGCGGCATATCAGTATTTGACCCGGGTCAACTGACTTCATGTAAACGCTCACCTCTTTCGTCTATCGTACAGACTTTCAACCCGGGCTGAACTCGACCCGGGTTGAAATTTCTCATGTAAACACAGCCTTAGTCCTGCAAGGGAGCTGATACCTTTGTTGAGCAAGCAAGGCCCCTCTTCTCGCGTCGTACGACGTAAAGGGTCCTGCAAGTGCTTCGCGCACTGCGGACTCCGTTATCCCTTTTTGGGAGAGGTCACGGCTTGACCGTGAAGCACCCTACGGGGTAATGAGAGGGAAGAGCCTACGGGCAGGAGATGAAGGGTGACCAACGACCAAGGCAGCGTACGGAGGCGGCGTGCTCTAGCTGCAGCAACTTCCGACAGCATACTCCAGGCCCCGTCGCACGAAGAGCCTCGGAGTCCTTTCATGTAATGTGGGTGAGCGAGCTCCCCGTATTGATTGATCATTCTTTGTACTATATTCTAGTTTGGCTGATTGCACATATTGCACCACTGTTTGTACGGTAATATAGAAATAATCCTTACGCATTCTTGCCACTGTATACTTTTGATCACATAATGTAGCATATATAAGGAGCTGTTTTGCTAACATTCATCCTCGATTCTCGGGGAGCTCACTACTCCTCTCGATTCTGAGAGAGTCACTCCGACTCTCTCCTGCTTTGGTCTTTTGACTCTACACACTTGATCTTTCGATCTAGTACTGCAATGGTTCAAATAAACACTATTCAAGTGGAATTAGAAACCTGTCGTTCTATGTGAGCTAGCAACTTGGATGGCGACTATCATGATTGGTCGTCTACCTGGGTAGCCACTAGACTGATCTAAGCCAAGTCACAAACCCGCCAAGCGCGGCCATGACATTGGCATGGCCAACAAGGAGGTTTTAAAACGTTCAAATGGCAGTAAAGTAAGAAGGGCAAACTAGGAGGTCGAATGTTAGGATGGGATGAATGGAATATTCAAATATCTGTGTCGTGGAGATGGATGCCTGAGTGTACCACCCTGGGTCTTACGTTTAATATTCCACACACATCCGGACCAATGAACCTACCCATTTTGAGTATGACGAGACCAGTGAACCTACCCACATTGAGTATCTGGACCAGTGAACCTACCCATATTGAGTATGACGAGACCAGTGAACCTACCCATATTGAGAATCCGGACAAGTGAACCTACCCATATTGAATATCCGGACCAGTGAACCTACCCATATTGAGTATGACGAGACCAGTGAACCTACCCATATTGAATATCCGGACCAGGGAACCTACCCATATTGAGTATCACGAGAGTCGGTCACGCGACCAGTGAACCTACCCATATTGAGTTTCCGGACCAGTGAACCTACCCATATTGAGTATGACCAGACCAAGATTAGTCCAGGCAGACGTGTAGTTAGGTCGGAGGCGAATTGCTTCACGAAAGTGTAGCTCACAAGCACGCTGACCCTGCAGAATACGTCATGCAGTCAGTCATACAATGCTCCCATCATGAGTAGGTGGCATATCCACTGCAGGAAATGGCAGACGGTATTCCTACTTAGCCCATCCAAATTGTGGTGTGTCGGTGTGTCCAGGATACTAGCTTGGCAAAGCCTGGCTGCTCCAAACGCTGGAGCTCACTCTCCCTCCCGACTGACATAAAAAACACTTGAATGTTTCGCCAAGTCAAGAAGTCGTAGCATCCTATTACTGAGTTATGAAGGTTGGGACCAGCACATACAGAAATCAGTGACTGGGTTGATGATAATGCCCCAGTGGTAATTGGACGCTCTTATCTTGAGTCTGAAGGCGGCAACTCGCAGGTAGTAGTATCCCCTATTTTGCATCTGGGCAAATACGGAGCTGCACACAAAACTAGGGGGTTTATCCAAAATAGTATGAACATTACAACTCGGATGTTGAGCCAACAATAGGGAACATTAGGATACCAGACTCTTGTTATAACATTGAATGGTCCTATAGCCGAAGCAACAGGTGTGTCAGTATAGATTTCTGCTATCCTACACAGATGATCCCAGTACCTGTTGTGCCAAGTCGTTGCCAATGCTGAAGTGAATCTTGGCATTCGCAGGATTGACCTTGACTCCTGCTTTTCCCAACACAGCCATATCATACCACTGTGTATTCCTATGCAATGTCTTGCATGTCATGCTGACAATCACAGCAATCAGACCACAGTGAAGCAAGCATCTGATGATAGTACCCTTGCCAGTGTCCTGAACACAGTAAAGAGCGCAGCGTACACAGAAAGAATGGAGAAGACGACAGACAATTAACACACAGTCATAAAAAAAGACTCATAATAACACTGTGAAACGATCACAAACAAGATTTCATGCAACACAAATACCGCAAATGAGAGCAATGGTGACAACGACAGTCACGAAGACATACACGATGATGACTACAACTACGACAACACAGCAACAACATCAGCGGCCATAGCAATAGCAGCCACAGCAACAGCCACAGCAACAGCAACAGCAGCTGCCACAGCAGCAGCCACAGCAACAGCAGCTGCCACAGCAGCAGCCACAGCAACAGCAGCACTGAGCCACAGCAGCAACAACAATGTTCTTCTCCCTGCCAAGCCGTGATGAAGCTACCCTCTTCAGTGATACTGTACCAACACTGGGAAAGTCCTAGGTACAGCTCAAGGAAGCTTTCTATACAAGTTTTAAAACACAGTAAAGAGAGAGGGGAAGCTGTGTTGCGACTCAAAATTTCACATTAAATCAAGATCACCAGGCAAATGGTGGTCCACAACAAGCAGCCTGAACATAATGGGAGCGAGGTGAGGAGGGGAAAGCAATAGCACAAAACTTGAGGAGCAGGTGATAAGCCTGTGGACTGGGAGCCACACAGCAGCAGTTCTGGCACGAAGGTGGCATACGTCATGCACAGGAAAAAACTCAGGGCTGATGGGCTTAAGCACTAAAACACACACAGACGACAAGCGAAAACAAATACTGAAGGAGACGGGTAGCATGATTATAAAGCTACATTCACGCGACCTTGCAGACAACGTTACAAAGGTAAAACTTGTTTTTAACGACACTTAGGTAAGAGTTCTGACCTCTTGCTAAGGGAGCGGGTTTTACTGGCCCAGGTAACCTCCTGCTTCTCAGCCGGAAAGACATTGCAGCACTTTGACATGTTGGAATATGGTGCCGATGTTCTCTCGCTGGCCACTCAATGCTGTATGGCTGGTTTTCACCCTTCAGTCTCCAAAGATGTCCATTTGATAGCCATGTTTTGTAGTGCCTAAAAGCCAGCCAGCGCTGAGTTTTAATGCCAAAACTGCTGCTTTGTGGCTCCTTATCCACAGAATTATCACCATGCTCCTTAAATTGCGCTATTCCCTTTCCCTCCTTGCATTGCTCCCTTTATGTTCAGGCTGTCTGTTTCTTTTCCAACCAGTTGCCTACTTGCTCACGTCAGGTTGCAAAACAACCATGTTGTATAACTTACTTTTGATGCCATCCCGCTGCTAGAGTTGTCCTCTTCTTGACAACTCTTAGCAGCCTTGCTGTATGATAGCATCTTGCAGTAGCCAATAGCAACCAGTAAGGAAAATCCCATGCTTGGAAGATAGAGAATGCGCTCTGCTATGACAAAGCCGACTGGGAAGAAGAGATTACTTGCAGGCAAGTATGGTAGCACTAGCAGTGCAAGTGCGATTACAACAGCATGCTTGTAGCGCATCTCTGCTGATGTTCCAGGTGTAGACGCAGTACCGTCCCTCTTCCCAGACGTGTCCTCCTTATCTGCCTTACCATCAGTTTGGTCATTTTGTGTGACTGCAGGCCAGTAAGGAACACCTTAAGAGTGACAGAATGGATAGAAATGCATAGTATTGAAGCAAGCGATCGTAGCACATATCTTGCGCAATTCCAGTTTCCCTGAGAACTATCGTATACTGTACATGATTATGTTGGTAACATGACAATCCCTTTGCTTGAACACCTGAGTACCGTATTATCTCTAATATAAGCACGGTCCTTTATTTTTTCAATATACCTCCGCCCCGTGCTATTAATGGAGACGTTCCTTTATTGGAGACTGTTCCATTATTATTTCAACCTGATTTCAGAGGCATGTTGCCATGCCAATTTCATGTCCGACACACACATTTCACGGTTTTTTCGCCGGTACAGATAATGAATTTACACAGTGTGCTTATAATGGAGACTGAGCACTTTATTTTTGAATGCCGCCCAAAGGTGTTCTATTATTGGAGACGTGCTATTATTGGAGACTGTGCTTATATTAGAGATAATACGGTAGTATCCTCCCCCCCCCCCCCCCCCCACACACACATGACTGGATTTCTCTTCTCCTAGGACCGTAGGTTTGATGATCACAGTTCAAGTATTACTACCTTAATGTCGGTATTCTACTGGCTACAAAATCTAAATTCCCACACAAGCATTGCTTGAACACTGTCAACAGAAAAACTGCCACAAACAATCGAATTCACAATGCACTAAATTTATCCACAGGAAAAATAGGTACATCTGCATTTGCACTCTCCCTACCATCCACACCGCAAGTATATCAGTATGCAAGTCGTTCCATGAGTAATAGCAGCTTTTGTAACAAATTTCTGTTTCACACGGGATGTATGGAAAAATAAATAGTCCTGCTTAAAGCCGGTAACTTAATGAACTTACTGTAAGCCACCAGCATTAGAACCAGGAGAAGTAGAAGAATAGTTCCAATGTTCCTGAGGTCATCAAAGCTATGCAGTCGTGGGATGGAGTCCATAGACCAATCAAAGCACAGCCAAATAGGGCAGAGCAGCAACCATGCAGAGAAGGCTGGCAAGTAGAAGTATGTCAGTGTTCTAGTTAGAAGCTCTGGTTCAAACAGTGTAGGGTTGTCGGACTGAGTGAATGCTGTTGCTGCGCCACCAGCTATCATCCAAACGCGAGCTATCAGTAGCAAACCTGTGGTCATCATAAGCAGCACGCATCTGCTTATGCATGCCTTCAAGGTCTTGTTTCGACGTGCCGATTTCCAAACACCTCTGAAACAGTAAAAATGCACAGTGAAACATATTAGTTTATGCTAAGGTTGTTAGTGAAACTACCACCCTGAAGTCAAATATACTCCCAAACAATGGAATATGCAGGGGGAGGGGGATAGCCTTACGACCTTCTACAATTACATGGTACTCAGCATATACAAGTATGTTGGATCGTGACTTAGCTTTCCAAAGTAGAAACAAACAAACCGCTTAGGCAGAGCTGCTTCATACATAAGTTTGGTACACGCAGATATAATTATAATCAATCATTGGATATTCTTATGTGTGATATAGGAATGAGCACATTCACGATTATGTTGCCAACGCCTCAGCGCTCTTGGCAGGAGTGAGTATTTTCACTATTTTGATACCTTTAATAAGGGAGTGGGTTGATCACAAGTGCCATATCCTTAGGTCATACCACTTTGATCGAGCTTGACAGATCTGTGTAGTGTGTTTGCCATCTCCCCAGCAACAAGTGCATTGACAATGTCTTACGTGATTGCTCCGCTTTGAAAGACTTGCGCAACGTTGAGACGAGACAAGAGCACAACGTCGTACACACAGCAAATAGCCAAGCAGGTGATCCCTTGCTCTTTGCTCAGCATACTCAGACCTGCCATGAGAGAAGTCGCTATGAGACCCATCACTGATATGGAGCCAGAGTGTCTCTGCAAAACTGGCAATGGATGACTGCGGAAGAAGGCCAGAATGGCCAGGCTGTAGAAGAGAGCACTCAGTGGCTCAGATCTCCCCACTATACTGGACACCTGCAAGGGGCAACACGTACCGTGATTGGTCCCGGCAAATACAGAATGGTATGCAGTTAGATAACTGAAGCAAATCACATTGCAATATTGCGACTTTTCCATTCTAAGCATTCACACTTCTGCATACCCGTTATGATAGTACAGTTGTACATCGATTATCCGACCACCTCTGGGCAGACAACTGTCAGGCGGTGTTCAGATAAGGCAAATGTTCCGGATAAGAAACATGTACATGTACATGTACGACCTTTTTACTTTTCAAAATTTTCGTATTTTTGAATGGCTCACTACATGCACAGTGCGTACTCTACGGCACGTGCGCCCAAAAAAACTGTTACGGATAATCGAATGGTCGGATAGTCGATGTGCGGATAATCGATGTTCAACTGTACACGCTTTTGACCACTCCTACACAAGTAATTGACACCAATCGAACTGCATGGTCTCAACTGTTACCTGAGGGGGGGGGGGGGGGGCAAGCTGTCCCTCACTCCTCTCCGCACGTTGATGGGAGTCAGATCTACATGAAGTAGTTCAATGGCCAGAAACCAGAAGCCAGAAACCATCCTACTGGAAGAGGATGCAACAAACGTTAATCCCATCCTATTCCAGAGATTAACGCCCGAACTGACTCGCAAGATGTCCCGAGAAATGAAGGGTTCTTCTGGCCCATACGGTATTGCTGGGCTGAGGACATGTTCCAGGGAAAAGGAGTCTGCATCACAACGATTGGCCGTCAGTACCTCAGCTGGATCATTGGCACTAAAGAGTATTGCTATCGTGCCGGAGACAATTATAGTATGTCAATAACTGACGACGGGAGCTGATGGCATTCGCTTATTGAAATGGTCCTACCATTTACGAGCATCAGTGTTCGATATCACCACCCCTGCACCTTCAGATGAAGTATTGGACCATCACTTGCTTCCTACCATTTTTGGGCCAGTGAATGGCGGCTGACAGCTCGCAGAGACGCCTTCTACACCTCCGAGTCGAAGCGATTGGGAGGCTTGGCTATCCCTATGGCGGCAAAGTCTGCAGAGGCAGAGCATCAGACATCTGCACGATATCTTTCATTCTGGTCAGGTGGTTCATCACCTGTTTCCGCGGCTGCCAGGTCTCATATTCGTCCAGGCGATCCGGGGCTTTATCATTCCTGGATGAGTTCCATCCACGGTCTTTGTAGATGAGCCTTCCGGTTTAATATCGACTTACTATACAAGCAGGGATGGTCTAGAATTTTAGATGGCTTTTTTAGTTGCGCTATGGTAAAATAATGATCTGCACATCTATGGATGCCCACTGTGCACTCGCATGCCCAATCGGCGGTTATCTGTCGACTCACCATAATGAACTGTGGGATTTTTTCTGGCCGGCGTACTGCAAGAGGTACTGCCCGATGTTGAGGTTGAGCCATGTTGCAGCCACTCCATGGTGAGGACATCTTAACTAGTTGTTAGTTGCCTCGGCTAACCGTCAGCCATAGACACGCCTAGACGTACGGGCTAGGGCTTCTGGTCTTTTTGTTTCTTCGCTGTCACTGGAGGCTTCTTTCTTTATCCTTATCGATGCTGGGGTATTCTTCGCTGTATATCGACCGTGGACAAGAGTGATATCTTTCAGTCTTTTTTTTTTTTTTTTACAAAGGCCACAGCTTCCAATCATGACATGCAACGCAGCGGTGCAGCATCGCAGGCATGAATCGTGGACGCGGTGACGGGGTCTGACGTGCTCCACCGACCTAGGGTCTCGGCTTCACTGCATAGCAATTGTGTCGAAAGAAAACGGGGGGGGGGGGGGGCTAATAATTATCGGGAGATGGGGGGAGGAGAAGAAGAGGAGAAGGAGAGAGATCGAGAGAGAAAGAGAGAGAGAGAGAGAGAGAGTGAGAGAGAGAGAGAGAGAGAGAGAGAGAGAAAGAGAGAGAGTGGGAGAGTGAGAGTGGGAGAGCGAGAGAGGGAGAGAGAGAGAGAGAGAGAGAGAGAGAGAGAGAGAGAGAGAGAGAGAGAGAGAGAGAGAGAGAGAGAGAGAGAGAGAGCGAGAGAGAGCGAGAGCGAGAGCGAGAGAGAGAGAGAGAGAGAGAGAGAGAGAGAGAGAGAGAGAGAGAGAGAGAGAGAGAGAGAGAGAGAGAGAGAGAGAGAGAGAGAGAGAGAGAGAGAGAGAGAAAGAAAGAGAGAGAGAGAGAGAGAGAGAGAGAGAGAGAGAGAGAGCTGGGAGATAGAAGAGCACAGTGCTCTTGGTGATGGGGACTGCGAAGGATACTGAGCAGGTTCTGGGACATGTGCATGAGAATCAGAATATTGGTGATGATGGCAGCAAGGTTATAAGGTAAGCAGCTGAACACTAATAAGAACAGGGAAAGCGTTGGCGAGCAGATTCAAAGTGCATCAGTAGCAGAGAGCCAGTCCTGAGCAAGAAGGTGACGGTACACCTTTTTCTTGAAGCTTTGCATGTGGGTCTGGGCGGGTGGGTGGTGGAACAGGTCTGGTGGCAGGGCATTCCACGTTGCAACGGTGCAAGCAGGGAATCCTTGGAGGCAGCTATTCCGGGTGTTGGCAGGCAGGCCAGTTGTCATCTGGTATGGATGGGAATCCTGCAGCTGGAGAGACTGACGAATAGGTCTTGTCTCGGGGGCACGGTGAGTGGCTGGTTTGGGCAGCATCTGCTTCAGAGGGCTGGATGCATCTAGATAGCAGAGCTTGTAGGTATAGGCAAGTGCAGCTACCAGGCGACGGAGCGCCAGGCTAGGGAGCCAAGTACCTGCTCCAATGATGTGGAGGGCCCTTCGCTGGATCTGGTCCAGCTTCTTAAGATGGGACGAGGGTGAGCCCATCCACACTAAGGGGCAATACTCGAGTGTGGGTCGCACAAAGCCGTTGTAGACGCGTTGGTGGCTCTCGGCGTCCAGAATGGGAGACGCTCGCTTCAGGAAGCCAATCCGCTGGTTAGCACGGGAAGCTAGGGAGCGGAGGTGGAAGGAGTAGCTCAGGGTGTCGTCAAAGGTGACTCCCAGGAGTTTCAGCCGACTCTCTTCACTGACCGGTGTGCCGTCAAATGTTGCTCGAGGGAGCTCCCAGGGCTGGCCATGGTGGCCTATAGACATAGCCTGCATCTTGGAGGGCTCAAATTTGATCCTCCACTTATGTCCCCAAAGGGAAAACGCATCAATGCCCTGCTGGAGGAGCTCGGAGCCACAATCAATGTCAGCTCTTGATGTGAGGCAGTACGGACTGGAAAGTTCACCTCCAACTGCAACCCTCAAGTGACGATCAGTCAGGTAATCCCTCAGCCAAGCGAGAAGTGGACCAGTTATACCATAGCATTGTGCCTTGTGCAAAACGCCTACATGAGAGACGTGGTCGAATGCGCCAGCCACATCAACTGCAATGACTCTAACCACACCACCTCTGGCTGCAACGCGACTCCATTGGTAGTTGAGTAGCGTGAGTATGTCCTGGGTGCCGAGTTGGCTGCGGAAGCCATACTGACTTTTCGATAAGATGTTGTGTGCCTCCAGGAACTGTCGTGAAAGCATCTCCAAAAACATGAAAAGTCCTGAAATATCTGCTCATTCTGAGTTCCAGTGATTTCTACCCAGGGGTTTCCCCAAGATTCGTGAGGCACACGTCACCTGAGGTTTTGCATGCAGTGTCCTCTCCTGGGTCTACCCCCCCCCCCCCCATCTCTACACAGTGGCAAAGGATATCTACATAGTAGCGAGATAAAAGAGAACCCCCCCCCCCCCCCCAGAACAGCATGAGAATTGTGCATGGTCTTATTCGCTCTGCCGGCTGTAACCTAGCCTAGGCTATCAATCATGTGGTGGTGAGTACATTACTCATGCATCCCAGCAAACTTACTGCCTCGGTGTGTATTGGGTGCACAGCGAAGAGCAGTGCAGCAACCAACGCAATGCGCCTGCTGGCAACATGTCGACACAGATGCATGTAGAGTGTGGCCACAGTGCTATGAATTGCAATGTTGAAGAGATGATATCCATACGGCTGGAGACCATGTAATACATAGTTGAATCGAAACGTCAGCACCGTCAGTGGTCGATAGGATTTATGTGACGTTGGGTCCGACAGCTGGTTTCCCCAGAAATCGTGTGAGAAGATGTCCCGCCATGTTGACCTCAGCCTGTATTTATCGCACGTACATATGCAAGCGTCCCCGCACGCACATCGCACACATGCACCCCCCCCCCCCACACACACGTATATACACACACACGCACGCACACACATACACACACACACACACACACACACACACACACACACACACACACACACACACACACTACTACTACTACTACTATGTACAGCTACCCTATCGGGTCACGCCGCTCCCAGAAGCGGGAGACAACGACAAGAAGAGAGAAGAGAAGAGAGAGAAATCGCAAAGTCAACAATATTTCACACACACACACACACACACACACACACACACACACACACACACACACACACACACACACACACACACACACACACACACACACACACACACACAGACACACACACACACACACACACACACACACACACACACCATACCATACCCAGCACATTCAGCATTCAGTTGACAGCCCAGTCATCCATTCATTCAGGGACTGTCCGTAAATACCGATATTTTTCCAAAAACTAAACTCTGTAAACTCGTTCATACACCCTTCCCTCCTCTGGCCCTAACGAACATATGCGTGTGCTGACCTTTCCGTCGATCATTATCGCGTTTGCATTACTTTATATTTTGCTTGCACTGCTCAGGCTAGCGTTGTACTCACCTCACATCGGGGTTCTCCTTGATTGCTGGCAAATCATCGAATACCAGATCGCCTGGTATACTGTTCAGGTGCACTAATGTACAAACAGCGAAAGTCAACAAGCTAGCACGCCTGTCCACAATCGACCAGAACGACGCCGTGGCTTGCATGCTACACACGACGGCGTGCTTGGTGGGCACGCTTCACAGAGCACTGCGGAAAGCCTTTGAGCTGGGTCGTCCGACCAATATTCGACCAAATGTTTACTTCATTTCAAAATACAACAGATTGGCAATCCGCAATGACCCAAATACACGTAAGTGAAGGCTGAAGATAGGAGCTACACAGCCTACAGGACATCAAAATAACGGTGCACGTGGGAGATCTCTGCCTAGCGCCTGGCCGGAGGTGTTTTCATGCCGTCATATCATGCATGATCATGGTTACCTACCTAGTACCTAGTCTGGTCGGATTTCTGTTAGTGGCAAGAAATGAAGTCTGGATTTCCGCAAGTTTAGTTCGCTTTTGGTTTGAATTTGGACTTTTCACACAACACACAAGGACTCTCTCCTTGGTGGTGAGTGTTGCTTGCGCGATGCGGGCAAGGAATCGCTCATAACGATATTGAAACCTACATAATCATTGTTTGCAGTGCAAACCAAGACAAGAGTGAATCAAGGACAATCTACGAAGGTTGCGCATATCAGCCCTGCCGCTATAGTTTCAGAGTTCCCTCTTGAGGTTCTGACTATACTGGAAAGTTGTTTTGTGAAGTGTGTCACCAGTGACCTTATACTGACAGTGATGCCAAAAAGACATCAGTACCGCTATAATGCTTCGGAGCGACATCGCCGTGGCAAGCAGCAGAAGGTGAAAGCTAAGATCCATCAATCCACTTGATCCGTCCCATGGAAGCAGTACCAGGATAGGGATAGTGAACAGAGAGGCGAAGCCGGCAAGCCTCACCAAGCCGCCTACAAGGTTGCTGCAGTTGATGCTTCCAATAATGTTGATAATCTGGCATGGTGGAAAGATCAAGATGGCCTTGGCAATTGGCAAAAGGCTGCGAAGATGGTTCTCACCATCCCACCCTCATCTGCAGCTCCTGAATGAGTATTCATCTCCTCGAGTCAGCCGGCAATGTCATACTGCCAGCAACGTGTATTGGAAGGTCACATCGAAGTAAAGCTAATCACAATCATGGGAAACTGAGTAGGGAGTTGTGAGCTTACAGCTGAGGTCTATACTGCACAACAAGAGGCAGAACACGATGTCAATGGTCTTGATTTTGTTCACCCCACCACATGTGCATTCACGGCCAGAGATATTGAAACCCAAAAGGAATGCTTGCAACTTGCAAGCAATTTTATATTTGCCAGACTGTCATATGCTGCCGCCGATTTTGAAATTTATGACTTTCTTTCCCATCCTTTTTACCCACAATTGTCACTTTGGTTATGAGCAGCGAGTCGTAAAATAGTAAAATAGTATTTTACGACTCCCTGGTTATGAGCATGCATGAAAGTGCAGAACGAGCATTCAAACTAGCATTATTTGCAGAAATACCGAGCAGTGCTAAAAGCATTTTATGATAGTGAAATAAACCAGCAATAGCTGCCGTCGCCAATGCCTAATGCCAGTGACTGTCTGTGTACAGCTGACAAGTACAGTCAGAGCAGGGAGTACGATTGTACTGTAGCCACTGCAGTGAGCCGCACACTTGAAACCAGGGAGTCGACTCCCTGCTTGAAACCCTTACCTGCCGTTAAAATCAGGGAGTAGTACAATACCAAGAATTGTACTACTCCCTGGTCGATGCCATGATTGCCCTTCATGCAACTAGTTGTCATATCCTCTACAACTAAGTACAAGGAGGGTGAAAACTTGCAGAAAGTGCCGCAGAATTTTGATTTTACCACAGAAATGCCGCAGAAAAACCCCCTTTTCCCCGCGGAATTTGCCGCGGAATTTTGAATTATTGGCCGCGTTTTCCCAAAGGGACAGTTGTCGTTTCTCTTTGCTCAGCGAGCGTAGCTCCACGACATCCTGAGCGTGTGAGGATTCAGGAACTAGCACTACCACACACTGTTGTTTTGTGTTGTTGCAGTTCAGATGCTCTACTGGTAACGCTGTACTGACTGTACGTGTCGAGACAGTGTCTCTTCCGATGCGTCCTTGTGTTGTGCGCGTAAAGGTCTGTGGAGGCCCCTGGGCAGATTGCCGAACCTGCACCATCATAAGCTTTTGCTGCGACTAAATGGCTGGTCAATCTCTCAGCAGCATCACCACACAGTTTTCTTGGCGAGGCAGTCAAAACATCAGCCACTGTTGCTGACAATGGAACATAAGGTGCAGTGCTAAATTTTAGGGGTCAAACGGGTGTACCTTTAACTAACGAACGGGTAATTTTCTTAACGGGCGGGTTAACGGGTACCCTTTAGCAGCCATATTATTTTTTTGCGCATTTCTCACATAAATCATGATTTTAATTTGTATATTCTCAGGTTGTATTTTGATACTACATTATGATTCGCAATTGATTCGTGTATCATAATATTATTATGGCAATGAAGGTTCCAAATGAATGTCATCCGTGCATTTGCCCATGTACATAACTTCACAGGCAGTAACTTACAATCGTACATGTAGATGGTCCTACAAGCTACATGTACATGTATTTTGATACATGTACGCAAATCAACTGCAGATCGATGTGATTCAAGCCATGCAAGGACAGAGTGGTTTAGCAAAACTTCCGTGATCTCGCGCAATCCTATTTGCTATGTTCGCAGAGAACTGGTACTCGTTGCATTCAGAAGATGTTCGCGCCCATAGCTAGCTGGGGTGCCTGACACAGCTGATGTGCTGCTGGCCAGCTAGCTGCTAGTGCTAGCTTGTTGAACTCGTGAAATGAATCTTCACAAATCCGTAATCTTGTATGCAATATTTCGAACTACTTTTCAGCTCGTCGATTGAAGGAACAAACTACAACCATGAGTATCATACATGTAGCTACCACCTACGGACATCACCGTTTGTGACACTCCGACTGGTCACTCAGCCTGGTGACACTAGTTCATCAAGTACTGTGGCAGGTTCGATGTCGGAGAACCATCGTAACTTTCTAGTTACTCAGCTGCCACCTCGAACGAGTTTCAAGTCTTGCCTTTTCTCACATCACAATCAAAAACCTCCAGTACGAGGATTTTTACTTGCACTAGAGTGGAGAGAACAACTGTCAAGTCTGTCTTTCAGCCTGCTCCTGCCTGATAAAGTCGAAAGCGGGAATGCACAGGAAAAAGGAAAAGAGTATCCGCACTCCTATTTTGAGTCTTGGAATACGATAGGATCACCTTTTTTTTTTTTTTTTTTTTTTTTTTTTTTTTTTTTACAAACGGGTACCCTTTTACTAACGGTACCTGAGATTAACGGGCGGGTACCCGGGTACCCGGTACACCCGTTTGACCCCTACTAAATTTCCAAAGGTACAATCAGCAACATGATCTTTTAGACTACCCAAAGGGAGTGTCTTCTGGCAGCCCTCAAACACGCTTGCATGAAAGTCACATTTCACAGCAAGCTCAGAAATGCATTCATAAACAAACACTGGAACCTCCCGCAACGACGACGCCATAAGGGGAACTCGGCACATTGGGCAGGTGGCAGACTGTTCCAGCCAATGCCACACACAAGGAAAGCAAGTGACCTTCGAACAGCAAGGCACCTGTATAGCTTCCGTGGCATTTGCAACATGCAACGTGACAGACACCACAAATTACAGATGAAAAAGTTATAGAAAATCTTTCAGGAGCCAATACTTCGGGCCTTTGTATGGTTACGTACAGCTTCAGATTGTATGGCAAGTGCCAGGGGAGTTGAATCTGCATGGGAAGAATACCTGAACACCACTGTATTGTGATTGAACTGAAGCTGGATGATGACCGTGTGGTGAGTGTGTGGGGGGTTTCAAGATACCGTCCTGGGGCAGGGGTGTAGGTCCTTTAGCTCGGGCGGGTGTTGTTACATTCATTGTAACATCTTGTCGTTTTCTTTGTGCTTTGCTGTGCGACTGCCGTTACCCTGTTCATCGTAGTCTAGGCCTTGACGGATTATGCTAATATTTTCGTGAAATTATGCTTTTCGCATTGCTGAAAAAATTGCAGAATTATGCTATTTTTATGCTAAACGTTATACATATTATGCCGCATTATGCTCACATATGCTGCTAATGTATATGATGGTTCTGTGCAAAATAACAGGGGAATGTTTTTGTAGAGGGCGCTGTACTGTAGTAGCAAAAGTTCAATGGGGTCAACGCACCGTCCGACCTAGCTACGACCGTCACTGATTGTAGTCGACTGGACATGTTATTTAAGGGAGTCGTAAACCTACGACTTCCTGATGCATCAACTTGTACTTGTACTTGTAGAACATGTACAACTGTATGGAATTTGATGCGAACAGGCGGATTATTCCAATTTATGCGATTCGTATGCAATTTGCCTCGAATTATGCGACTATTCGATTTTGGTAGGAATTATGCGAAAAATTATGCTAGCAGAATCCGTCAAGGCCTATCGTAGTCTCCCCCCCCCCCCCTCCCCCCTTTCCCAGGCTGTACTCTCTTGTACCATCATCTTTCAATGCGACGGACCCCACGATAGGCGGTCAGCCTTTGGGTCATCCTAAATGACCTAATAAAGTTAGTAATTTGGCGTTGTATGCCCGATGCGGAGCGGAGCCAGTGTCACACTTGATCCAAAATTCACGCTGGAGCCTATTCGGGCATGTGCTTCGCCTGGGTAAGGACACGCCAGCACGATTGAGCATGGAACAATACTTTCAGGCACCCGAGGGGAGGTACCGTGGGAGGCCGAGGGTGACAGTGCCAATAAAGCTCCACACCGATCTGTCCCAATCGGACAATGGGCAGCTGCGGAGTGCCGAGGACTTGCGCCGTCTGGAGCGGATTGCTGCGGACCGTCCAGCATGGAACGCGCTGGTGAAGAGTGTTTGTGCACACCCTCGTCACGAGTAGAAACAGTCATGGCACCCTTATAAACTCATAACAACCATTCTATAATAATTACTACTGAAGTTTGCATAGCCACAATCATGGTAAGGGCGGCAGCACCTTTTTTGGCTCCCGAAAAGCGGCCTTTTTTGTAATTTCCTGGGCTTTAGGCCACCGGAAAAGTCCTTTATTTAGTAATAAAATGGCTAATACGTGATACTCAGTGCAGTGACCCACGTACAGACGTTTTCTGATTCACGACATACCGTGTATGGAGGCTCACCCACGTTCCGCCAAAACGTGGGAGATAATCAGAATGGAGCGCATTGTG